GGATCTTCACGGGTCTAGTGCTAGAGCGTCTGCCCTGAGAGCGGAAGGTCGGTTTTTCGATCCCCAGCCGCGTCAACGTTAAAAGATGGTACTTGTTGTTACCTTGCTTGGAGCTCGGCATTTAGGGGCTAAAACAAAGGACTGGTCGGCTCGGAGGCATTTTACTGTTATTATAGGCATGAAAGTGTAATATGTATTTAGATAATTAAAGGGAAGTTAAATCAATGTCATAGAAATAAGAGGGAATGTATACCAGAAATTATAACAGGAGTTGGCACCATCTTAGAGTGTGGGGACACACTCTTCGTCAGAACGGGGGTCGTATTATGGGCATAAAATTAAAGTAATTATCAACGCAGTAAGACACAAGGGGTAACATATAGTTAGACAATTAGGGGGAAATCAAAGCAGTGAAACAAAGGTATAAGGGAAAACTACGCGTTGGAAAAACAAAGAATGAACAAAGTTTGTAGTTAATGACCATGTGAAGAGAGTTACAGCCTTAAGTACTAATAAATACACTTGGCCACTGACACACAAGGGCAAAAAGCCGGTAGGTTAGATAAACAATCGAGGAATGTTGTATACCAGAGCAGGACGATAGTAATAACATCAGAAGGGAAATACAATCAGAAATAGCGTAGGTATAATAGTAGCTGAGACTGACCACATACACATACCGTATTCGACGTAATAAGCGCCCCACTCTAATAAGCGCCTACGACGATATTTGCTAATATATTGGCCAGTGAACAGTCCCAATTAGCACCCCTTCCGATTGATCGAGGTACACAAGGCTTATTTATTCGCGTATAATACGCACTCATGGGTTATATGCACCCTTAATTATGGGCAATTGAATTCTTGAAAAATATGTCTGTTGTACATAAACATTTTAGGCTGTCAGCATAAACCACGAAATTTATCTTTCAACTCAGTTTTTTTCACTAAAATAATATTCAAATAAGAGCCCCTGATTTCTTATTTTGAGCGCGCCCTGAGCGCTTATTACGTCGAATACGGTATATGGTATTTGGGGAAATATTTGTTCGTATTACAAAAGATCTAATAAGGATTGTGATATGAATCACGGGTAGGTTAGAATGATCTAATGTAGGGGGGAAAGGTGGTTGACCAATGATAGATGGAAAAATGAGTAGAGCTGTGACGTAGGTACCGGTTTAAAAAACAAAGGGGGAAAAAAAATTAAAGGCCCCAAATCCAGAGAGCGGCTGGGGAGACTGGTGCTCCGCTCTCGGCTTGTTGTCGCGATCTTTCGAACCAGAAACCAAACTTAGGCACCAGCATTTCGACTGAGATTGAAGCTTTGCGGCCGAAGTCTCGTATTTAAGTGACAAAAAGAGTGGGTTGACCGGCAACACAAAGTGTGAATAAAAGTTGTTGAACTAAGAACATCCTTTGTGATTACCGATGGAACTACGGTATAATTAGACGGTCAGGACCGAAGTACGAAGGACAAAACCGTAGTTCAGATGAAGGTACACGAATTGCTACCTTCCGATTACGCAACAATTACTGACTATAACGTATTAAAATTACCTTGGACACCGTGTCTGAGTGGGGCATTCATGTCGCGGCATGGTATATCAGTAGGCTAGCACTATATAAAAGGTAGCAGTCCTGATTAATACAAGCAACCACACACACGAACATGCATGTCGCTATGTAAGTGCAATAATCTTGAACGGGACGTTCAACCCAATTTCACTTGACCTGCCGCACGTAGATTGGTAGTGATGTTTCTGAAACCACATACGTTATATGCATACGGTTTGTTGAAATAATGATACTAGCTGTAGGCTGAAATATTTTGGCTCACACCTCCCAAACAGTGGTTTCTTCCAGGTCTAAATATGCGCTATGGGGATTAACATGGTAATAATACTGACTGGTGCTGTCACTGCCTTTCAGTGGTCCATTCATATAATTTTCACAGCTATTTTGCCCTTTTCCCAAATGGAATCTGTTTCGGCGGATAATCAAGACTGGTTATTCTCTTGCCTTGATGTTTTGTATTTTCTAAAGATTGAATCTATGCCAGGAATTGAGTTGTGAGACAGTTTTCTATTGCCGTAATGAGTAATTCAAATAGAAAATGGTTTAAACAATTCCTATCACGTCAGTTGGTGGTGTGGTCAAGGCGCCAGGGCCCACTTGCACAAAGCCATCTTAGCGCTAAGATGATCGTAACTCCCATGCTTTAACATAGGCTTATGGTAGTTGTAGCACTAAGATCGCTTTGTGCAAGTGGGCCCAGGTTGTTTATAGACCGCCGTCGTATGGAAGGAGTGCAAACACTGACTTTTCAAGCGTATTGTGTGAGTGGTGGTGCTACCGGCAGAGCAAGACATGCTTAACCTTCTCGCGAACACCTGGTGTCATCACTGTTTTTCTGTGATCCATGTATTTGGTTTCATCGCTTTTGGGACATTTGCGCCCAGTGGAATCTGTTTCAGAGAGTGTTCGAGACTGCTTGTTCTCTTGCGATGAAGTTGTGTATTTGTAAATAATCAAGACCAACCGATATTGAAGTTTACAAAAAGACGTTAACGTGGAAATATTGTTACACGCTGGCTTGTAATAGTTGTACATAAAATTAAAATACACAGGCATATTGTTACCTGGAAGATACATAAAGCAAACGCTGGGCTTGCTCCATTATTGCAATGCTTAATACCTTTTAGAGGACGACAGGACAACAATCACCTACATAACAATCAACTAAACTGAAATCTTCGGTCTGTTGGAATTCAGCATGTGAATGGTTTGGAATCATGTTGAATGATTTAAAATCATGTTGAATAACTTGCAATCATGTTGAATGATTTGGAATCATGTTGAATAAATTGGAATCATGTTGAATGATTTGGAATCATGTTGAATAATTTGAAATCATGTTGAATAATTTGGAATCATGTTGAATGATTTGGAATCATGTTGAATAAACTGGAATCATGTTGAATATTTTGAAATCATGTTGAATAATTTGGAATCATGTTGAATGATTTGGAATTATGTTGAATGATTTGGAATCATGTTGAATGATTTTGGTTAGATACACCTTTTTTAGTTACATATATTTCTCGTGTTCCTGTACCTTGAGCAAATGTTATTAGATTATACCTATTGATATGTGATGCAATTACTATGTAACAAATTTAGCCATCATTTGTACACTTCCCCTGAAGTTTTGTTCTATCGGTCTTTAACCTTCCGTTCACTTATCTTTTTGAGAGATATTATTCTTTTGAGAGGCTACATTGAAAATTAGTTTCCGATCAATGATAGAGCAGCCATGATTAGAATAGTTCTATTAAAGATAAACATCATTATTTTTTCTATTAGCGATAAATATAATTATTTTTAGCTTTTAAATTACTCTAGAGTGTTTTTAACTCCTTGCTGTATGATAAACTATATATGTTGATGTTCTTAGAGTACATGTAAATAGTGTTTAATAAATATTGATCGCTATCTTACCGGTTAATTTTTGTAAACGATTTTACTTCAATAGTGTTTGCTTAACAGCTGTTATTATAAATACGCAGCTTGATACATGGTTCTTTTTATGTATTGTCTACTGTCTGGAGGAGACCTCAAGCCAAATATTAACTTGTTCTCGTCGCGAAATGGCTACAATATTGTCGATGCGATGAAAAACAATTACCTCACTCACTGACGTCAAGCAGTATGGCTTGTCTTGACACGTTCCCTCAATGTCAGTCTCCTCATATTGTCTGTTTAGAAAGCAGTAGAGATGGTATGAAATCGTATCACCAGAAATGTATTGAATGTTGACTAATTGATAAAAGTTTCTTTTCTTCGCGATGTTATCGTTTTGTTGTAATTATGTCCAGTATGGTTGACATTTAGTTGTATGAACGTCTCATATAGTTAACCATAACATAGGTTTTACACGAGTTACGTTTTATTCTGACAAACTAAATGCAACGGCTACTGGCATGCATCAACCAAGTCAGCGAGCCTGACCACCCGATCCCGTTAGTCGCCTCTTACGACAAGCATAGTCGCCTTTCGGCAAGCATGGGTTGCTGAAGACCTATTCTACCCCGGATCTTCACGGGTCATCTGATTTGAAGTGATGCACATGAGGAAGAGTATTTTTGGATGTCAACTTTTTCATTTTGAGGAACACAACGTTTTGGAGTATATATATAGACCTGATGGAGGAGTAAGTATATACTCTGAAACGTTGTGTTCCTCATAATAAAGATGATGACATCCACAGATCCTCTTCCTTATCAATTATATCATTTTATAAAACGTTGAGTATGGTTTTACGCTTATAGCAATAATCCAGCGATATCGCGGCGGGGGACACCAGAAAAGGGGTTCACACATTGAACCCATGTCGGGAATCGAACCCGGGTCTTCGGCGTGACGAACGAACGCTTTAACCACTAGGCTACCCGACCGCCCCTTTTTCAAAACAAATAATAATAATAATACCTCACATTCTCCGAAAAGTTCTTGGTGGGTTTGACTAGGCAGCGCTTCCTGGGAGAAGTCCCATTCGCTGTCTGGGCTGCGTGTAGAGGGGGCAAGAGCCCTGAGCTGATGATGAGCCTAACCAGCCTGACTGTGCCAGGATCACCCAAACCCTCTTTGCTGCATTTTTTTATTTTAATCTGTACATAATGATAAAGTCCATTTATAATATCAAACCACCAAGTGGTTGCTCCTTGCGTTAAACTGTGCATATATTTCCTGAAGATATGCTCGTTTATTTAACTTTAACTGAAAAATAACAAGAACGAAAATCATTTTATAACAAATTTGTATAATACTATCCGAAATTATAATGCACGATTTCTCTGAAGAAACGTGTAAACGCTGCAGTTCGTATTGTTTTTCAGTATAAATAAGAAAAGAACAGAGATACATGTATGTTCTGGTGTAAAACAGGTAGCTAGATTACCAAATGGTATCTAACTACTGTGAGATAGGATGCAGAACCGATAATGCAATTTACTAAGAGACATAAAACTTTATTCAAGATTTCGGGTAGGAATTGGCTGTGCTTGCATTGCAGTTTGTTTGTTTGTTTGTTGTTTAACGCCGCACTCAGCTGTATTCCATCCGTATGACGGCGGTCTGTAAATAATCCTCTAGACCAGACAATCCAGTGATTGACATCATAAGCATCGATCCTGCAATTGGGATACGTATTCTAGCCCAGATCTTCACGGGTCTTGTAGTGCAGTAGTCATTCTGGGTTAAAAAATCGTCCCAAGCAGCCTGTGCTTGTCTTACGAGGCGACTTCATGGATCGGGTGATCTGAGTCGGATGATTTGTGTGGCATCGTACCCCGCGGGTATGGATCGTTGCTCATACTACCAATCGACCTGTGAAGATCCGGGTAGAATAGGTCTTCAGCAACCCATATAACCCGGATCTTCACGGGTGCTATGAGTGAGTGAGTTACTAACAATTGTTTATGATACTCAGGCTCATGATACAGGGAAATCCTTCATCTAACTGTGATGCTCTAGAAAACATTAGGTGGTCTGAGGGATGGATATATACAGCACGTGTAGGCGGCAGACTGTCATCTGTAATAGCGATGGTTGCTACCAATAATCTGAAATAAATGACAAAGGTAAATTGTTACAGACAGAATATTTATTCTCTAAATGCTTCAAGCCATACAACTTCTTTCTTCCAATTATTTTGTCCCCACAAAACTTTTTTCAGGTTATCCCCTTTAATATTTTTTTGTTTGTGTAAAACCTGAGCGACAATATCTTTTAAGGGATCTTTGGACATAATCAGTATCGCCAAAATTTTCAAAACTCTCAGATAAGCCATTCCCAGAAAGGTGGCCTAGCTTTGGCTACTGATAGTATATAGGCTGGTTTAATTGATTAGCATAATTTGGATCTGGTTTGTTTTATTCCACATGGTATGCTTTACTGTTTTACTGTCCTTTGCCGACAGATATTTTACAATGAATACCTTCTTCTCATCGCGGTATGGCTGAAATATTGCCGATGCGATGTAAAATTTACATTGATAACAGATTCGAAATATGGCGTTCTGGAAGGTTCATGAACCATACTGTTCAATCACTTGTTTGTTTGTTGTTTAACGTCACTCAGCAATATTCCAGCTATATGACGGCCGTCTGTAAATAATCGAATCTCGGCCAGACAATCCAGTGATTGACATCATGAGCATCGATCCACGCAATTGGGATCGATGACATGCATCAACCAAGTCAGCGAGCCTGACCAAAAAGCATAAGTCGTCTTTTACGGCAAGCATTGGTTGCTGAAGACCTGTTCTAACCCCGATTTTCACGGGTCGAATATAACTGGAAGTGGTTGTACTGAGGTAGGAAGCGTCACACCATGTAAAAGTATAATTATACTCATGACACACAAGCAATTGTTAGACGTCTTCCAGACTGGTATCCCGCCGTGATATTGCTGGAATATTGCTAAAAGCGGAGTAAAACCATACTCACTCACTCACTCACTCCAGACTGGTATCAAATGGACACACGCGTATAACAAGCTTTTTGGAGTGAGTGAGTGAGTGAGTATGGTTTTAAGCCGCTTTTAGCAATATTCCAGCAATATCACGGCGGGGGACACCAGAAATGGGCTTCACACATTGTACCCACGTCGGGAATCGAACCCGGGTCTTCGGCGTGACGAGCGAACGCTTTAACCACTAGGCTACCCGACCGCCCCAGCTTTTTGGAAAACGAGGATTGCATTTTATTATCACAAATTTATCAATGCAACCGATCACCTAATAAAACACGCGCTTACACACACATCTTAATAAGCGTGTGTAGTATATATAAATGCAGCATATACAATAACTTTACGAGTAAAGTATTAAATATTGATGAGGTATATATACTCTGCAAAAAAGAAACGCAAGAGAAGTAAAATCGTTAATATCTGAGGGAGTGTTCCCGAAATCCATACCAAATTAATACAAAAAATGAACTGGTCATTTCTTCAATGATTGAGATTGATTTCTGTGGAAAGAATAGAGTACTGCAGAAATTTGGTAAAAAGAAACACACCAGCATGACGTGCACGTGCAACATCACTTTGTTGGGTTATAAAAAAACGTTGGGTTTTTCAGACGACCACTTCGAGGTGTCATTTTAACATCTCGTGTTTACAGGCGTTGCAGGGAACGTTATGCACGAAAATGCATACAGGAAGTGGACATATTTGGTGGTAGTAGTGTGATAATGTGGGCAGCCATCTCCTACACTGATAGAACAGACTTGGTGCAAGTTCTGGGGAATTTAACGGCACACCGTAACACGGGTGAGATTCTTCGGCCACACGTCCGTCCCGTTATGTAACAAGCGATCGTCAGTTCAAACAAGACAACGCCCGACCAAACACGGCAACAGCCCTTTTCAGGAATCACATGCAACAACCACAGAACCTCCAAGAGGTGACACAAGCACTGCAGGCAGAGTGGACCACAAATCGGGATCTGATTGCTTCCATTGGACGACGATGCCAGTCCGTTTTTGTACTCTTATTGTGGCCATGCAAGAAATTGAGATCAGGTGGCATTCGACTTAACGATCTACAGTTCCATGTGTGCCATATGGAACCTGGTTCAATAACACCAATGTGTGCCAATTTTACCATCGATTACCATCTGTTGATTACTTCTATGATTTTTAAAATATATATCTAAAAATCACATTTGCGTTGTTTGGGGTTTCTTTTGGCAGAGTATAATTATCTAAATGTAAATAGGATTCCACCCAGCTACCCATTATAGCGAACGTATGCAAACCTTTGGTCCCTGTATGTTTCGGTTGTGGAGGACCCTCTTTAACGAATCTGGCAAACGCCCGAAATTGTCCATGTGGAGCAGGTGTTATGAAAGCCATTATGACGCAGACAAGTAAAATTACAACGACTACACCCAACACGCCAAGCGGGATAATACCATGAATCCTGAAATAGAAAGAAAACGTGTTATGCTTCCCGTTAAGATTCCTGGTTAGATGAACTACCCGGCATCATGTGGTTATTAGACCGGCAGCCCAGAGCACTTTGGTCAAACGAACAAGGTACCAATTCGAACACAGGAACATTTACTGTGTAACCCAACATATTCATATATGGATGTCTGCCGGGGAGCCCCTGCTGCGTGTGGCCCCTGGCCCCCCAAAAGAAGGGGCCATTCAAGGGCTGGATCAAACATTGGAGGTACCACATGAAAGTAAGTGTAAATGAACTGGTACATCTCACAGAGTACAGAATGGGCCACGCCAGACAAATCTTCCTCTGCAAAAGGCCTGCCAGACACCCCCAAAGAGGGTCCCAAAATTTGGGCTAGGTTAAACATTGGAGGTACCACATGAAATCAACATAAAATGAACTATTTCACTCTTCTAAGAATAAAAATCCCATTGCCAGACAAATCGTCTGCTGCATAAGGCCCGCCAGACACCCCCAAATGTTGACCCTTAATGCACTCAGTGGACACTGGCAAAATTTGACCAGAGTATACATTCAAAGTACCAGATGAAAGTAAGTTTAGATCAACAGGTACATGTTACTGAGTACAACACGGCCCATACCTGACAAATTGTCCTCTGCATAAGGTCCGCCAGACCCCCCAGAGAGGGTCCCAAAATTTGGGCTGGGTTAAACATTGGAGGTACCACATGAAACCAACATAAAATGAACAATTGCACTCTACTTATTGCACAATACCCATTGCCAGACAAATCATCTTCTGCATAAGGCCCGCCAGACACCCACAAAAAGCTGACCCTTCAGGTATACACGGGTAAAATTGGTCTGGAATATATATCGATTGTACCACATTAAGGTACGTTTGAATGAACAGGTTCATATCACAGAGTACAGAATGGGCCACACCAGACAAATCTTCCTCTGCATAAGGCTTAAACATTGGAGGTATCACATGGAACCAACATAAAATGAACTATTACACTCTACTTATTACAAAATACCCATTGCCAGACAAATCCTCTCCTGCATAAGGCCCGCTAGACAGACCCTCACCCCACCCCACACAGTTGACCCTCTGTAATCCCAGTGTGCATAATGAAACATTGGACATCAACTCTGAGAGTCAACAGATGGTCAAATTTATGTTTTGTTCTTAAAGATGGAAGGATTTTATTGAGATTAAAATCACGTTTTTATAAAATCAGGTCTCTGAATACTAGTACTGATATCATAGATTAGGCCTATCGTTGAAATGTAATGAAAATGGCATGAATCTGAATCTTGTGAATATATATCTGATCAGCTATGAAGTCCTCAAAGCCTGCTATAGCCTGATAGCTTGGCTATGGATTCCTACAAGCCAGATAGGCATATGATGCTATGTGCCATAATTTTTATATACTGAACAACAAAAGTTCCTGTGACATTGAATAAGATTTAATGCAAAGTTAAGTTTTTACCAAATCTGAAACAATTTCGGCTTGCAACAGAGAAAAGACTCCTGTAAGTGTTCAAATGGTTTTAATTTGTCATACTGACTTCGGAAAATGCGTGATTTCATTAAAAAAACCATGAACATGCCAAAATGTCAATTTACAAATCAATAGCGTGTGTGTCCGCCTCTGGTTGCGATGCAAGCAACACATCTTCGTCTCATGGAATGGACCAGGCGTCGCACAAAGTTCTGTGGGATATCTGTCCATATCTGCTGGAGCATGTTTCGAAGTTCCTGGAGTGTCTGTGGAACACGTGGTTGATGTCGAAGGCGCCATGACGACTCAAAAACGGTAGAACAACAGGTCCGATGATCTCGTCGCGGTAGCGCTGTCCATTGAGATTTACCTCTACCACTATCAAACGGGTCCTCTGTCTTGCTGTAATCCCACCCGATACCAAAACGCTGCCGCCCCAGAACCGATCTTCTTCCATGACACAATGAAGACAATCCCTGCACATCTGAGGCGGAGACGTACGGTTTGTGAAGATAATCGTCGAAGGGCAGGGATGCTTCTTGCAGTCACTGTTGCTGGATAGAATCGATTTCGTAGGTGTGTTGTTCGAATCCAGTTGTCTTGTCGATTATTGGTTACGCGTGGCCTGCCACTCCGAGGATGGTCTCTGACTGCATTCGTCTGTTGCCAACGTTGCCATAAACACCAAATGGTGTTTCCGTGGACGTTAAATTGTCTTGCAACATCACGTTGACTCGATCCTTCTTCAAGCACACAAATGGCTCGCAGACGCTCGTTTTCGGACAAGCGTGGCATTTCATAATGTTGAATAATTGGGTAATTTTTTTGTTTTTCTGAATGGTTGTTGTCAGCACGATGCTAAACAATGCATATGGAATCCCGTTTACGCACACGAAATGCATGGGGCTTGCATAAAAGTCAACATTTGCATGGAATGTATGCTTTTCTGTAGCATTTGCGTTTTTGTGACTTGATTCCATACATGTACTACAATAATGAGCACCAAAGTTTACTTCTTTGAAAAATACACTATACACTTTTGTTGTTGAGTGTTGCTGAATGGATAATGATAGCCCCTAATGCCACTTGGAAATGTTTTAGGATGATAATCTGAAGATTCGGGGTGATAATTGTGTTTAATAACCTATGATCTCCATTTATTTAGCAAGTTTTATCATCTAAAAATCTGAATTCAGGCCAAATATATCTCCATATTTATCAATTTAACATAGACGTCTGTTCTTCGTTGACGAGATCAAGTCTAACCCAATGCAATGGTATCATTAGACTTATATCAAAGGCTAGGCCTATCGAGATATCGAGATTAGACTAGCTCATTGTATCAATGGATGCTGCATGGACAAAACAATGATTGATGACACATAACCTGCAGGAATGTCAATACAAAGGAGATCTGACTTGAACCTTTTTGAAAGAAATCTTCTCGCCACGATAAAAAGAAAGAGCGTTTTCTAAAACCCTTACCTTATTAATTTGCGCTCCTCTTTTGAAGCTTACTCGTACGAACGTATTTGTGAACTTTCAAGCCATTTTAAAATTTGTGCGACAAGGTAGACCTACGATCGAGCGAGAACTATGCAACCAATCATTTACATTGCATTAGTTTGACTTGATTTTTCTGACGCAATAGTATCTCGTCAAGGAAGAGAGGACGTCTATGTAAAATTGATAAATATGGAAATATTTGGCCGGAATTCAGCTTTTTAGATGATAAAACTTGCTAAATAAACGGAGATTATAGGTTTTAAACACAATTATCACCAAAAGATTTCCAGATGGTATTAGGGACTGTCATTTACCATTCTTATAGCAGGTTTTGAGGACTACCTAAGCATGTTTTGGTTTGTAGGAATCCATAGCCAAGCTATCAGGCTACAGCAGGCTTTGAGGACTTCATAGCTGATCAGATATATATTCACAAGAATCAGATTCATGCCTTTTTTTATTACATTTCAAAGATAGGCCTAATCTATGATATCAATACTAGTATTCAGAGACCTGATTTTATAAAAACGTGATTTTAATCTCAATAAAATCCTTCATCTTTAAGAACAAAACATAAATTTGACCATCTGTTGACTCTCAGAGTTGATGTCCAATGTTTCATTATGCACACTGGGATTACAGAGGGTCAACTGTGTGGGGTGGGGTGAGGGTCTGTCTAGCGGGCCTTATGCAGGAGAGGATTTGTCTGGCAATGGGTATTTTGTAATAAGTAGAGTGTAATAGTTCATTTTATGTTGGTTCCATGTGATACCTCCAATGTTTAAGCCTTATGCAGAGGAAGATTTGTCTGGTGTGGCCCATTCTGTACTCTGTGATATGAACCTGTTCATTCAAACGTACCTTAATGTGGTACAATCGATATATATTCCAGACCAATTTTACCCGTGTATACCTGAAGGGTCAGCTTTTTGTGGGTGTCTGGCGGGCCTTATGCAGAAGATGATTTGTCTGGCAATGGGTATTGTGCAATAAGTAGAGTGCAAATGTTCATTTTATGTTGGTTTCATGTGGTACCTCCAATGTTTAACCCAGCCCAAATTTTGGGACCCTCTCTGGGGGGTCTGGCGGACCTTATGCAGAGGACAATTTGTCAGGTATGGGCCGTGTTGTACTCAGTATCATGTACCTGTTGATCTAAACTTACTTTCATCTGGTACTTTGAATGTATACTCTGGTCAAATTTTACCAGAGTGTCCACTGAGTGCATTAAGGGTCAACATTTGGGGGTGTCTGGCGGACCTTATGCAGCAGACGATTTGTCTGGCAATGGGATTTTTATTCTTAGAAGAGTGAAATAGTTCATTTTATGTTGATTTCATGTGGTACCTCCAATGTTTAACCTAGCCCAAATTTTGGGACCCTCTTTGGGGGTGTCTGGCAGGCCTTTTGCAGAGGAAGATTTGTCTGGCGTGGCCCATTCTGTACTCTGTGAGATGTACCAGTTCATTTACACTTACTTTCATGTGGTACCTCCAATGTTTGATCCAGCCCTTGAATGGCCCCTTCTTTTGGGGGGCCAGGGGCCACACACAGCAGGGGCTCCCCGGCAGACATCCATATATGAATATGTTGGGTTACACAGTAAATGTTCCTGTGTTCGGATATTGGTACCTTGTTCGTTTGACCAAAGTGCTCTGGGCTGCCGGTCTATATCTTTCCAGGCGAATAATTGGATCGGGTGGTCAGATTCGGTGACGTGGATGTTGACATACCCCGAGTGTCTGGTTCTATGCCGCTTTTACCAACACCAGAAATGGGCTTCACGCACTGTAGCCATATGGGCAATCTAACCTGAGTCTTAGGTGGGGCAAGCGAACGCTTCAACAGTGAGGCCATGTATACTTTGGGTCAAAGGGGTGTCTTGGACGAGGCCATGTATACCTTGGGTCAAAGGGGTGTCTTGGACGAGGCCATGTGTACCTTCGGTCAAAGGGGTGTCTTGGACGAGGCCATGAATACATTGGTTCAAAGGGGTGTCTTGGACGAGGCCATGAACGCATTGGGTCAAAGGGGTGTCTTGGACGAGGCCATGAACGCATTGGGTCAAAGGGGTGTCTTGGACGAGGCCATGAACGCATTGGGTCAAAGGGGTGTCTTGGACGAGGCCATGAATACATTGGTTCAAAGGGGTGTCTTGGACGAGGCCATGAACGCATTGGGTCAAAGGGGTGTCTTGGACGAGGCCATGAACGCATTGGGTCAAAGGGGTGTCTTGGACGAGGCCATGAATACATTGGTTCAAAGGGGTGTCTTGGACAAAAGGAACACTGTTCATGGCGCAAGTGCCCCCAGCCTACAGAATCGAAATATGTTACAATATGATTATATTAGATACTTGCGTTTGGGGATTATATTGCATGCCTTCTTACCATAGTCGCCATTCAAGCTCAGTACAACACCTTGTGTAAAACACACAGCAGCCATGCTTACACTGCTCCTTCTCTGGTCCACATGTCTCTGCAAGAACCACTGAAACAAACAAGTTTAACGTCATAGCCATATTGACCTAAATGATACGTAGTTTCATATCAGGGGTGGTCGGGTAGCCTAGTGGTTAAAGCGTTTCGCTCGTCACGACGAAGACCCGGGTTCGATTCCCCACATAGGTACAATGTTTAAACCATGCTCACTCACTCACTGTACACATCATCCCACCCTTTTTGCTTTGACGTACATATTAACGCCATTGCAGATTCCGGTTTCACAGTTCTGGACTGTTAAATACGAATGAGAAAACGCGGCATTAATATGTACTTCACGAGTATCTGATAGACCATGTTCCATAAACACGGTAGTAAACGTTTTCTTTATGACCGACTCCAAACTTGTATGCCTTTTATAAACACAACTACAGAAAACTACGTTTACAACGAACACGCTTATAACGAACTGGTGGACATAACGTACTGTTATTTTGGACCGGGGCATTTGCTGTACAAATATAGATATACAGTAAACTACGGTTATAACGAACACGCTTATAACGAACTGACGGATATAACAAACTTACTTTTTGGTCCCGACTATTTGCTTTAGATATGCTGTATATATGCTTATAACGAACTACGGTTATAACGAACTAAATTTAGTTGTCCCTTTGAGTTCGTTATAACCGTACTTTACTGTACTCTGATAATGAACTACGGTTATAACGAACTAAAATTAGTGGTACCTTTCAGTTCCGTAGTTTACTGTCGGTTATCATGTTCTCAGAAGCATTGTCAAGTTACATACGCATGCCTTTACGTACTTCTCACTAACACTGAACTATGCGGTGTGTATATTTAGAAATTGACCGACAGCAAGCTCCGACGTCCATACAGTTTGGCCCTCACTCTATGAAAGTTCATACTCCAATGAACTCACACAAAGTGAAAGTCAATTCTTAATTGAAGGCTTATTCTTTCTTGTAACGATTGTTCTTTTTGCAGAATATATATACTTCACTTCACATACATGCATGCATCGAATAACTGGTATTGATCTCGTTTTAAGCCCGACAAAGCTATCGCCATTGTACGGGAAGGTTGTTGATGTAAACCAAGCCGTCGTTCCGATTGACTAAACATGGAACGGTTTTCAGCTTCAACAGCTGTTGTGGGTTATAATAAGAACAAAATAACTATTATAGAGTTGCAATAAATGTTTTTTACTCTGTTAAAAAATTTTTTGTTTTGTTTTTTCCTTTGGCCAAGCCCAAGAAAATTACATTAATTATGATTATGATTTTGTAATTAATGGAAAAAGGTAAATTTCATTTACCTTCAAATTCTTGAATTATCTCAGAAAATGTCTCGTCGCCCCATTCACTCAATATTTCATCGAAATCTCCGATGTGGAAGTCAGGGTTAATTTCCATGTTGATGATTTCAAAAATAGTTCCATTAATTAATGTAAACATACACGGTGATGAGACCCCAAAAATTCAGCGATGTTATGCTCATTCGACAACACTTTTTAACCAATCAGATCAGGGAACATACCTACTTTTATGTTACAATGTTGCATAGACCCAAGCTCGATTAATAACCCATATATGCATAGAGATACTGGTTGGAAAAGACCAGCCCAGATGGTCCATGGTGCCGGAAAAAAAATCAAACATCCTTTAGTGTTAAGCGTCATAATATTAAATGAATATTATAAATGTTAGACATTTGTCCACCAGACCTAGGAGGGCTACCAAGATTAAGGGTTTTAATTGAGTGCACTAGTACAAATATGTATTTATTAGCACTGTAGGCATCGGTAGACTCCACCTGTCAAACGTGTATTCAGGACTAAGGTAATCAGTTTTCTGTACAATTATACAGTATATATTATTCATTATTATGTCATCGTATTGCCTGACGAACAGGTAGGGAAATGTACGCGATGTGTGTAGACATATAAGTCACATATACTTATTTCACAAATGGTTACAATCGTTGATTGTTGGTTGGTTTGGTGTTTAACGCCGATCGATGACATGCATCAACCAAGTCAGCGAGCCTGACCACCCGATCCCGTTAGTCGCCTTTTACGACAAGCATAGTCGCCTTTTACCGCAAGCATGGGTTGCTGAAGACCTGTTCTACCCCGGAGGTTACAATGACCTGGAGGGAGACTCGATGCTTATGTAGCCTTCAACTCAGTTTCACTGAATGGCAAAGGTGCACACTATACATATCATAGACTAAGTCAGGATTGAAACGCGAACTTACTTGACATTAGATCAAGGATGTACATTAAGAGTAACATCGATGTACACAGGCGGGCCGCCATCCCTGTCGTTACAATTGGTTCACACAAATGTAAATGTTGCAGTTGATATTATCGAATATGTATTGATGAACACGTTGTGACATGAACCGCTATTGATGACATGCAGGAAGTTGAACGTGTATCGTGGGCGTTTAATGTTCTGCTGAGCAGAGTAGCATTTGATTGTGCGTCTTTGGAAGTATTTGATGTGATGTTGCGAAGTTATAATCTCATTACTTCAAAATGATACTCTGGGGTTTCGGGAGCTGATTGGCCTTAACCGCAATTCGTAATACAGAGCTACATCCCTTAGTTGTGCCAGGATCCGAAGAGTTTCCCGTGTTTGCCTGCTTTTTGTCGTTAGGAAGCACCATATTAGACTAAAGCTTAGTCTATTATATATTATATAACATATATCTATAACATATTATATTTTGATGGCAACAAATTACTTTTTTAAAATATGAAGGAGCTCCAGTGATCGATCTCCGCAATTGGGATTCGATGACATGCATCAACCAAGTCAGCGAGCCTGACCACTCGATCCCGTTAGTCGCCATTTACGACAAGCATGGGTTGCTGAAGACCTATTCTACCCCGGACATACACGGGTCTAGTGATACTGTATCTCCACATGCACTATAAACTGTTGTCTTAAAAGTCAATACTTTGACTAAGGTCAATATCTAACTTGCCAATTTTTGTCGTGGAAGACAACATACAAATGACTACCTGGTGTCATTACCATCCACACAGTGTCATAACAGACCAGAACTATATTGTGTCGTTTGACAATTCCCTTGTACATGTCTGTGTAGACATTTAGCAATGTGTTATTGTGATAAGAAATAACATGTGAAAATGTATACTATGTCATGATAGGGCAGAACTATGAAATGTCGTTGTGCCTTTTTGATTGTGTGGGGATCCGGGATATAATGTGTCATCAGCACCCATTGCTTGTCGTATGAGGCGACGAAATTGGGCAAACCCTTTGCCGTGGGATGCGCCGGTGTCGGTTGAGGAAGGGAGTCTGGTAGTTGAGGGCACTGGTTCCAGGAATACCGTTCCTTTACCCAATACACCACTTCGACCCTGACTTCACCTAGCCTTCACCTGTGCATACGCTATTTCGTATCCAAGTCCTGCCATGCCTCTGCGGTTTCTTACCGCTGCGGTAAAAAACACGAGAGCGCTGACTGCAGGAAGGATGTGAAGTCTGCACTGCCGTAGGAACTATATCGCCTCTTCAAAATCCACATGACACAAACAGAAGAACCACAAAGACTCAGAGCTCTGTATATTTGTACCCCGTCATATCCAGTTGGCTTCTTTCTGCTATCAATCAATTATGGTCCTTTATCACGTACAATTGGCGTCTTTCTGTTCTTACGATACCAATCAACCATTTCCCTTTGGTGATTTGTTAATCCCTATTATGTATACCACCATGTTGTTTTGTTAATCCCTATTATGGCCGTATAATGGCTGATGCCACACTCAGAAATATTCCAGCTGTATAATGGCTGATGCCACGCTAAGAAATATTCCAGCCGTATAATGGCTGATGCCACACTCAGAAATATTCCAGCTGTATAATGGCTGATGCCACACTCAGAAATATTCTAGCTGTATAATGGCTGATGCCACACTCAGAAATATTCCAGCTGTGTAATGGCTGATGCCGCACTCAGAAATATTCCAGCTGTATAATGGCTGATGCCGCACTCAGAAATATTCCAGCTGTATAATGGCTGATCCCGCACTCAGAAACATTCCATCTATAGGACAATGTCACACTCAGAAATATTCCAACTATAGGACAATGCCACACTCAGAAATATTCCAGCCATATGACGGCTAATGCTTCACTTTTATTTTAGTTTTTAGTTGAGTTTTAAGTTTGGAGGATCTCGATGTCCTGTGCAGTAATAACAGAAACACAGTCATTGATAGATGAAGTTTATCAAAGTAACAGTAATAGATAACATAAAGAAAATATTTCCTAAATGTTATATAAATTGATATAAAATGGTGAACACATGAAAAGTATGGGAATACATATATGTTTAGGTTGTAAGTAACAAGAGTAAGAGAGGCTGTGCTCAGTTGGCTTCAACATCAGGAAAACAGCATCCTGTTTCATAAAGGTCATATATCACTACAAGATCAGGCCACACGACACTCAATACTGTGCTAGACAGTCTGTGTGAAGTAGCACAACCTCTCACTGTGGAATAAATCAAAACCAATGAATATACCAAGATTCATTTAGGTATGTGGACTTAAGGACATATTTAAATAAATATAAATAGTGAATATTACTTCACTCTTTATCCATAGCCCCTGTTGACAAGTTGTAGACATTAATAACATCAACAAAATAATACCACAAATGTTATATGTCCAGTCAAGGTTGCCACTGGTATATCAGAGTTTGACCTATTCCACAAAAGAGGATGTTGTTGCATGCAATGAATTAGCTAGGGTGTCCATCAGTTAAGCTTCAGTCATATTTCCTCCCTTGCATGGTGACCCCTTTATCTCTACTGAGACCATCCTCAATTATTCAGGGTATTATATTTCAATTCTGAAATGAATACCTGGTCCAACAAACAATACCCCAGTGGTATGAGGATGAAAAGGTTACTTGTCTTCATAAATCCCCATCTTTGAATCATTATGGGAGCCTCATATGTTGTATATATGTTGTAATTACAGAGTACAGTTCTATGGAAAACAAAACAATAAAACAGTTATACATATATCAGAATATACTGGTCAAATAATCAGTTGAGCTAAAGCTATGACTACATATTAAAGAGGTATTCTCATTAAAACCATTAAGTATACTGTGGTTGTATCGCTCTGGATTTCTGTACGGTCAAATACATCAGATATTCCCTCCTATCATTTGTTTAAAAGCCAGAAAAAGAAATATGAATTGATGATGACTAAAAGTATCATTTGTTCCATGTCCTTAGTCCTGAAGATCCCTTCCCTCAACTCTCAACTCATAAACTCTCAAATAGTTCTGGTTAATCTTTACTATCTGTTTCCAATATAGAAATCAAATTTGCTAATAGCCATTATAGTTGTATGCCATTATTTAAATGTACAAAACATCTACCAGTAGACTTCCCATTGAATGACAGTGTTAAAGTCTGTGACATGTATATAACAATGTATCTGACATTACCACTGACAGAAGAATTAGAACCATCTTCCAGGATGTGTAATTAAAACTAGGCCGCTGGCACAAGTGTGTCAGCCTCATGATAATGGTATTCTCAAGAATGGTGGTGTTATTCTCTGGGGTGTCACCAAAAGTAGTACTTCCTGATTAATATCTTTCCCTGGAATGTCCACTACATCTGAAAGACAGATCAGCTTCTGTGTAGATACTGAATACATTCATTATTGATTGAAACCCTCTGTATAAGAAATGTCTTTAGTTGAATAAAATTCAAACAAAAACCTACTTCAAACAATGGCACCGGACACATTTGACACACAAATGAAAGTTGTGTCTATGCAAGCAGACTGCTCATGGGGAAAGAACTATATAATGTTACCCCAAAACCAGTATGTTTTTTTCGTATAAAGAAATGAACCATTTGGGGATCTCAATGTACAGCCAAGGTGACAAAATCTGCATAAAATCATAGTTGTCTTGATAGCACCATATTTCCTGCATAGGATTTTCTGGACAACTAACTACAAAGGCAGAAATGGTAATAAGCATGCCAAATGCGAGGCACTTCTCTCTATCACGTTACTCTACACAAGGCCAGACCAATTATTATTCTTGTTCCAGAATTAAGCCTACTCTAATCATTGCAAAGTATATGAAAATAATTAAAACATAGTTTTTTTATTAAAATATATATGCATGAGTTCCTACCTCATGGCATACTGACAAAACAAATAAATTAAAGCCAAAATTGGTCTGGCTTAATGCAATAAAAAAGACACATGCGGTACAGTGAGTGAGTGAGGGGAGCTTAATACTTAATACAATTTCTTAGTTTCATCACAGAGTGACAGCTTGATTTTGGAGGATCAGAGACATTTATAAGCTCGACCCGTGAAGATCCGGGGTAGAATAGGTCTTCAGCAACCCATGCTTGCCGCAAGTGGCAACTATGCTTGTCATAAGTGTCAACTAACGGGATGGGGTGGTCAGGCTAGCTGACTTGCTTGATGCATGTCATCGTATCCCATTGCGTGGATCGATGCTCATGATGTCAATTACTGATTGTCTGGTACAGACTCGATTATTTACAGACCACCAACAAGAACAACACCATCAAGCTCAGCAAAACCAAAAAATAGAATATGGTGCTGACAAACCAAGAAATCATAACTCTGGGATTTGAACCCATGACAAGTTGACACAGTTTGCGGATATCAAAACATAAGCAAGAACTAAAAAAAAAGTGACATCAGTTAAAAAGGCACTGTACATGACAATTCAGCTTTGAATCTAACCACAACTATAAAATATTTTCATTATTGCTTATCAAAGGACTTGACATAAAAAGATAGCAGTATCAAACTAGTTTACAATATGGTTCATATGTTTTAAGAATTATTACTATGTACTACATAAAATTCTGTACTCAAGGTACAGGATTTCAGTTACATTCAAGGCACCACAGAATCATGTGGGAGGAAAGCTGCAAGTAATGCAGTCTTGGATTGTTTGGGCTCCTGGTATTCTAAAAAATATCTAATTACCAAACAAAAACCCAGCCACTCCCCAACTGAACATCAAATGATTGGTCCCTTAGAAAACTGGGCCACTCTGCCTCCTCCTGTGTTGAGAGGGGAAGTCCAAGTGCCACAGTCCATAACGATAATCGAGGCAAATCTGTGACTTGAATCTCTGACCAGATCCTGGCACATAAGGGGCATAACTCTGCACTGACACTAATGAGCCACCAGGTCTCTGCAGTGCTTCAAACATAATACGACTGGTAACAACAAGATAATGTTGAGAGAATCAATGAATCCATAAAGATAATCGAGGCAATTCTGTGACTTGAATATCTGACCAGATCCTGGCACATAAGGGGCATAACTCTGCACTGACACTAATGAGCCACCAGGTCTCTGCAGTGCTTCAAACATAATACGACTGGCAACAACAAGATAATGTTGAGAGAATCAATGAATCCATAAAGATAATCGAGGCAAATCTGTGACTTGAATCTCTGACCAGATCCTGGCACATAAGGGGCATAACTCTGCAAAGCCTGAGACTCATGTGCCACCAGGGCTCTGCAGTTCTTCAAACATAAAATGACTGGCAACAAGAAGATAATGTTGAGAGAATCAATGAGCAAATGGCCTCACTCTGAGTTCGCATCGTGAGTACTCTATGGGTTGTACATGCTAAGTCTCTCCATCAACTGTGAAAACGTATGTCCGCTTTGCAGTTCAGTCTACATTATGAAACAACAAATCCAGGCCTGGTTCCAATGAGAGGGATGCTGAGTGTTCAGACCAATGGGAACTCCTCATGCAACATTGTCGACACATTGTTTTAACATCAGGAGTAACTCATACACGGAGTATCCTTATTTGACGTCCATCAGGCATAATTAAAAATTGACACGCATCCACTACACCACATATCCTTTCCAAGGCCAAAACGTGTTTGTACGTGATGATTTTTTTTATTTCAGAATTGTATGTTTTGGGGGGAGAACACCCACTCCTGAATTAAATATAATGAAATACTAGTATTAGTTCTCAAAACGCTGGCTCTTTTCGTCCTCGGAGCGCCGAACATATATAGTTATGTTTATAGACTTATATCTTCAAAAGTTCTGTATGTAAATAAGGCAGAATTGTGTCCTTAAACCACAGAAAGCCTTATCTTTCTCACTGCAGGCTTCTCATGTGTTGGCCGAATGTATGCTGCAAGATGTTAATTATGTCACGAAAGGGAAAGCATCATTAAAAAAAAAAAAAAGCAAAAAACATAGTTCAATTTTGTTACATCTAATCCCAGATTGATTGCTCCGTCGAAAAAACACACCAGCGTTTTGAAAACCAAATTTTTGTATGTTTAAATACAAACAGGCTGTCCTCTCAAGAAACCATGCTGGATGTGCCAAGGATATCAGCCGTGTGTATTCACAGGTGATGGAGGAACGTGGTGTATACCAACCTCTGAAGTATTGACGATGTAGACTCACAACTATCACAGCTACATGACACCAACACGTAAGCCAGATCAATGACACACTTTATCAACCAGATTACACCAAGAATTAGAGGTCTTCCAAGATGGACACCAAATTAATCAGCCATTAGGAACCTCTGACCCCCAGCAAATCATAACAATTTTTGCTGCCAAATCTCAGTGGTGTATTTTGGTCAGACTTTGAGAAATACTAAGGGAAGAAAGGAAGATCCACATATTGTAAAAATCTACATAATACATGAAACATATCTAAACAATTAGGATAAAACATGAACATATCAAACAGTGTATTCAAGAATGAATACAACTACCAGTATATAGACATGGGAGTAGATACGATCTTTATAAACACATCAACACAACGTGTCCACTAGCCTTTATCAAAGCCTAGTTTCTACCCAAGCCACACCTAGGCCACTTTTATTGGCTCAACCCTGGCACCACCTCGCGTAGATCAGGAGTTGTGCCCCTTGTAATAAAAACGTGATATCCAATCAGATTGCTGTTCTTATCTCGTATAGCTTCACAAAAATGGCAACTGACAGAGGCAACAACCTCATATAACAAAAACATTCGCGATTTCATCCCTGACACAAAAGCATAGATGAAAAAGACATATTCGTGTCAACATAGACAGGCAGCGATTTAAAATCACTTTCATATGAAGGTGTACCAGTCATGGATGTTGATTTTGTGAAACTTTCTCTGATTGGACTATCATTATGTGGTAACGTCCAATCACAGGAAAGTGGGCATGATGTGGCAAAGGTGGAAACAAGACTTTGATAAAAAGGCTAGTGGACGCTCTTGCCTCAGTAATATGATATCAACACAGCTACAGATGCAGTAATAAACAGTGATGTAGATGTTATAATTATTTATTTCATGGGGGATGGTAATGAGTATATGTATACTATGTATACTATATGTACTCAAAAGAAGTTAAAGAACACCCGATTTTTTCACATGACTTTAGTTCATCTGTCATGACCACGATCGGGACCATTTTTTCACATGACTACAATTAATCCATTATGTCCATATACAATGTAGTCAGAAACAATTGTGTGTTTTGTAACTTATTTTGAGTAGTATAAATGATGAGATATATGTCTAAGCTGAGAAAAGACATGGTGTACAGTTGATCTGTGTAAAGTATTTGTAGAACATAAAAACTTGCTGCATATTGAGGGAGATGTTAGCATTGTGTGTTCACATGATACAAGTGAATAACTTTAGCAAGTCAGCATAACATGTTTAAGCAATTGGTCCTCAATGATTTCAATCTTTTTTCAAATCAGATCTAAGTTCTCGCTGCCGCTAAACAAAGATCTGAGGACATCCCATTACGGGTCACGTCAGAACGACCTTTTCGCCAACTTTGACCGACCACTGAAATGACTAACAAGAAGTCAGTCAATTAGAAAGCACCTTTCTCGAGTTTTACGGCACTCGTTTCAACGTGGTGACTTCCATTTCAGATTACACTTGAAAAATATGTTGAAACAGTTGTCGATTAAAATTTTGAAAACTGAACAAATGAATATTCCGGAATGTCTAATGTATCATTGTATTGCAGAGCTTCCCATGAACTGTGTAACATCTCTTTCGAGAGAAAGACGATGATTTTGACGGAATCAGATGGAAACACATTCTGACTGTCGCTTTCATGATCTGGTAAGCAACGCTTTGATTGGTAGGATGAAAGGTCGTTCTGACGTGGCCCGTAATGGGATGTCCTCAGATCTTTGTTTAGCGATAGCGAGAAGATCTGATTTTAATGAGATTGTCAATGATTTGTAACAAAAAATTATCCATTAGGGTAGAAAGGCTGTAATAACCTCCTGATATTTGTATAGTGGCATTTCTGAATGCTGATTGGTCAGTTGAAGTGATATGAGGTCATATTGCTCCGTTGTTGAGAATGTGATATGAAGTCATCTTCTGTTCGCGACGTCTAAGGTTCTGACAATCTGACATCAGAGCTTTGGATAAGTTCAACAAGGTATCTGTATTCATTTTACTGTATTTTTCTTTCTCAAAATGACACGGATTGCTTACACATCTACCATATTCACCGTAATAAGTGTCCTGGGTGCATTGCAAATTCACAAAAGGGGGAGTGCTTATTGAAATCATTTACATGAGATGGAACATTATTGAACATACTTAGTTCAAACATCAATGAAACTGAATGTTTTCTATAATAGTTATGAGGCAACACTATTCCCCATCTACACTGTGTTGTTCGGCAATAATCTGCAACATAAACAACAAAATATGACTGTCACATAAATTTTCAGTGAGTGAGTGAGTTGGGTTTAAAGCCGCTTTTAACAGTATTCCAGTCATATCGCGGCGTGTCAGCTTAATGTGGGAGGAAAGCCCGAAGTGATGCAGGTCTCAGACGTTTACCACTTCGTTGAAAACCACGAGCACGGGTATGGTGCTGACAAACCTAGAAACATAATCGGGGCGAACCGTGATTCGAACCCACAATCATAGGTTTCTGGCGTGCCAAGGGACGCAACTCTGCACAGCGAATCGCGGCGCCTTAGACGACTTGGCCACCTGTGCCTCCCATAAATCTTTTCAGTCTTAGCAGGAGGTGCTTATAAATATTACTTACAGACTGGTCTGGTAGTTGGTCGGGTGGTTATTGGAGCAAGGTGCTTAATTCATCAAATATGGTAATACCGTAAAGAACATAATTAGCCCCTCTGCAGAGGTGTAGTAAGTTATCTAATATACTACGCCCCTTTTGACAAGGAAGTGGGCGAGGTGAAATGAGCTTTAACGTCACGTTTAAGATTATTGCACATAGTCTTTTGCATGCTTTTACTATTCCAGGCTAATGCCAGTTTAAAATGTGAACCTACGTAGATACTATGCCATAGATTAACATGGAAACCCCACTAAGGCACAGTATACCGACTCCAAGCCGACCAGTCCTTGTTCTATCCCCCTAGCTTTCAACATATTTTGGTATGACAAGGCCCTTGGACTATCAGTGCAGATACTCCTGCCGTTTCACATAGTAATGTCATATGTACTCCATCCAATGCATTATGACTGATTACTTACATGTAAACTGTGTGAAATATCTCAGTATCCTAATGATTGTGCAACATAAAGGGTCAAAGGCACAGGAAATTGAGAACAAGTTATTATATTTACATGTATATTGTCGAACAGTTGTTCAATGCACGAATTTGAAAATAGTGGCCAAATTTCATTAGAAATTAATCACTAATACATTCATTGATAAAATACAGAATAAGTAATTTCTTGAAAATTAAAAACAGCAGATCATAGTAAAAGTTGAAGCTGGACTTATATTTACAAATGTCTAAAAACATAGTTTATAAAGTAGAAATATATATATATATATCTTATACTAATATACATACATTTATGACACATTTATCAAGACAATATATATCCAAATCAAACACATTGTAAAAACAAATAATCAAGTTTGCAAATGATAGAAAAAAGCAATTAATAAGCCATTTCAAATTAATTCCGAGTTTGTTATCGCGTAACGGAAAGAGAGCAACAACGCTGCCTTCACTCTATCTGCTTCCCTGGTGTTATAATACTGCAGTGTGATGCTCCCACACTCAGGTATTGTAGGAACTATGGCGGACGGTTACAGGTGAACTTGTTGTAAAGCACTGGCAACAATACACGTGTCATTTACCCAGGTAACGATACGCGTTAACTTAAACCAAAATATTTATCAATCATTTAAAAAAAATGATAACATGATTATGTCAATCTGTATTCTTGATGCAATCAATGAGTGATCCAGTGGCTTAAAAAGTATTGTTATGCCTCATCAACAATTCTTTAGCGTTTTTGCAACCCCGAACCTAAAATGACTTCACATGCACGTTAAGGAGTCAGAGGCTCAGAAAACAATCAAATAAGACCATGCACTAAAACATGTGTTTGCAGTGTACATGCCGTATTTACCGTAATAAGCGTACTGGAGGTTTACAAAACTGACATAGGGAGGCGTTATTAAAAATATAATCACTCTGTTAAATTTGTTTTCAGAGACAGAGCAGTAGTAGAACTGCTCTAGAACAAACGTAGTTCAAATATACATGAAACTATATCTTCTCTGATATCAAATGGTCAGTAGGCAATAATAACCCCCTACAGTGCTGTTTTAAGTATATTTTTGTCTCAAATATATACAAGACAATACAGACTTTTATGTACCTTTTTGATCTTAGTAGAGGGTACTCATAAAGATTACTAAGTCTAAAAAGAATAATAGTCTTGGTTCTCAGGCACTGCCCACATCATCAGACAAGAGAACAGCAAAACTGTTTTTTGGAGGAATATCGCCAATCTAGGGGGGTTTGGGGTTTGCATCCCCCCATGAAAATTTTAAAAACAAAGATTAAAATAAGAGCATTTTACATCATTCTGAGAGGAAAAATCCCAAAATTCCAGGAATCCGAGGAAAATTCTCATGTCTGCATCATCAAGTCTAGCGCATGTTTCCTTTTTATTTCCATTTTCAAAAAAAAAAAAAACTTAAAAAAATTAGATCCAATATAGCAAGCAGTTACTTCCCTTTACCTGCACACTGCTTTACTGTGCATGGTCATGGCGGCAACAGGAGTTTGTATGCTTGTTTATGTAGGGAGGCCCTTTCCCAAGTTGATTTGATGGTACACAACTGTTTATTTGCTTACCAACTCGTTTGAACAAGCAAAAAAAAACCAACCACACGCCAGCACTGTATTTTTGAAAGTCATTGCCTGAGAACCAGTTCTTATATTTTTTTAAGCCTGACATATTGGTGTAGCAGTTGATCAGGGGGGACTTACTGTCCAGTAAGCTCCAGGGCCCACTTGCACAGAATCTTAGCGCTAAGATGATCGTAACTCCTAAACTTTAACATAGGCTTACAATAGTCTTAGGGCTAAGATCGCTTTGTGCAAGTGGGCCCAGGAGCGAGGCACTTAGTATGACTGATGGGGTAGTTTGGTGGCAGGACATTGTGACCTCATCTAATACATCCCTTAAGACTGACATTCCATAAATGACTGCTGTGGTTTTACCATGTCTTTGAGATCTTTGAATGTGCTTTATAACAAGTGCTGAAATATCCAGAATGACTGTCATTCCCAGAATTGTAAAACTCACATCGTGATTGCTAAAGCTGAGGTTTTACATACACTGATCCAGGGCCCCGTTCCACTAAGCAATCTTAGCGCTACGATGATCGTAAGCCTATGTTAAAGTATGGGACTTACGATCACCTTAGCGCTAAGATCGCTTTTGAGGAACGGGGCCCAGGAGTACCAAGAACAATGATAGCATCATGTTATCCATTATCTGATTATCTTCTATGTTGAGACTGAACCACGAGGAAAACACAAATCTCATTACAAAATGACAGAAACCATCTTGATTGTACTCTTTCCTTATTTTCTATGGTGTATCAATAACTGATGGTCAAAAAATGCCAAATGGCTTCAATGTTTGCAGTAACACAACTGCATTCAAAAACATGAATACATGACACTTTTTATGATAGCAGCTCTTATTCTGACAAAGAATAAAAAGAAGTTACAATCCATAAAAAGTGTCATGTTTTCATGTTTTCCAACTTCTGAATGCCTTTCAAAGACTTCATTCAGAAACATGAACGAAGTAAAGTAATTTCCTTCTGTAGTTTGGCTCAAAGTGAAATAGTTAATCAGTAATACTCAACACGTATGGAAACACAATCATTGTGTTTTCATCTTGTTTCAGTCAATTCATCAAAGTAGGGCTGGGACGAGTCCATATTTACTACCCGGGTACCCACCCCACTATAACCCCACCCTACCCGGGTACCCACTGTAAGTCTCAAGAGATAGGTACAAATGTCCAATTGGGAATAGTTTGACCATAGCCCTGGCAAAATGTCTTTAGATACTTGTATAAAACGATCTGGTCATGCATACACTGAAGTTGACTTAAGTTTTATCTCTATTCAAATTAATAAAGTAGGAATGAAATGCAAAAAATTTTTTGCCGTTATACAATATATCACATGGCTAACCACAGGTTCGGTAGTCCTGTGGGTATCCGGGTCGTACTCAGGAACCACCCGACCCGAGTACCCGAGGTACCCGTCCAAGCACTACATCAAAGATACTGGAGCTCTCCTTGTCTGGGTGTTCAGACACCAACATTCTGTTGCGTTGATCTGAAAAGTCCTTTTGTTCCATTGATATCCTTCAGGTTTTCCTATCAAAGCTCCAAAATGACATACAGACAACAATATGCAACAGTTTCACATGACACATATTTATGTGTTGGTAATCCCTGACTCATAAGGTCATATGCCGGTCACTCTTAGGTTTACAGAACTCATCTTAGTAATATACTTTTACAACTTGAATGGGTTTTTTTGAAACGTCAGAAAAGTTGGGTTTTTAGTTTGGACAGATTAATTTTACCTCAAATTAACAAATAATATTTGGCCTTCTGTATATTCAAACTATGACCAAAAAAAGGATTTTCAGTTTATATTTTGTTAATTCCTGTATTAATTTCCCAAAAAATATTTTGAGTGGACAGTTTTCCTGACCAAGACTACACTTAAAAATTGATGCTTTGTTTTCTGAGAATTTTCTCACAAACAAACACAAGCTGTAAACCAAGAGTAAACAAACAAACAAACAACCTGAATACTGACCATAGTAATAAGGCTGCACTGCCTACAACATACAGAAAAGGGTTAAACCATCTTCAACACTGCTACTGTGTTAAGGATGGATTAACCCTTTATACAATGGTGAGCAGTGTTGGTGATAGTTTAAACACTACTCTGTGTATATACATATATATATGCATGTTTGGGTCTGTATATCGAACATTTAAAAACGGAGATGCCATTAACAGGATAGATACCCAGTCTTTAAGAGAAAAAATGTAATGTTATACTGTTCCACATGGCCAATCTACATTACAGAAGTGTCGAATGGCAAAATAACCCAAATCTTTAAATTGTAATTTAATTATAAACCATTCAATGCTATGTTGCAAAACCTCTTGAGGTTACTGAACAAACACTCCAAGCTGAATTTCTACAGCTACATGTTACCATTCTTAGAGATCTGATCAGACAGGACGAAGAACTGATCCCCCAAATCATATATTAACCCCTTAAATGACAGGAACCAAAAAGGCCATACATGATGATCAGGTACTATTGTTTTGTGCACCTGATGGCAGAAATGAGCTTGTTATTTGTATGTTAACCCCTTAGGTATCAAGCTTCTGATGCACTAGCTCCTGCTGCTGTTTGATTGGCTGGCTTGCTGGGAGGGTTAAAGTCGTCGGAGTAGTGGCACTGGGAGCTCATGTCCACGTTGACGTAGGTGTTCTCGATGTTCCTCCTTTGGGGGCCGGTGTTGTGCTCCAGTTGCGAGATCACACCTGTGATGTCCCGGGCCAAATCTGCAAAGGATGGCCGGTCGTTTGGAGTCGCAGACCAACAGTGACGCATGATGGTGTATCTAGAAAAATAAACAGGGAAGGGTTGAAAGGTTTGCATTGGTAAACAAAACCAATTAATGAGTTTGGCTTAACACCACTTCAAACAGTATTGTAGTCAGCTTTGTGTGCAAGGAAAGCCCATGTGAAAGTGATGCAGGTGCTAGACGTTTACCACTCACGTGGAAACCATGATGGTATGGTGCTCACAAACCTAGAAACATAATCAGGGTGAACCAGATTTGAGACCAAGATCATATGTTTCTTGCATGCTTAGGGAAACCTTAGACATCTGGGACACCCACCCACACACACATCAGCCAGGTCACAGAAGTCACTAGTCGCCAGTATAGTGTGAGTGAGTGAGTATGGTTTTACGCCGCTTTTAGCAATATTCCAGCAATATCCCGGCAGGGGACACCAAAAATGGGCGTCACACATTGTACCCATGTCGGGAATCGAACCCAGGTCTTCAGCGTGACGAGGGAACGCTTTAACCACTAGGCTACCTGACCGCCCCCTGCCAGTATAGGCTATATCCTTATTCATTGGGACCACCCAATCCACATCTATCTTCTCAATCCTGGCTGTAGAATGGGTACCTGTCAGGAGAAGGTGGTGTGACAACTATCGGCAACAATTCAACAATCTTGGATGGGCACTACATTTCGGGATCACATTATAACCGATGTAAATCTTACAGTGAACAAACACCACAGTGATCACTTTATCACAGATGTCAATCTTACAGTGACCAAATACCACAGTGATCACATTATCACAGATGTCAATCTTACAGTGACCAAACACCACAGTGATCACATTATCACGGATGTAAATCTTACAGTGACCAAACACCACAGTTATCACATTATCACAGATGTAAATCATACAGTGACCAAACACCACAGTGATCACATTATCATGGATGTCAATCAGACAGTGACCAAACACCACAGTGATCACATTATCACAGATGTAAATCTTACAGTGAACAAACACCACAGTGATCACATTATCACAGATGTAAATCATACAGTGACCAAACACCACAGTGATCACATTATCACAGATGTAAATCTTACAGTGGGTCAGGGCAGTACTGGGGCTGTGCCATCCTCCGTCCTGCTTTCAAGTAGCGGATGATGTCCCAGTTGTCCACCTCAGGGTATGGGTTAACTCCCCTTGTCATCAGCTCCCACAACACTACACCGAATGACCACTGAAACACAAACAGAAAATACAGCCCAGATCAAAGATATAGTGTGTACTAATTCCTATTGCAGTTGTAGTACAATATTACCAATCTGTTTGAACCAGAAAGTCAACAACTCTTGATACCCAGGAACACTGCAACTGTATATCGTCGGATCATAACCATGTAACCATGTCGGGAATCGAACCCAGGTCTTCGGCGTGACGAGCGAACGCTTAAACCACTTGGCTACCCGACCCCCCCCCCCCCCCCACACACACACAGACATTATAGATACTCAGAGTAAGATGATGGCTTGTTTTTAAGAGAAAGTTAAGTGAATGATATGTTTTACAGTTCACGTAATGTGAGAGAAACTATGACTGTTTCCTAAGCATCCGAAAATCCATAACACGGGGATACATAACGCTTATTGCAGCTACTCTTCACATATTATTGTAGGTTGCAACTCCTCCATCATATCCCAAAGGAGCAAAGAAGCCACAGATAACCAGGGCAATCGTTCCACAAGTGATCTTAGCGCTACGACTATCGTAAGCCAGTGTAAAGTATGGGAGTTACGATCACCTTAGTGCTAAGATGGCGCAGGCAAACTAGTGATGTTATGAGCAATGTACCACACAGTTGGAGTACAATGGCATGCAATCAACTAAGTCAGCAAGTCTGTTTGTTTGTTTGTTTGTTTGTTTGTTTGTTGTTTAATGCCGCACTCAGCAATATCCCAGCTTTATTACGGCGGTCTGTAAATAATCGTGTCTGGACATGACAATCCAGTGATTGACATCATGAGCATCGATCCGCGCAATTGGCATACAATGACAAGCATCAACCAAGTCAGCAAGCCTGACCACCCGATCCCGTTAGTTGCCTCTTAGGACAAGCATAGTCGCCTTTTTACAGCAAAAGAATGGGTTGCTGAAGACCTATTCTACCCCGGATCTTCACAGGTCTCGCCAAGTCTGACCACACGATCTATCTGGTTGCAACAGCTGATCTATTCTAACCCACCAATCACCCACATACTCAAGGACTGTCAACTTTCAACTTACAACGTCCGACTTGGCGTTGTATGTTCCCTTCTCCAGACTCTCCAGCGCCATCCACTTGACCGGCAGCTTGGTCTTCTTGTTGTCTGAGCTGTAGTAGTCTTTCTCATAGATGTCTCGCGCCAGACCGAAGTCAGCCACCTTGGCATGGAACTCCTCGTCCAACCTTCAGCCACACAACAAGGTGAGTGAGTGAGTGAGTTTAACACTGCCTTGAGCAGTATGTGTATGTCAAGGTCAGCTAGATGTGTGAGGAAAATCAATGAGTGAGTGAGTTGGGTTGGGTTTAACACTGCCTTGAGCAGTATGTGTATGTCAAGGTCAGCTAGATGTGTGAGGAACATCAGTAGGTGAGTGAGTGAGTGAGTTGGGTTTAGCACTGCCTTGAGCAGAATGTGTATGTCAAGGTCAGCTAGATTTGTGAGGAAAAGCAGTGAGTGAGTGAGTTGGGTTAAGCACTGCCTTGAGCAGAATGTGTATGTCAAGGTCAGCTAGTTTTGTGAGGAAAAGCAGTGTGTGAGTGAGTGAGTGAATTGGGTTTAGCACTACCTTGAGCAGTATTAAGCGTGTGCAAGGTCAGCTAGATGTGTGAGAAAAGTCAGAGTGAGTGAGTGTGTGTGATTTAGTGATTTAGTGAGTGAGTGAGTTGGGATTTTACACTGCCTTAGTACAGAGTTATTTGTTTGTCAATGTCAGCTAGATTTGTGAGGAAAGTCAGAGTGAGTGAGTGAGTGAGTTGGGTTAAACACTGCTGTGAACAGTAATATGTGTGTGTCAAGGTCAGCAAGATGTGTGAGGAAAGTCAGAGTGAGTGAGTGAGTGAGTGAGTGAGTGAGTGAGTTAGTGAGTGAGTGAGTTGGGTTAAACACTGCTGTGAACAGTAATATGTGTGTGTCAAGGTCAGCAAGATGTGTGAGGAAAGTCAGAGTGAGTGAGTGAGTGAGTGATTTGGGTTAAACACTGCTGTGAACAGTAATATGTGTGTGTCAAGGTCAGCAAGATGTGTGAGGCAAGTCAGAGTGAGTGAGTGAGTGAGTGAGTGGGCGAGCGCCAGGGTTAGAGAGTGAGTTGGAGGGTGAGGGCTAGTTTGAATAAGCATGTGAGTGACTGGGTGAGTGAGTGAGTGAGTGAGTGGGCGAGCGCTAGGGTTAGAGAGTGAGTGGGAGGGTGAGCGCTAGGTTGAATAAGCATGTGAGTGACTGGGTGAGTGAGTGAGCGTGTGAATGAGTGAGTTGGGTTTTTACACTGCCTTAGAAAAGTATTGCGTATTTGTATGTCAAGTTCAGTTAAATGTTTTAGGAAACAGATATTAATGAAATGAAAGTTTCTACATATAAAATCAAAATTATTTTTAAGTAAGCATCAATACTTCAAACAAAACCAAGCAACTGAAAACACAAAGCAGACACAACTTACATGCAGTTTCTGGCTGCTAAGTCTCTGTGAACAAACTTGAGACTGGACAGGTATTCCATACCTCTAGCAATGTCTATGCCAAACATTATCAAATCTTTTATTGTGGGGTTCTGAAAGCCAAGGGAAATTAGTAGAATTTTTAGTATATGATCCATTCCAATCTAACTAAAATCAAGTCTTCTGCTCTGATATGATATCTGTCTGCCAGAAGAGATGACAACACCTCCATCACAATCAGACACTCGTTAACTAATCCGATTTTTGGAACACATATTGGACTTAATAGGCCAGTTCAGATTTCAAATAAATAAGGTTGTGCCTGTGTATTATTATGGATATTTCTTTGTTAAAGTCAAAATGTCCCAATCGAGCTGGTGAACAACGGAATCCAAATCATTTTAGAAAGCTGAGATCTGTCAGGGTTCACATGGCATTACCTTGGAAGTGTCCTCAGATCTTCACTCATAGAGGAATCATATCGGGTTATAATGAGATTGTCATCCAAACATTCCAATCATATATTTGTCTGGGTGGCGTTTGACACATCCAGGTCACACGAGTCCTCATTGTCAGCTCCAACATCAAGCAAGAGTGAGTGAGTGAGTTGGGTTTGACGCCACTAAAGACTGTATTTCGGTTTTATCATCCAATACTGGCTTCTACAGGAGATATCACATGGGTGAGACCAAGTGACATCTCCTACGACACACACTCAAGGTTATTATTGTTTACAAACTGAAAAAGTTTAAAGAATGATTTTGGATGATAACAAGAATCTCACCCAAGTGTCTTTTGATATATATATCAACACTCATAGATAAAAGTTTAAAACTCCTTGGCAAGCTTTAGAGTATTAAAACTTTCATCTACTCATGTTAATATCCTTAATCTTACCAGCATCCCCTATAATAAATGATTTAGCGAGCCTCGGCGAGCTAAATACATAGTGTTTATTCCTAATAGAGGATATTTACCATCCCCAAACACACAAGCATGATAACCTCTTTATCATATAATGTCATTCTTTAATTCTGTGCTTTAAAATCGCTCTCCCACAAACATTACCGAAACACTGCGAGTTTTCCTGGAATACGCGCATTAATATTTATATTAATTATGGAATTATTTATGGAATACGCGCATTAATATTATATTTTAGAGGTCTACAAGCACAGATATGGCTACTGATCCCGCTTGGCTGGGCCTAGTGCACTCGCAAAATTGTTTCAAAATTTATATCTCCAAAGTTGCCAAAACTTATAAAATGCCTTAGCTACGTCACAGTTAGACACTGATCTTCAAAATATTAGACTGTTCTTTTGATAATGGTAGCAATTATCCCTGTAGTTTATCCAGATTCCCGATGGTTATTCTGACTCGATCGCCGAATGACAAGGGCGACGCCATGTTTGTTTATAAACACTAAAAGTAGTCCCTACTTGACCTTTGATATTTGCATCTCTATCCGCATATGACCCCAACGGATATCGTTTTTATCCGTTGACTTTATCCTGCCGAGAAACCTACCCATTATATGATAAACACATGTATAAGGCACTGGAGATAAAAATATTAAGGGAAGTGAAGGATGTAAGCCAATATTATTAATCTTTGAACATGCAACTATGCAAGGAAGCTAGCCATGTACATAAAACAACATGTGATGGCCAAGCCCATACTTTCTGAGGTGTACATGGTTTAGAACACTCAGAAAAAAGAAAACTGTGTACTCAGAAGGGTTTCAAGTATGCTAGTCAAAAACTAGTAAACTTCAGGATGGACTAGTGACATTTCCTTGTGGACTACCACTTTTACCTTTAGGTAGATGGCAATTCTGTAGCAGGACGAGTGACATTTCCATGTGGACTACCACTTTTACCATTAGGTAGATGGCAATTCTGTAGCAGGACTAGTGACATTTCCTTGTGGACTACCACTTTTACCATTAGGTAGATGGCAATTCTGTAGCAGGACTAGTGACATTTCCATGTGGACTACCACTTTTACCATTAGGTAGATGGCAATTCTGTAGCAGGACGAGTGACATTGCCATGTGGACTACCACTTTTACCATTAGGTAGATGGCAATTCTGTAGCAGGACTAGTGACATTTCCATGTGGACTACCACTTTTACCATTAGGTAGATGGCAATTCTGTAGCAGGACTAGTGACATTTCCTTGTGGACTACCACTTTTACCATTAGGTAGATGGCAATTCTGTAGCAGGACTAGTGACATTGCCATGTGGACTACCACTTTTACCATTAGGTAGATGGCAATTCTGTAGCAGGACTAGTGACATTTCCTTGTGGACTACCACTTTTACCATTAGGTAGATGGCAATTCTGTAGCAGGACTAGTGACATTTCCTTGTGGACTACCACTTTTACCATTAGGTAGATGGCAATTCTGTAGCAGGACTAGTGACATTTCCATGTGGACTACCACTTTTACCTTTAGGTAGATGGCAATTCTGTAGCAGGACGAGTGACATTGCCATGTGGACTACCACTTTTACCATTAGGTAGATGGCAATTCTGTAGCAGGACTAGTGACATTTCCATGTGGACTACCACTTTTACCATTAGGTAGATGGCAATTCTGTAGCAGGACTAGTGACATTTCCTTGTGGACTACCACTTTTACCATTAGGTAGATGGCAATTCTGTAGCAGGACTAGTGACATTGCCATGTGGACTACCACTTTTACCATTAGGTAGATGGCAATTCTGTAGCAGGACTAGTGACATTTCCTTGTGGACTACCACTTTTACCATTAGGTAGATGGCAATTCTGTAGCAGGACTAGTGACATTTCCTTGTGGACTACCACTTTTACCATTAGGTAGATGGAAATTCTGTAGCAGGACGAGTGACATTTCCTTGTGGACTACCACTTTTACCATTAGGTAGATGGCAATTCTGTAGCAGGACTAGTGACATTTCCTTGTGGACTACCACTTTTACCATTAGGTAGATGGCAATTCTGTAGCAGGACGAGTGACATTTCCTTGTGGACTACCACTTTTACCATTAGGTAGATGGCAATTCTGTAGCAGGACCAGTGACATTTCCTTGTGGACTACCACTTTTACCATTAGGTAGATGGCAATTCTGTAGCAGGACTAGTGACATTTCCTTGTGGACTACCACTTTTACCATTAGGTAGATGGCAATTCTGTAGCAGGACTAGTGACATTTCCTTGTGGACTACCACTTTTACCATTAGGTAGATGGCAATTCTGTAGCAGGACTAGTGACATTTCCTTGTGGACTACCACTTTTACCATTAGGTAGATGGCAATTCTGTAGCAGGACTAGTGACATTTCCTTGTGGACTACCACTTTTACCATTAGGTAGATGGCAATTCTGTAGCAGGACGAGTGACATTGCCATGTGGACTACCACTTTTACCATTAGGTAGATGGCAATTCTGTAGCAGGACTAGTGACATTGCCATGTGGACTACCACTTTTACCATTAGGTAGATGGCAATTCTGTAGCAGGACCAGTGACATTTCCATGTGGACTACCACTTTTACCTTTAGGTAGATGGCAATTCTGTAGCAGGACGAGTGACATTGCCATGTGGACTACCACTTTTACCATTAGGTAGATGGCAATTCTGTAGCAGGACTAGTGACATTTCCTTGTGGACTACCACTTTTACCATTAGGTAGATGGCAATTCTGTAGCAGGACGAGTGACATTTCCTTGTGGACTACCACTTTTACCATTAGGTAGATGGCAATTCTGTAGCAGGACTAGTGACATTTCCTTGTGGACTACCACTTTTACCATTAGGTAGATGGCAATTCTGTAGCAGGACTAGTGACATTTCCATGTGGACTACCACTTTTACCATTAGGTAGATGGCAATTCTGTAGCAGGACTAGCGACATTTCCTTGTGGACTACCACTTTTACCATTAGGTAGATGGCAATTCTGTAGCAGGACGAGTGACATTGCCATGTGGACTACCACTTTTACCATTAGGTAGATGGCAATTCTGTAGCAGGACTAGTGACATTGCCATGTGGACTACCACTTTTACCATTAGGTAGATGGCAATTCTGTAGCAGGACTAGTGACATTTCCATGTGGACTACCACTTTTACCTTTAGGTAGATGGCAATTCTGTAGCAGGACGAGTGACATTGCCATGTGGACTACCACTTTTACCATTAGGTAGATGGCAATTCTGTAGCAGGACTAGTGACATTTCCTTGTGGACTACCACTTTTACCATTAGGTAGATGGCAATTCTGTAGCAGGACTAGTGACATTTCCATGTGGACTACCACTTTTACCATTAGGTAGATGGCAATTCTGTAGCAGGACTAGCGACATTTCCTTGTGGACTACCACTTTTACCATTAGGTAGATGGCAATTCTGTAGCAGGACGAGTGACATTGCCATGTGGACTACCACTTTTACCATTAGGTAGATGGCAATTCTGTAGCAGGACTAGTGACATTGCCATGTGGACTACCACTTTTACCATTAGGTAGATGGCAATTCTGTAGCAGGACGAGTGACATTTCCATGTGGACTACCACTTTTACCTTTAGGTAGATGGCAATTCTGTAGCAGGACTAGTGACATTGCCATGTGGACTACCACTTTTACCATTAGGTAGATGGCAATTCTGTAGCAGGACTAGTGACATTTCCTTGTGGACTACCACTTTTACCATTAGGTAGATGGCAATTCTGTAGCAGGACGAGTGACATTTCCTTGTGGACTACCACTTTTACCATTAGGTAGATGGCAATTCTGTAGCAGGACGAGTGACATTGCCATGTGGACTACCACTTTTACCATTAGGTAGATGGCAATTCTGTAGCAGGACTAGTGACATTTCCTTGTGGACTACCACTTTTACCATTAGGTAGATGGCAATTCTGTAGCAGGACGAGTGACATTTCCTTGTGGACTACCACTTTTACCTTTAGGTAGATGGCAATTCTGTAGCAGGACTAGTGACATTGCCATGTGGACTACCACTTTTACCATTAGGTAGATGGCAATTCTGTAGCAGGACTAGTGACATTTCCTTGTGGACTACCACTTTTACCATTAGGTAGATGGCAATTCTGTAGCAGGACGAGTGACATTTCCTTGTGGACTACCACTTTTACCATTAGGTAGATGGCAATTCTGTAGCAGGACCAGTGACATTTCCTTGTGGACTACCACTTTTACCATTAGGTAGATGGCCACTCTGTAGCAGGACGAGTGACATTTCCTTGTGGACTACCACTTTTACCTTTAGGTAGATGGAAATTCTGTAGCAGGACCAGTGACATTTCCTTGTGGACTACCACTTTTACCATTAGGTAGATGGCAATTCTGTAGCAGGACTAGTGACATTTCCTTGTGGACTACCACTTTTACCATTAGGTAGATGGCCACTCTGTAGCAGGACTAGTGACATTTCCTTGTGGACTACCACTTTTACCTTTAGGTAGATGGCAATTCTGTAGCAGGACTAGTGACATTTCCATGTGGACTACCACTTTTACCATTAGATAGATGGAAATTCTGTAGCAGGACCAGTGACATTATGTGGACTACCACTTTTACCATTAGGTAGATGGTAACTCTGTGGCCTGTGGCAGATGATTTTTGCAGACAAGTGCAATAAAAACCACATATTTCAAACTTTGTCCAAATGCCTTTTCCTCCACTCAGTGAAAGCAGTACTATCAAAAGTAGGCGTTATGAAAGGTTAGAGTGAGGGAGTGAGTTTGGTTTAATGCCACTTGAACAGTATTCCAGTTATATCACTTCGTGTCAGCTTGATGTGGAAAAAGAGCCGGAGTGATGCAGGTCTTAGACGTATCGTGATACGTATCGGATCGCACAGTTGGTGTATCTTCCCAGCCCTACAACATACTAAGGTACATGTATCTCAACAACAACTAAACCCCTGAGAACCTACCTTGGTTTCATCCCTGATGTAGGAGAGGAGGTCGCCGTGTGACATGAAGGGCAGGACCACCAGAGGCATAGCGTCCATCCCCAGACAGATGCCGATCAGTGCCAGGACGTTGGGGTGATGGAAGTCTTTCATGATGAGAGCCTCCTGGAGGAAAGCCTGCAACTCAATGTCCCGGGGAGCATCCTCTGTAACACACAGAGTGAGTGAGTGAGTGAGTGAGTGTGTAGTGAGTGAGTGAGTGAGTGAGTGAGTGAGTGAGTGGGTGGGTGGGTGGGTGGGTGGGTGGGTGGGTGGGTGAGTGAGTGAGTGAGTGAGTGAGTGAGTGAGTGAGTGAGTGGGCGAGCGCTAGGGTTAGAGAGTGAGTTAGAGGGTGAGCGCTAGGTTGAATAAGCATGTGAGTGACTGGGTGAGTGACTGGGTGAGTGAGTGAGTGGGCGAGCGCTAGGGTTAGAGAGTGAGTTAGAGGGTGAGCGCTAGGTTGAATAAGCATGTGAGTGAGTGAGGAGGGTGGGGGGGGTGGGGGGTCTTTGGGTTTTGTTTGTTTATTTGTTTGATGTTTAAAGCCGCACTCAGCAATATTCTAGCTTTTTGATGGCTGTCTGCAAATAATCGAGCCAGGACCAGACAATCCAGTGATTGACATGAGCATCGATCCATGCAAGTGGGACATGATGCATGCATCAACCAAGTCAGCGAGCCTGACCCCCCGATCCCGTTAGTCGCCTCTTACAACAAGCATAGTCGCCTTTTACAGCAAGCATGGGTTGCTGAAGACCTATTCTACCCCGGATCTTCAAGGGTCGAGTGGGTGGGTGGGTGGGTGTATGGGTTGGTGGGTAGGTCTTGTTGGGTAGGTGGGTGGGAGGGTGGATCTGAATTAAAGTATTGTAGGTCACTCTGAGTAATGAAGATTTATTAAGGAAGTGATGGGACCAGAGAAAATTTGTCTGATTTTGACAGTTTTCACTGTACATGTATCTTTTGTGAATATAGAATGAAATTGTACTCACGGTGAAGAGTTTTTATTGCAACCATCATGTCGCCTTTCTCATCTGGTAAAGTCAGAAAGCCTCGGTAGACGCAGCCAAAATGTCCTGAAGATGTAGAGGTCAATATACAAATGGTTCTACAGAGTGGCGCATGGCTCAAGGTGAGGTGAGGTGAAATGGGGTTTAACGTCGCGTCCAAGATTATTGCACTTATATAGCGACGTGCATGTACGTGTGTGTGTGTGTGTGTGGCTGCTTGTACTTGTCCGGACTGATGCCGATTTATAGTGCTAGCTCACTGAGATACCATGCCGCAGTTTAACATGAATACCCGACTCAGACACAATATACTGACTCCAACCCGACAAGTCCTTGTTTTAGCCCCTTAATGCTGAACATCAGACTGGGTAACAACAAGTACCATCTTTTAACGTCTTTTTGTATGACGTGGTCGGGGATCGAACCCCGGACCTTCCGCTCTCCAGCAGACACTCTGCCACCAGACCACGGAGGCGGTCTCCATGGCTCAAGGGGTCCAATTCCAAATTCTACCATGAATTCAAGTTGTAGTTACCACAATATTCAAAGAATATGTGGCAGGTAATACACTCACACCAACCTCACTTCAACCTCTTTCTCGATCTCCCTTCACTCTGATCTCACTCAATGTAACTTCACTCTAACCTCAAACTGACCTCAATCGGATCTCAATCTGACCTCATACTAACTTCACACTGATCTCACACTAAATTCACACTGATCTCACACTAACTTCACCCTGAGCTCACACTAACTTCACACTGATCTCACACTAACTTCACCCAGATCCCACACTAACCTCACCCTGAGATCACACAAACTTCACCCTGATCTCACACTAACTTCACCCTGAGATCACACTAACTTCACACTGATCTCACACTAACTTCACCCAGATCCCACACTAACTTCACACTGATCTCACACTAACTTCACCCTGAGATCACACTAACTTCACCCTGAGATCACACTAACTTCACCATGAGATCACACTAACTTCACACTGATCCCACACTAACTTCACCCTGAGATCACACTAACTTCACACTGATCTCACACTAACTTCACTCTGAGCTCATACTAACTTCACACTGATCTCACACTAACTTCACACTGACCCAACTGATCTCACACTAACTTCACCCTGATATCACACTAACTTCACCTTGAGATCACACTAACTTCACCCTGATCCCACACTAACTTCACCCTGATCTCACACGAACTTCACCGCCTCCGTGGTCTTGTGGTAGAGCGTCCGCCCGGAGAGCGGAAGGTCCGGTGTTCGATCCCCGGCCGCGTCATACCAAAAGACGTTAAAAGATGGTACTTGTTGTTACCATGTCTGGCGCTTGGCATTAAGGGGCTAAAACAAGGACTGGTCGGCTCGGAGTCAGTATACTGTGTCTGAGTGGGGTATTCATGTTAAAATGCGGCATGGTATCTCAGTGAGCTAGCACTATAAATCGGCATCAGTCCGGACTAGTATAAGCAGCCACACAAACACATATACATACATGCACGTCGCTATATAAGTGCAATAATCTTGGACGCGACGTTAAACCCAGTTTCACCTCACCTCACCTCACCTCACACTAACTTCACATTGATCTCACACTAACTTCACCATGAGATCACACTAACTTCACCCTGATCCCACACTAACTTCACCCTGAGATCACACTAACTTCACACTGAGATCACACTAACTTCACACTGATCTCACACTAACTTCACCCTGAGATCACACTAACTTCACCCTGAGATCACACTAACTTCACACTGATCTCACACTAACTTCACCCAGATCCCACACTAACTTCACCCTGAGATCACACTAACTTCACCCTGATCTCACACTAACTTCACCCTGAGATCACACTAACTTCGCCCAGATCTCACACTAACTTCACCCAGATCCCACACTAACTTCACACTAATCTCACACTAACTTCACACTGATCTCACACTAACTTCACCCTGAGATCACACTAACTTCACACTGATCCCACACTAACTTCACACTGATCACACACTAACTTCACACTGATCTCACACTAACTTCACACTGATCTCACACTAACTTCACACTGAGATCACACTAACTTCACACTGATCTCACACTAACTTCACCCAGATCCCACACTAACTTCACCCTGATCCCACACTAACTTCACCCTGATCTCACACTAACTTCACACTGATCTCACACTATCTTCACACTGATCTCACACTCACTTCACCCTGAGATCACACTAACTTCACCCTGAGATCACACTAACTTCACACTGATCTCACACTCACTTCACCCTGAGATCATACTAACTTCACACTGATCTCACACTAACTTCACACTGATCTCACACTAACTTCACCGAGATCACACTAACTTCACACTGATCTCACACTAACTTCACACTGACCCAACTAATCTCACTGACCTATTTGCTGTAATTCACTCTGCTCAAGACGCCACTCTGAACTCTGATCTCACTCTGATCTCACTTTTACATCATTCTGATCTCATGTTCATCTCACTGACCACATTCACTCACCTTTTCCCAGAATGTCTCCACGTGTAAGAACTTGGTGGTCGATAAGCAGATTCTCGTTTTGTATGAGTGCTAGCATGTCGTCACTCACCAATGACAAAGCCGTATGGTGATCCTGCACAGGACGCCGCTCAGCATAATCTGAACAGAAACATAGTTATACAAAGTCTGAATTGTTTCAGCAACACTAGCATATACAAACATCCACAGAAAACAAACTGTCTCCTTAATGCCCTTGACAGAAATTGTAAATGATTTACAATTTGTTCTTTCTTCTACAATCTTATGTTGAGACCAATCACGAGTTAAGGGACCTTGGAGCTGTTGTACAAAGCGATCTTAGTACTAAGGTGATCGTAACTACCATACCATAACGTTTACCTACGACAGTCGTAGAGCTAAGGTTGTTTCGTACAAGGGCACCCTTATGGGTAAAAAATCACATTTTGACTTCTTATTATATTTTAAAACTACAGTATCTTACGACCACAAAATAACAATTCATAAGCTTCAATTCATATTAATTACAGAGGCACATGGCATCAAATCTTTGGACTTGTTTGCTGCAAAGTCCCATGTTCAGACTAAATCTTTTTATGTAATGATTGCAGTTTTCATATTCAATGGCTGACTGATTGAAAGTTGACATGTATGCTGAAATGTTTTGAAATGTTTTGTTACAATACAAACTAACGAGAGAGAAATAAGATTTCTGTACAGTCTGACGTCACAGAGCAATTGCATCCCAGCAACCATTGGTTCCCTCTTCTCCTGCCAGAGTTGTTTGATAAAAACTAACCATTCTGTCGATTTTCAAAACTATAAGTGCCTCCCGCTCCGCTCATCTGATGGATGTTCATTTCCTGTCCCGCAGTGTATGCCACATGATGGTCTTCATCGCTGATCTCCTTGAAGAAGCCAAATTTCTTGACCTTCATGATGATGAGCAGCACAATGCCGGCTACCAGGATGAACACGAGGATGACAATAAGGATGATGATGCTGGTCGCCATTCCCACTAAAATGCCGCTGGTGTAGACAACATCGCCTATATCCTCGAAGTGAAGATAGCCCACATCAATCTAGAGATGGGAATAGAGAAGAAGCTCATAACAGCCTGGCATTTGCATAACATCACGACAGTAACATGACGCCAACATTATCATGGAACACCAAAGTGTTAGTTCTTGACACTAACATCACACTAACATGATCATGGAAGACCAAAGTGTTAGTTCATGACACTAACATCACACTAACATGATCATGGAAGACCAATGTGTGTGTTCATGACACTACCATAACACTAACATGATCATGGAAGACCAATGTGTTAGTTCATGACACTAACATGACACTAACATGATCATGGAAGACCTATGTGTTAGTTCATGACACTAACATGATCATGGAAGACCTATGTGTAAGTTCATGACACTAACATCACACTAACATGATCATGGAAGACCAAGGTGTTAGTTCTTGACACTAACATGACACTAACATGATCATGGAAGACCTATGTGTAAGTTCATGACACTAACATGATCATGGAAGACCTATGTGTAAGTTCATGACAGTAACATGACCATGGAAGACCTATGTGTAAGTTCATGACACTAACATCACACTAACATGATCATGGAAGACCAAGGTGTTAGTTCTTGACACTAACATGATCATGGAAGACCTATGTGTAAGTTCATGATACTAACATGATCATGGAAGACCTATGTGTAAGTTCATGACACTAACATCACACTAACATGATCATGGAAATCCTATGTGTAAGTTCATGACACTAACATCACAATAACATGATCATGGAAGACCAAGGTGTTAGTTCTTGACACTAACATGATCATGGAAGACCAAAGTGTTAGTTCATGACACTAACATGACACTAACATGATCATGGAAGACCTATGTGTAAGTTCATGACACTAACATGATCATGGAAGACCTATGTGTAAGTTCAAGACACTAACATCACACTAACATGATCATGGAAGACCAAGGTGTTAGTTCTTGACACTAACATAATAATGGAAGACCTGTGTGTAAGTTCATGACACTAACATGACACTAACATGATCATGGAAGACCTATGTGTAAGTTCATGACACTAACATGATCATGGAAGACCTATGTGTTAGTTCATGACAGTAACATGACACCAACATGATCGTGGAAGACCAAAGTGTAAGTTCATGACACTAACATGACACCAACATGATCATGGAAGACCAAGGTGTTAGTTCTTGACCAGGGGTCCGGAAAATTTAAAATCCCAATCGGACATTTGCATTTAGGCCACGCCCCCTTCAAATAGCGTATTTTAGTACGACTTTTCACACACATTACAAGTTTACGTATTCATAATATGATGAATTATGAATTATTTCAATTTAAATTGTTTAATTCACCGGACAATTAATAACAAATAATATCATTTTAGATTTACATGGAAAACATACGTTTGTTTCTGTTATAATAACGATCTGTTAACGTAGTGAACGGTCTAATTAATATTCATGAGTTATATTCATGAGTCTGCTCAAGTGTACACGTTGTAACATTTGGATCGAGACTATTATCCCATATTTGGTTATCACGTGACCTCACGGGAAAAGGGTTTTTTTAAACTACGGTAAAGATTTTTTTAAAAACAAGACAGATAATTTAATCACAAATACTAAAATATCGTTGATAGCAATAGTTATTTGAATATTTGTTTTTCATCTGTACTTAATTATTGACCATAAAAAAATTGGATATCGATCGTCCGAGAAAGCAAAATGGCGGTCAATCAAGATTCAATATACGACTAGCTACTGAAAACAATAAAATCTGCAAATCCTCATTGTATGTCAACCGAGTGAAAGTCGTTAACCACGACTTACAAAATGATCGTCCAGACTTTGAGGGTTTGGCAGATCTGCTCGACTGATCTGCATCGGTCGACTGGCTGTCATCACGCTTTCGCTTCTTGTCTGAGGTTACGTATCGTAGCATTGTGAGGATAATGAGGTACATCGATGATGCAAGGTGTTAATGTACAGTTGTAAACTCACTCAAATTAACAAGATGTTCTCAGTAATTAATCCTCGATTAATCGGTGTCAACTCAGTTTATTGCCTATTACAGTGATTGACCGATTGGACTATCATGTAGGTACGATGTATTTACAGCAATCAAAACAAACAAAGCTTGTCAGTGTAGTTAATCTTCATTGTGTTGCAACTGCAGACAGAAACTGCTCAGTCCTAACTGTTGATCATGTCCGGTCAAAATTTAAGAATGTCCGGACAATACTTTTTAAAATGTCTGGTAAGCAATATTTTAAAACGGACATTTGAGATTCCCAATCGGACATGTCCGGCGCATATGACGGTTTCCGGACCCCTGTTCTTGACACTAACATGATCATGGAAGACCAAAGTGTTAGTTCATGACACTAACATCACACTAACATGATCATAGAAGACCAAAGTGTTAGGCCATGACACCAACATGATCACTGAAGACCAAGGTGTTAGCTCTTGACACTAACTTGACACTAACATGATCATGGAAGACCAAAGTGTTAGTTCATGACACTAACATCACACTAACATGATCATAGAAGACCAAAGTGTTCATCAGGTAAAAAGGAAAAAAACAAACAATCTAAGACAATGTCAAAAATTAACTAATCACGCCATGAAATAGAATGACTGCAGAGTATGTCATCACTGTAACCATGGTAACAGAATGCTTCAAGAATGTATACTTACAGTCACCAAGTGCGCCACTTGGCCCTCTTTACTTTCGCTGACACTATCTGGCTTGTTGATAGGAATGCAGGAAAGAGAGGTGGCCTTGACCTCAGTGACATTGCATGGTGAAGACCCAACCATGACCTTGAACTCTGATGGATGCAAAATAAGGTCCAGGTATTCTCCCTAGAAGGAACAAAATTAGCTAAATATAAAAATCAAAATTACGAAATCTCGGTATCCAGACACCAAACATGACCAGAAAAGATCTAGTACGCTTGTTGGAGGCCAATTGAAATCGTAGGATACCATCTTCGACAGTTACGAGTGACGAATGTCAAAATTCAGATGGGACCACTACAAAATAAGGTCTAGGTATTCTCCCTAGAAGGAAAAAAATCGGCTAAATATAAAAATCACTGACGTTCATAACATATTCAGTGATCAACAATTAAGTGAGTGAGTGAGTTAAGGTTTAACGTCACATCGGTGATCAACAATTGACTTGCCTTTGCATGTGGAGGCTGTGCTCACCATTTCGCGAACACATGGTGTCATTACTATTTGATGGAGACTCGTAAACAAATGCTCATGATGTAGTTGGAACTGTAAAATCAACTATGCTTTTGGCAGAGATTTCTTATGAATATGGAAAGGGTTTTGTCGCATGTATTTGCATGCAAAATCTCCCTAATGACAAGTTCCCACGCATGCAGGCCTCCTGTTGAACATACATAATAACGGAACAAAGAGCAGCTGTATGCGGGGACATTCTAATGTATAACGGTTGTCCAGTACGGTGAGGTGAGACGAAATAGGGTTTAACATCATGTTCAAGATTATTGCACTTCAGTAACGACACGGCATACATGAGTGTGTGTGTGGCTGCTTGTACTAGTCCAGACTAAAGCCAATTTTATAGTGCTAGCCCACTGAGATATTATGATGCAGTTTAACTTGAATATCCCACTCAGACACAGTAGACAGACTCCGACCCGACCAGGCCTAGTTTGTCCCCTTAATGACGAGTGCCAGGCAGGGTAACAAAAAATACCATCTTTTAACGTTGTTTGGGATGAAACGGCCGTTGATCGAACCCCCTACCTTCCTCTCTCTGGGTCAACGCTCTACCATAAGACCACGGAGGCAGTCAGTCGTCCAGTAAGAAAAGTGGGCGTGTCAACCAGCATTATACCAACTGACTCCAGGGTAGAACTGGTCACCAGCGACCTCTGCTGGCCGTAAGAGGAGGCATAAAGGATCGGGTGGTCAGGATCGGTGACGGCGTGTCATTTACTGTGATAATTAACAGGCCACATATTTCAGAGTGCGGTTTTAAACTACAAGAAACCAACGGCGTCAATTGGCTGTGTAACGTGATCACATACTGTAGAAGAGTGGTACAGGAGCTGGTCATGCTCGCTGACTTGGTTGATGCATGTCATTGTTTCCCTATTGTGTGGATTGATGCTCATGATGTCAATCACTGGATTGTCTGGTCCAGACTCGATTATTTACAGACCGCCGTCATATAGCTGGAATATTGCTGAGTGTGGCGTTAAACAACAAACAAACGAAGCATACAACACATGAAAGACTTCACTGTGTATTGATGGGTGTCATTTCACAGGAAAGTGAGTGAGCCATCCATGCATCTTGTCACAAGCTCATTCAGTCTGATTGTACAATCACTTCACTGATGCACAGACAAAATAATTTCAAATAGATTTGTTTGTTTGTTTGTTGCTTAACGCCGCACTCAGCAATTTTCCAGCTATATGACGGCGGTCTGTAAAATAATCGAGTCTGGACCAGACAATCCAGTGATTTACGACAAGCATAGTCACCTTTTATGGCAAGCATGGTTTGCTGAAGACCTATTCTACCCCGGGATCTTCACGGGTCCATTTCAAATAGAACCCCCATACTTAAATTGATTGCATAATTGTTTCATGCTGTAGAATGTGACACTCAGCAATATTACAACTGTATGACAGCAACCCGTAAATAATCAACACTGGACCAGACAGTGATTGATATCATGAGCAACGAACCACTCCGTCGGTAACGATCAAGCAAGTCCCCAAAACCTGACCACCAGACCCAGCAAGTTGTCACGTACAACAATAGGTTCTGTAGACCTATTCCAACCTGGAACTCCTATCGGGTCTTGTGAGTTTGTAAGGCTGGCAAATGCTTAAAAAACGATGTGATAGCCTTACCTCTATCTGTAGATGTCTTTCTGTGACAGGGAAGTAGTATATGTGGCTGTCTCCCGTGAATTTGTGAAACTTGGGATCGAGGTAGTACTGGAAATTACTGATCCGAGCCCGCGCATTCGGGAATACGGACTGGCTGAGATTCTTTACTCCGTCCATTATGAAGAAGATTTTGATCCCCACTGGAAGTTTTTCAGATGGGGATGTTGAAAGGGCCTCTGACACGTCTATGGCATTGCAAATCATCACGTTACCTCCATCAGTCACATCACACTCCTGAAACAGTTGCATTCAGGTCACTTTTATTCTTTTTATTTCTCATATAAATTACAATATTATAGTTTACAGAGGTGTGCTGATGTGTTTGTGAAAATATTCTCGTCACCTGGCATGGGTATTTTAAAAACTATATAATAACCTGATAATACAGTTTTTTACAAACACTATGAAAATCTGATAAGCATTTATATTGAAAATTTTACAATAAATTGTCTCCTATCTCATGCCATGCATTTATCCTTCTTGCGATCTGGGTGTGGAAATGCTCTAGAACAAAGTTTCCAGCTTCAAAAAACATATCACCCGAATACATCCCATCATCACCATGGTCAGCACCTAAACAAATGGGTCACGCACTGCAATCCCATGCATCGCGACCCTCCACGACCTGATCATCTGAAATAACCTGGCACGGACAGGCTGGGGTAACTGTGATGCAGGGATGGTCGGGAGGGCATATAGCCTGTGACATGGTGAGATAGGACAAGTTTATAAATATACAATTTAACGTAAAATTTTCACATCTTTAAACTTATCCTGTCTCACACCATGCGTTACATCCGACGGTCAGATGGTGGGGTGCAGATACCTCAAGCCTGTAATAGACCGCAAATGTGAGATGTTCACAAGGAAGCTGGTGCTAAACAATGCTTCAACAACAAGATGACGCACAGTTTAGTGTTGTAAAGACAGGAACTCGTGAATGGGTGAACACAAGAAAAAGTAAAAAAAAAATTATGTTACTAGGACACAATATCATGATAACAGGTAGTACATGTGTTATGTGTCTTCATGTAGGACATCATTTCTTGAACAATCGCAGCTTTGAAGTATGGAGCCTACATGTAACCAAAACCAATCTGGAAGGGGTCTCCGGTCAATTAGTTCGACAAGACAGGCTACACGAAACTGTCTCCTACAGACAACAGGGTGAGCCTGCTTGGCATCACTTTTTATGCTCATCAAAGCTAACAACCTCGCCCATGGAATTGAATCATGCTAAGACAAGAAGAGGTAACAATGGCCAACATCCATAACAGGATCTTCAAACCAATACTGAAACATCATTTTCTCAAGCCAGAGGTGAACAGGCGAAGGTTTAGGACACTGCCGAAACAGATGCCCGACTGGCGACATCAATATTAAACACCTGAGTCTCTACTGATGAATTTCTTACCCCCCAATGGATACTTAGTCTTAGAACCTGAAGTATAAAAATACTAAATTAAGGATTGACTTTCTAACATTTGTTTTCATGTGTATAAGATACGGGTGTATGATACAGCCAAAGTAGATACGACATATCTTCCTCAATATTTGAAACATTTTCTCAATTTATTCTGATATATTTGATCGTTATTTGTAAATTTCTAAGTTTGGTAATACTCTCTTCCTTGCTTTTAGTTATTGAGGGTCAAGGGGAGTTTTTGAAGGTGTTGCAACATTGTGGGCACTGGAGTGATGGAGTCTCTCACACACACACAGTCCTGAAAGTTTAACAAGGATACCCCACTCAGACACAGTATACTGACTCCAAGCTGAGCAGTCCTTGTTTTAGCCCCTTCATGCTGAGCGCCAGACAGGGTAACAAGCAGGGCCATCTTTGAACGTATTTTCGTATGACGCATCCATCTGCTTTCTGGACAATGAGATCGAAGGGGAAGTGGACAGTTTTGGGATATGGGGAGTTATTGACAGAGAGGGGAGGTATTGTGTGGGACGGGGAGGAGTTTAGAGGGGAGGTGTGGAAGGTTGTGTGAGTGGTGGAGAGGATGGGGAGTTTATGACTAGGCAGGCGAATCTTTCCTTCACCAAATACACTCACCTCTGACCTTTTTAAGACAACATTGTTATCGATGCCACCAATCTGAGGGTGTGCGACCGAGTTGAGGTGTTGGCCCTTCACAGTAATCCTCCGACCTCCACTGAAACAGAGAGCAACAAGCATGTATCCGAGGTTCATATCACATTTCCTAAAATTTATTAATGTCTTTTTCAATCAGTTCAAAATTATACATTGTCTGGAACTACCTCACTGATCACACAGAATCATCAGTACGCTTGCAGTATACAGGACACCTGTTGGTCAAATATACTGATATATATTTGATGCTGTTCACAGACCACCACACAACAGCTGGCCAAATTGAAATGTACCATATTAACCCCCGGTGTCTGTTTATCTAACTCTAGCCGTTGACCCGGCATATATTTTCGGCCTGGCAGCTATTCTGTACCTTATCAATTCCTAGATTCTAGCTATACATAGGTACATTTGCACAGAGAGAGAGAGAGACACAGAGAGAGAGACACAGAGAGAGAGAGAGAGACACAGAGAGAGAGAGAGAGAGAGAGAGAGAGAGAGACACACACACACACACAGAGAGAGAGAGAGAGAGAGAGACACACACACACACAGAGAGAGAGAGAGAGAGAGAGAGAGAGAGAGAGAGAGAGAGAGAGAGAGAGAGAGAGGAGGGAGGATTGACATGAACAACATAAACATAGACCAAAACAATGATCTAAAAAGATTTTTGTAACGGTGATGCTGCTGCAACATCAAACCTTTCTGCAGAGATGATGATTACAGTGAAAGAAAATGCATTTGGGAAGAATTAAGGAGCATGGTGCAAAGGTTAAATTAAGGTAAAAATTTCAAATATCTCAGGGAAATAACATCGGTATTGAATCAACACATATACCAAATTTCTTATAATTTGAACAAAAACGGATGAGTAATGGCAAGAAGAAGTTTCAGCTGTCACTACGCCCAAAGTGCATAGGTCAAATCAAATTTCAAATTTCAAATATTGCAAAAAATGGAACACATACCGGTAGGTTGAGCCCCGCCTATTATCAGGAATCAAAAAATGTTTAAACCCAACTTGTCCTCCAGGGCAAGTACCAGTAGCTGTTATTTTGAACTTTTCCTGCAACATTTTCACTTGCCCTCTTAAATTTTAAAAAGTGGTATGTTCTCAGTTATAATTACCATTTACTGTAATTAAGTTTTGAGTTGGGGAGGGATATTTACGACAGACAGTACAAAATAATTCACAGTCACTGTCAGGTACGTTCTCCGCCCTTTCAAACTAGCTCAACCATGCGTCTTGCACAGTTATTTCGTTATTTTACTGTCATACATTTGTTTTACAATATTTACTTTTTTCGGTTTATTTGTAAACCAAATCAGGTTTTTTCTCGTCAATCCCACCATCCCTGATTATATCAGCCATTTCCCTCACAGAATCATTCATTTTTACTTTCAGCATTTGATCGTCAGTAACAAATCGCTTACAACAAAAATAATCAATATAATTACCTCCCTTTAAAACCTAGTTTTGAGACCTGCTGTGCAAAACAACATTCTATTTACTTCTTTAACAGACATTGGCCAAATATGCCGTCTGATTAGGATATAAGCTACATGTATTTTGTTATTACTGAGAACATATTAATAATTTAGGTAAAAAATTACAAGCGTTTGTTAACTTCTTTCTCACACCAAAATGCTGCCACTCATCAAAACAAGCGAAAGAGTGGACTTTGAATCAAATGTCATTAAAGGCTGAACAAAAGTTACTTGGATTGATGAAAACTTAATTTCATTTGTAATTGACAGAAGTCATCCATTGAAATTACAGAACAGAAATGATTTTTAATTTTCAGGGTATTCAAGTAATTTGGTTATGATACCGCAGATCTCATGTATCTATATATTAAAGGGCAAGTTCACACGGAAATGAACCTAATTTTCTTGCACTTTTTCCACAATAAAAGTGTTAACCTAGAAGTGTCATAGACAAAAATATAAAAATATCACAATTAATCAACATATGTTTTGCATTAAAACGATTTATATTTTTCACATTTACCAAGTGTTCTATTTCCATAACAAAAACACCATGGCTTATGCCCCTTGCAATATGACGTCATTGGTGCCAATTGATAAACATTATGACGTCATCATGCTTTGTTAGAGCCGCTTCACGTGGTGTAGGTACAGGTGTGTGATTCTAGCGTCTCAGATGCCAGCCAGCATAGTGTTATGCTGAGTCACCACTGCGCCGGAGTGTGTCGTAGGCCATGTTGTTTTACCGAAAACTTGTACATGTACTTGATATCTTTTGCATTCAGAATAGACAGGGACCCAGTTGAATTGGCACCAATTACGTCATAATCTAAGGGAGATAACTCAGGCCTGTTTAGCTCGAAAAACGAAGGCCTCATAACGGCATATCATTTTCACACTATTGTGAGCTTCCTACTTTCACTGTGAAAAAAATGAGTGTATATTTTCAAACACAGATACTAACTAATTCTAAAATTGCGTTTTGTTTAGAAAAAGAAAGAAAGTAATTTTTGCGTGTACACTTCCCCTTTAAGGTAAAATACCACGCTTACAAAATCCTGGTTAAAATATTTTCAAAATCCTGAGATGTTGATACTTCTTCAACAGTGACTCAAACAATCAGAGTTATCTCCCCTTGGCAAGTACAGTGATCCCTCGCTACAAAATTGATGACCGTTATAGATGATCAGCGGTTTAACCAAGGTCAGGTCGCAGGTGGTAGATGACCAACAAAACTCTCAAAGGCATTCTTTTATATGCAGAGATTAAGATTACTGTGTGTATTTTCTCGTAAACTAAGCCGGAAATAGCAATCAGGTGTGCACATGTTTCCTCCCAATCCACCAGTGATTCAGTTAAAACGTACCCACTGATACCACTTCAAAGAAATTTGATGCAATGGTCGGAAGAAATTATATCTGAAATTATTATTTTATCAGGAATAATATATTCCAATATCGTGTTATTTTAGTTGCAGCTTCCACCATATATACTTAAAATTATAAGAACCACAAGCGTAGCACTTTGGAACAGATTGTATGCAGGATATTTTTTGACGTATGGAACGATTTTAACCAGTCACCGTAGGGACTTCCCACGCTACATGTATTTCGATTGCGAAAACATTATGTTGACATTTAATAATCCAACTGCCTCAAAGATGACTTTTAGCAAGTCATGGTACGGCATTTATGATATGTGTATTCATTCTCTTGCAACTAAAGTTCATTTCAAGGCATAAATAGCGATAATCTGACCAAGGTTGCTGTTAATAACAGTGAGTTATGCGATCTACCGATCACTTCGCATACGGTTTCGCCGAAATTATTGTAAACATTATTGTAATTATTGAATGAATTTTTAATATAAATAAAAAAATATATTGCAACCTTAGTCCAGATAAACAATGAACTTTTTTTTTATTACTAGATATTATAATAATAGGGTTAAATTGCGTACTTCAGTTCAGATTTGTTGACTGGTATTTCCGGTGTTACGTGTTCGCGGTGATCAGCTAATAATGTTTTCTGAGATGGGGGAAATCACAGAGTCATTGGAAAACTTGAGTTTATTGAAAATGTTAGTAAATTTGGGGAGCCATGCTTTAGCGCGCTATAACCAAGTTAGCGCTATAGTGAAGGGCGCAATAACGAGGAAAACTGTACTCCAGTTCTCAGTAACAGACTCAAGTCTTGCTGGAACTAACACTATTGAGAACAATACCAACCAATCAGGAATTACCTGACAAAAGCTCTTGCAGGGTCAATGTCTGTAATGACTGGATCGGGTAGGTAAAGGAAGTTGCTTTTATTGTCTGTGAAAGATGTTCCATCCACTATCACTCTGACAGGTCCTTTGCCTTTATGTGCTTCCGCAGACCTCCTCTGACGCGGAATCAACCCTGTGACTTCGGACCACTTCGCCGTCGTACACTTGATCTTCCTACTGCTCAAGCTGCACAAGAAAGTGTCTTACAGACAGGAATCTTTTCATGCTTGTTGAATCTTAAACAAATTTGTTTTCTAGAAATCTTCTGAATGAGTGAGTTCGGTTTAATGTGGGTGTGGTGCTGATAAACCTGGAAACAAAATTGAGGCAAACCAGGATTCGAACCCACCATCATAGGTGGCTGGCATGCCCAAGGGATGCAACTCTGCACAGCAAATTGTGGGGCCTTACACAACACGGCCACCCATTGCCCCTTATTCAATTTAACTGCCATCCACCCATACAATATGATGGAATTTTAAGTCTACAGTCTTTGTGCTATCATTTGCTTATAAGTTTTTAAAGTTCAACATTGTTCAAAGGATTTGTTTGTTTGGTTGTTTGTATGTTTGTTGTTTAAAGCCGCATTCAACAATATCCCAGATATATGATGGGGGTCTGTAAATAATTGAGTCTGGACCAGACAATCCAGTTGGGATTCGATGACATGCATCAACCATGACAGGGAGCCTGAACACCCAATCCTGTTAGTCGCCTCTCATGACAAGCATAGTCACCTTTTACAGCAAGTATGGGTTGTTGAGTTCAAAGTTCATGGGAAAGAGGAACTCATCACACTCGCAGTAATTTGATGACGCAATAATGTCATAATTTACATTATCTATTCTGGTTAGGTACTGGAGGGTGCCCATGTATAGCTTGCAGACGTCCAACTCGCCCCTCTCTGTGCATAACACTACTGGACATTGAAGCAATGTGCAGTGAAGATGGCCGCAAGGCTATGGCCTGTGTTGTATGGGGAATACTGTCATAGCTATATAGGTCAGTGTTCTCTATAATATAGTTTGGAGCAAACAATGGATAGTGTATCTTTGTGAACGGGTTACTTACCTGAAGAGTGAGTGAGTGAGTTGGGTTTAACGCCGCTTTTAACAGTATTCCAGTTATATCCCGGCGTGTCAGCTTAATGTGGGAGGAAAGCCCGAAGTGATGCAGGTCTCAGACTTTTACCACTTGGGTGAAACCACGAGCACGGGTTTGGTGCTGACAAACCTAGAAACATCATCGAGGCGAACCAGGATTCGAACCTACAATCATAGGATTCTGGCGTGCCCAAGGGACGCAACTCTGCACAGCGAATGACGGCGCTTCAGACGACTGGGCCAGTCGTGCCCCTACTTACCTGAAGATAATACAGCTGAAGTTGTATGCAACTATGACGCTATGCTCGCTGCCCACATTCATGTTTTCGCCGTGGATTGTAATGTTGGTCCCACCAGATATTGGGCCATGGTTGGGGCTGAATGATGCTAGCGACACATTCTGTGATCAGAACAGAGGAACATTCCAATTTACCTGTCAAAAGGTCCACTAACATAACAGTGATCAAATAAACATTACCCACAAGGACACGGATATAGCAAAATTATATTTAGTAATACTCACTGAGGAACTGACGATTAAATTTCGGCTTTATGCTGATTGGTTAATTTGTACCAACTGATCCACTGTTTTTATTAATAAGTTTGCAAAGAGGTCACAGCAATGTGGTGTCGCATGAACTCATTGTTGCACTGGAAATAGTATGGCGACAGTTCAATTCATAATCGGCAAATCAGGGACTTTAACCCATGGCATATATGGGCAAAAAAACCGACAAAAGTTCTGTAGCTCACCTGAATTACGAAAAAATAAATGGCAGCAATGTTTAATATCAGATGGGATTTCCGTAAGCACTTTTTAGTGACACCATATCAGGCCATTGGATCATTCATACAAAGTTTCAATAGGCCTTGTCGTTACAGAGAAGATGGTGGTTAACGATGGACAGATGGATGGACAGACAATACGCCACAACATAAGCTCACCTGACTTTCAGTCACGTGAGCTAGTAGGGAATAAAACAAATAGGAACAAAGAAATTCAGTTTCATGATGGCCGAGTGAGTTAGTGCTGTCAGTCTGACTGAAGATAATTAAATCGAATGATGTGTTAATAAAGAAATAAATCCTGATTTTACCACGAACCAACTACCTGTATGTCTGGGGTTTAATCGATACTTAAGGGTAAAAAAAGAAATATCCTTGGTTCTCAGGCACCGCCGCATCATCACAAAGTCTGCTGCATGTTTCGTTTTAATTACAATTTTCAAAAAATAATAACATCCTTAAATATTCCACGTCTTGAACACACACGACGCCGGCAGTGAAATCCTACAATACTTAAAAACAAGATGATCCAATATAGCGTGCAGTTACTTCCCCTTACATGCGCACTGATGTACTGCGCATCTTGTGTTATATGTTATGGTCATGGCGGCTAAAGTTGTGTGCATGTTTTGCCCAGAGCTCCAGACAAGCTGCGTATCTGCGTAAAATACGCATCAGAAATGGAGAAATATGCAGTAAAATAAAATCCAAGCGTATCAAATACGCAACCAACATTACAGATATGCTACAAAAATAAAACTTGAGTGTATCATCAAAATATTGTGAAGTAACCCTGCGTATTCGATTAGCAAATCAGCAACTTATTTTGAAATTATAAACGGGCATTCCGTCAACCTTGCCAAACTCCACGATGACAGTTACATCATGATCATTTGCCATCACACTTTCTTGTGGAAGTATCGTGGTATTTTTGAGTCCTACAAGGCTCTCGAAACCCACACGAAACCAGTTTGCAGGGACTAGATGAATAGTGTTTTAAATATTTAACTTAAATACCAACATGTATAAAAACTAGTGGGTAACAGAAATTTGAATACCCAGATAGAATTACTGATACCCAATGATTTTAAAATGTATGGGTAAAATACCCACAACACCAAAACCTTATCTGGAGCTCTGTTTGCCGTTTGCAAATTTGGTCAATGAAAAAATTAACTTTTTGATAAAACATCACTGGATATGATAATTTACAAATTCAATGGTATTTCTGTACTGTATGGCAGACAATGTTTCACTCACAGGGAATAAAATTACATGCCCTTGGACCCTTTCCCAGGTTGAATGTACACATATGTTTATTTGGTTACGTACTAGTTCAAAAAAAAAAAAAGGCCACATGACACTATATTTTCAAAAGCCACTGCCTGAAAACCAATTTAAAAAAAAAAAATTAAGCCTAAAGCTGCACAATTTTACCTTGAACGTAAACGACTCCACTGATTCTGCTATTCCTGAGACTTGGTATGGTCTTTCAGCATCTGTATAAATGTCTTGGACATCCACTCGAACAATGCTGCCAACTTCACTCTTAGTAGCCTTTGTGATGCATACAAGTCTAAAAATAGAGTAAGCACAAAAGTCTACAAAGAATACAAAAACCAAAGTTGGCACGTTATAGACTGTGAAAACAAAATGGCACAGTCAAAACTTGCAAAGCCATGAAAAAGGAAGTAACCATGGTGATGACGTAATAATCTGCTTAACATTCAAGGATTTATTTATACCTGCTCAGAGGCCGATATTCAGCCTCAAATCTGCAGCCAATATAAGAACAAATTTCCCGATTCATGTAGATACTGGTACAGTCGAACATTAACGTCTCGAATTTGTTTGGGAGTCTCAAGAATTAAATTATGAATAAAATTCCCTCTGTGCTTCTGTGCGTGCATCTGTGTGTGTGTGTGTGTGCATCTATGTATGTCTGTATACGTGCATGTGTACGTGCGTGGGCGCGTGCGTGCATGTGTGCACGTGTGCATGCATGCATGCATGTAAGATATCTTTCAACTTTGCAAGTATCTACTGATATGGCTCGAAGTGCCTCTTGTGATGATGTATTTCTTGGTCATGTTCACTGTATGGTATTCTTCTGGGATGGATGGATGTTTGGATGGATGGATTACAAGAATATTGTGTGAATGGCATTAATCCAACAGTCTCGCACTCCTTTGATCATAAACATTGATACTACTTAATTTTGTTTATCCAACATACCCATTAATCATATGCAACCAAACTTGTCGGATTAACAGGACTTGACTATATTTCTGTGTTCACCTAGACCTTACATGCTAAAATGAATTTAATGCTAAAATGAATTTAAGAAAAGTTTCAGTTTACAACCTGACCTGTCACATGCCAATTGAAAGCCAACTTTGGTTTCACTCTTTGTACATTTTTTGGAATCAACCTGAGATTTTGTGTGAAAAAACACGTGAACAAATAGTCAACAGTATCAACAAACTTTTGCATAAATATTGATGAAAATTCAAGCTAAATCAGCTGTTTAAATTTCAAAAATATGTTTCTTAATTTGTGACAAAGACTGTAACTGTTAATTTTCCTTCACGTAAAGATTTATATCTGAGCTCCGAGGAGAAAAAGTCCTTTTCTGATTTGCAACATTATTTTCTCACACAAGAGATCATCTGTTGGTTTGTTTGCCATCATGGTGATGGTGACAAACATTCGCATAAAGTATCAAAATATTTCATAAGGATGCAGGTTTAGTTCAGACATTAACCACTTTGGTGAAACCACAAGCATTGGACTGGTGCTGACAAACCGAGAAACATAATCAAGGCAAATCTTGGATTCAAAGTCATGAACAAAATTCTCTGCCTAAGGGACACAACCCTGCATAACAACTGAGCCTCATGTGCCTTCGAGGCTGCAGCAAGTACCAAGGCTTTGGAATACATAAGTAAAAATGCATAAGTAACAGGCAATGACCTTGACCTTAGCAATGGCCTTGAACTTTGGCAGACATGTCAACTGACATCAGACTCTTACTTTTCCGGTGACCACCCTCTCTGTACATCACACACAACATCGGATATCTTGATTGTGTGAGAAACATCACTTCTCCTCCCTCCCAGGTTTTTCCCGGTGATGGTGAGTTTGGTTCCACCAGCAGTCGGACCCGACACAGGAAATATCTGCATTATAAAGAGTACAGCCTTTAACTATACAGCCGGCGTGCAATCGTGACGCCAGAAATGGGCTTCATATATTGTACCCATGTAGGGAATCAAACCTTAGCCTCAGCCTCACGAGGCTACCACACCACCTCTAAGGATTAAAGAGGGATATACGTAGCTATAAAAAGGCTACCACACCACCCCTAAGCATTTAACATGGATGTACACAGCTATAACTGCAAGGCTTCCCAACCATACGTAGAGGCTACCCCATCACCTCAAAGGATTAAAGAGAGATTACGTAGCTCTAACCACAAGGCTACCCCACCTCCTCAAAGGATTTAATACAGATATAGTAGCTCTCTAACCACAAGGCTACCCCACCTCCTCTAAGGATTTAATACAGATATAGTAGCTCTCTAACCACAAGGCTACCCCACCTCAAAGGATTTAAGACAGATGTACGTAGAGGCTACCCCACCTCCTCTAAAGATTTAAGACAGATGTACGTAGCTCTAACCACAAGGCTACCCCACCACCACTAAGGATTTAATACAGATGTACGTAGCTCTAACCACAAGGCTACCCCACCTCCTCTAAGGATTTAAGAGAGATGTACGCAGCTCTAACCACAAGGCTACCCCACCTCCTCAAAGGATTTAATACAGATGTACGTAGCTCTAACCACAAGGCTACCCCACCTCCTCTAAGGAGTTAAGAGAGATGTACGCAGCTCTAACCACAAGGCTACCCCACCTCCTCAAAGGATTTAATACAGATGTACGTAGCTCTAACCACATGGCTACCCCACCTCCTCAAAGGATTTAATACAGATGTACGTAGCTCTAACCACAAGGCTACCCCACCACCTCAAAGGATTTAAGACAGATATACGTAGCTCTAACCACAAGGCTACCCACCACCTCTAAGGATTTAATACAGATGTACGTAGCTCTAACCACATGGCTACCCCACCTCCTCTAAGGATTTAATACAGATGTACGTAGCTCTAACCACAAGGCTACCCACCACCTCTAAGGATTTAATACAGATGTACGTAGCTCTAACCACATGGCTACCCCACCTCCTCTAAGGATTTAAGACAGATATACGTAGCTCTAACCACAAGGCTACCCCACCACCTCAAAGGATTTAAGACAGATGTACGTAGCTCTAACCACATGGCTAACCCACCTCCTCTAAGGATTTAATACAGATGTACGTAGCTCTAACCACATGGCTACCCCACCTCCTCTAAGGATTTAATACAGATGTACGTAGCTCTAACCACATGGCTACCCCACCTCCTCTAAGGATTTAATACAGATGTACATAGCTCTAACCACAAGGCTACCCACCACCTCTAGGGATTTAATACAGATGTACGTAGCTCTAACCACAAGGCTACCCCACCGATAAGAGAATATTTGAGGAATGCACATGGCTATAACCACAAGGCTACCACACTATCTCAAAATATTCTAAAGGGATGTACGTAGAAAGGTCAACAATGAAATTGGTGAGGTTTGGCCCTGACAACACCAAATGTGAATTAGACCTACACGAAAAAGAAAGAAATTTCTACACTCATGAGAAAAGTTGCAATTTATTTATTAGTACTACTCACTAGCTTGTGAGATACCATTTTTATTACCATGAGTGCATTTTAAACAACTTTTGACCTTCTCAAGCTAATAAATTCTCAACTTAATTTTTTAATTTTTTTTACGTTTATTGAGGTATAAACATTAAAAACAAAGTGATACTAAGTAAATCCACTATGCTCCACAATATTTACACGAAGTAAGTCCATTCTTATAAATAAACACGTCAACAATAATAATACTGTTATTACATGACAACTGTACCCAACATTACGACATCAGTGGCATCGTTTAGCAATATAATACCCATTCCCCCCATAATGCACAAGCCCCACCCATATTACTATCAGCCAATCAGGAACAAGTAGTGAGGAAGCGGGTGTGGCCTACTTTTTGTACAGTTTATGGAAACATAAACGTCTAACAAACTGATTGGTTAGCTAGTTAAATGCCACAGAATCACTTGCAATTTATGCATTTGGTTAGCAAGAAAACTTTAAAAAGTTTGGCCAATGCCAGATGGAAACTGTGACCCACTTTATAGACAGATGGAGGGCACTGGGCCTGTTTCCAGTCTGATGTCTTGCTGCATTCCGTCCTGGTCGTACAGGCATCAACACACCAGCCACAGCCAATGGGATCTCTGCTGGTGAGGCACTGGTCACAGTCAAGGTGAACACGGCACGAGTCAACAGGGAACTTTACAACCTGGTCAGAAAATAAATGTATATCAGGGACCTGGTCAGAAAATAAATGTAAATCAGGGACCTGGTCAGAAAATAAATGTATATCAGGGACCTGGTCAGAAAATACATGTATATCAGGGACCTGGTCAGAAAATACATGTATATCAGGGACCTGGTCAGAAAATACATGTATATCAGGGACCTGGTCAGAAAATACATGTATATCAGGGACCTGGTCAGAAAATAAATGTAAATCAGGGACCTGGTCAGAAAATACATGTATATCAGGGACCTGGTCAGAAAATACATGTATATCAGGGACCTGGTCAGAAAATAAATGTATATCAGGGACCTGGTCAGAAAAAAAATGTATATCAGGGACCTGGTCAGAAAAAAAATGTATATCAGGGACCTGGTCAGAAAATAAATGTATAACAGTACAACCTGGTCAGAAAATAAATGTATATCAGGTTTCAAAATTACATTTATTTCAAGTGTGCCAATGGGCACAGTTGTGCCAAATTATGTGTGCCATCACATTTTAGGTGTGCCAGGAAATACATGATTGGTTAATCATAATTCAAATACAAGTGACTGTCATAGTGTCAAATTATACTTAGAATGAATGATCAATCAGAAAATTTAAACCCACATCACTCAAGTTAGTAATTTCTGGTTACTCATTGTCTTTGAATCTTAGTTAAATACAGCAATACCAATTATAACAGTCTCAAATTTAAGAGATACTGATTAAAACTGGTAGTAGCTGTGCACTGTCTAGTCTAGTCTGACAAGGACATATGATATCAGGGCAAGTGGTAATTCTAGTCTAGTCTGACTAGGACATATGATATCAGGGCAAGTGGTAATTCTAGTCTAGTCTGACAAGGACATATGATATCAGGGCAAGTGGTAATTCTAGTCTAGTCTGACTAGGACATATGATATCAGGGCAAGTGGTAATTCTAGTCTAGTCTGACAAGGACATATGATATCAGGACAAGTGGTAATTCTAGTCTTGTCTGACTAGGACATATGATATCAGGACAAGTGGTAATTCTAGTCTAGTCTGAGAAGGACAAATGATATCAGGGCAAGTGGTAGTTCTAGTCTTGTCTGACAAGGACAAATGATATCAGGGCAAGTGGTAAATCTAGTCTTGTCTGACAAGGACAAATGATATCAGGGCAAGTGGTAGTTCTAGTCTAGTCTGACAGGACATATGATATCAGGGCAAGTGGTAGTTCTAGTCTAGACTGACAAGGACAAATGATATCAGGGCAAGTGGTAGTTCTAGTCTAGTCTGACAAGGACAAATGATATCAGGGCAAGTGGTAGTTCTAGTCTAGACTGACAAGGACAAATGATATCAGGGCAAGTGGTAGTTCTAGTCTAGTCTGACAAGGACAAATGATATCAGGGCAAGTGGTAGTTCTAGTCTAGACTGACAAGGACATATGATATCAGGGCAAGTGGTAGTTCTAGTCTAGACTGACAAGGACATATGATATCAGGGCAAGTGGTAATTCTAGACTAGTCTGACAAGGACATATGACATCAGCTCTAGAGTTGTGTGACCTTCTATGTCCCTCCTATTGACCAATCTGATTCCACCTCTCATATCATGTGCACATGCTTCAAACAAAATGGCGTCACCCAGTCAAGACAATCAGATCAATAACCAAGATCTATATGGTAATAAAACGGGGTCTTACTTCACGAAGAGCATTAAATCATGTGAGCACCTTGATTTGAAACATGAAGGAATTTGGAAAATATCTGTTCACGCCGAATTGGCAGTACACATGCTTTACAAATCTGGCAATCGACCAAAATCTGCATGGCAGTTGACGAGCCGAATGTCGATTTCATGCCAATTTTGATTGGGCTATGCACAGACTCGTTAGTGAAGCCGAACTATAACTCCATATTTCCAGCCTAGTTCGGCAAGGGTGTAAACATGGTAAAGTGGACTTTCTTAATGAAGTAACACCCTTGCGTCGGGAAGATAATGAGGAACGTGATACAAATCATTTGCATTTTCAGCTGTAGGTATGGAAAGGGCAGGCCGAGAAGCTCTGTCATCAGCAGTCTGGGGTTTGAACCCATCACCTGTGAGTCCTTACTGTTGCAACTTTGTAAAGTGGAGCCTCAGACAACTGGCCACTTATTAATATTTATTCTCCATAAGGAAAATAATGAAAAAATCCATATCTAAAACAAGAAAACAGCATTATCACTATCCCCCACCATGGGGCACATTAGATTGTGTTTGTTCATATAGTAGTGAATATAAACTATAAAACAGAGTCCTATGAAGCCTTAAGCAGATATAGGCACTAGAGTCGCTTTATGTTATCAGAAAAATGATTAAATTTGAAATTGATACACACAAAAGGCCCCTTCTCCAGAAAAAATAACTCAGACTTCATAAGTATCTCTCAGATAAGCTAACTTCAGTAGTTTCTGCTTGTCCGAATTGCAGACACGATGCACTAATTAAAACTACATGGATCTAGGGCCATAAATCTGAAAAAAAATAATTTACGCCACGACTTTTCGAACTCAGCCTTGACCAGTATCTCTTAGATAACCATGCAAATTTCATTCATGGAACTTCAGTAGGTTCTGAAGAAACTTGTCGCCATTGCACACACTATGCACTATGCAAAATAACATGGATCAAGGGCCGTAATTCTATATTAATATTTTACAGGACCAATTTGCATGCAAAACTTTCATTGAATTTACTTCACTAGCTTCGGTGAAATTTGTCCTACTTTACGCAGTATGCACTGAGTTGTAAAGCAGGGAACAAGGTCATTAACTCAGTAAAACATGTAAAACATGTAAAACGATAACGGAAAGTACCAATTTTCGAACTACTTCAGAATTACTTGTTTTCTTGACAAGTATCGCTTAGATAAGCAAGGAAACGTCCATTCAAGTAACTTCAGTAGCTTGTGTGAAAACTTGTCCCTATTTCATGCAGTATGCACTGAGTTGAAAATTAAGCAGCAATGGCCATAAGGCTTCAAAAATGAATTTACGACACCAAGTTTCGAACTCATTTGAAATCATGACCTTTACTAGTAAGATCAGCATGTAAAATTTCATTACTCCGACTTAAAAAGTTTTTGAGAAAATTTGTCCCCTTTGAGAAGTGGACAGACAACTGGAAGGATGGAAGGATGTGCGGAAGGACAGATGGACGAACTCGGTTCCTATATCCCCTTCCCCACTTTAAGGCAGGGGATAATAATGATGTATTGCTGCCTACTATTGTTGACGATAGTTCAACAATGTTGACGTAATGCAAAAACCATTGTTGACGAATAAAGACGGCATTGTTGATGTGATATTTTGGTACTTGTGACAATTGTTCTATTTCTTTACTCTCACTTGCTGTGTACAGTGCTGTAGATATGCTGAGACTACCGTACCTTGTTTCCAGTGAGGTAATACAGTGACCGTGTCTCCTCCACAAGTACCATGTCTCTCTCGATTGGTTTAGCGTCAGGTAGAGCAAAAGTCATGTACTTCCGAGCTCCAGTCACAAATCTATCCTTTATAATTAGCATCACCTGTTAAAGGAAATTACATGTACAACATGATAGCATACCTCACTCCCTCCCTCCCTCTCTCTGTTTAGGAGGGCAGGCGTTGTTGACATCATTCAAATCTTATTATGACGTGAGGGTGGAATGACGTCACACTAGAAATGACATCATAGCTGAATATTGTTAATGTCATGCGACAAATTGTGGTTCCGCTGCTGTTGCGACTTGCTGTCCTTCTAGGTAATAACTAAAGTTTGTCTCTGTATGTTCAGTAATAAATAGAACATTATATTTGTGTTCATACTTATGTTTATGTTTATGACACTCGTGCCTAAATTCTGATATTTCTTGAGCGACGGAAATACCGGAATTTAGACGCTTGTGTCGTAAACAAAGTATGACATATTGACTCATATAATATCCTCTATATATGTGTACATAAGTGTGTGTACGTGTGTGTGTGTGTGGGGGGGGGGGGGGGTGCGTGTGTGTGTGTATGTGTGTGTCAGTTGGGTTTAACGTCACTTTTAACAGTATTCAGATACCATATTCGATATAATAAACGCCCTGCTCTAATAAGCACCCACAGGGTTATATGCTAATATATTGGCTTGTGAACAATCTCAATATTAGCACCTCTTCTGATTGATCAATGTACACAAGACTTATTTATTGTGTATAATACGCACTCGTGTGTTATATGCACCCTTTATTATGGGCAATTAAATTCTGGAAAAATATATCTGTCGTGTATAACACGCACTGACTTTTCTTTTGTATCATTTCTGGTACATAAACCTAGAAATTTACGATCTTTCAACTCTAAAAAGAGCCCCCTATTTCTAATTTTGAGAGCGCCCTGAGCTTTATTACATCGAATAAGGTATATTACAGCATGTTAGCTCAATGTGTGAGAAAAATTAGTGCAGGTCATTACGTCTTAGAAACAACACAAGACAAACCTTATGCAAAGAGCCATCCTTGGTGCCGATGATGACATACTTTTGGTCATTCTCCTGACTTCCAGCAATGGCGGTGATGGATTTGTTAAAGAAGGACCCTGACTCAGGGAAAAATAGCTCCCCCCTAATGGAGTACTCAGCTTGGATGCCTGGGTTGGTGCTTGAGCCACACAAGTCCTCAGGCAGAGGCTGCAAACAAGGAAGTAAAACAACTGCACAATGTTCAGAACATACACTACTGTCTTTTACATATTTGGGCACATGACTATAGGTTTTTATCTTTAACTTTGATGTTTGTTTGTTTCACGCCGACCGCAGCATTATTCCAGCTAATTTTGAAAATACTACCTCTGTTACATCAGATATACTTGCTCCCACTTCCCCATAATCTGTCTCTTGTAGTTTGATGAATGGAAAGAAGTGACTTTTTTTTTCACCTTGCAGACAATGCTGTTGGGGAACAACTTATCATGTGTAGGTGACAGTGAAGAGGACTTCTATTGAAAATCTGAAATTTTAGTTATAGTGTGATTGCAGCCAAAATACAAGATTTATGCCAGATTTATGTGATCCTTGGCATATCTCTTTGTGCCTCATTTCCTTCACGTTAAACAAATAAGTTACAAAGATCTATCTTAGGTTTCAAATCACAATCACTATGGCAACAAGATCGTTATTCAGGTTTTGGATATATTCTGAAAAAAAACACTTCTTTCCCAATCCCCATGTGCATATTCATTTGATTTCAAAGTTAAAGAACCTGTTTAGATAGATCTTAGGCAACCCATGCATGTCGTAAAAGGCGACTATGCTGGTTGTAAAGGTGACTAACGGGATCGGTTGGCCAGGCTCGCTGACTTCATTGATGCATGTCATTGGTCCCAATTGCATGGATCGATGCTCATGATGTCAATCACTGCATTGTCTGGTCCAGACTCGATTATTTACAGACCGCCATCATATAGCTGGAATACTGCTGAGTGCAGCGTTAAACAAACAACAAACAAACAAACAAACATGAAGAATATTGTAAAACTCACTGCAACCATCATGACTATAGCAACAAATACCTTCTTTACGTAGCATCTCTGATTGGTTGAGTTATGCACCCAATCAGGTCGTGTTCCCTCTCCTACAGTATAGCAATCATCCTGAGCATCTCGGAAGTCACTATTAATATCGTCAATGGTGTATCTACAGATGGCAAATCCCCGTTTTTCATCCAGATTAATTGAGGCCGGCTCGGTGATGCCTGCTGCTACATACAGGACACTGGTGTCAGCGTCGCTACTCTCAGTGAAATGAGCAGCCGTAGCTCTGTTGTACTTGGTGTCTTGTCGAGAACATTCCAGCTCCATTTCCATGTAGGAGTAGTAGAACTGGTCACTTTGACAAATCCGCAAAAGTTTTGTAACAACTGTATTACGTGTGTTGATTGTCTTCTGTTGAACAGTGACGAAATATGTGAAGTTGTTGTGCTCGAAGCCGTAAAGAAATTCCATGTGATAGGATGGTTTAATAGCACTGAAAATATCCACAGCAGAAAACAGACGTAAGTTTGTATCATATTTCAAATATTTAATTTGAAACGTATCTCGATACTGTTCCACAAATCTTGTAGACACAACAGCAGGTGCGAACTTTAAATCACGCTGATCATACTCTTGACCCACGTACAAAAATCCTTTCACTGTTTTGTCAAAGAAAGCGAAAACAGATTTTCTGCTGCCTACAAAATTTTCAATGTAAGACTTATTCATCTGTTTGAAGTTAGCAACGTTAGACAGACTGTGCATGCTGCATAGACCTTGTGACACCGACCCACACACCAACAATTTCTTCTTGCTTGGGTCCACCTCCAGCACACTCATCAAGTTATCTGTCAGTGATCTTGACTTTTCACACGGAAGGTCAACAGGAGGACAGAGGGAATTATCCTCCACTGGACCAGTCGTTGTCTCAGAAATTTTGGTTAAATTAGCATCAAAATGATGAAGGACATTTTTACCTCCAACAAACAACTGTCTCGTGTCTGCATTTATCGTAACTTGTTGTAAAGTTGTATTATCATTTCCGATCTGCTGGACTTTATAGAAAGCTATGACAAAAGGCAAGAATAGAACAGCTATTATACATTTCAGAAACATGATGACAATCTAGCAGTCTCGCGTTGCAAATATCCAAAACTTTGAGCAAGGAATATGGAAGAGATTATGAAAAAAAAATACTGAAACGGTTACATAAGTGCAGTGTTAGTACAGAGACTTCTCCAGGATCACATAGTCACTCTTTCCAGTACACTATCCTTATTTGTTGGTCTTCTCCATCTTCCCTTAAACTGATGAATCCTGGGAAGTATCTAAAAAAGAAGTAAATTGTAAAATTAGAGAACCTAATATCGTTAACATATTAATATTTAAATATTATCTTCACTGCTTCAACATGCATAATAATGATTTACTTTCTTTGACCATGTTTACATTAAAATGAATGAGCATAATCAGAACATAAAAAAATAATTAATAAAATTAAATCATTTAACATGATTCATGATTAAATTATAAATTTGTACTTTATTTAGGGACTGGTCATTAGAGGAGGCTGTCATCCCAAATGGTCTCATGTATTAGGGTGGAGGTGGGTGGGGCATGGAAGGGGGTGGGGGGGGGCCAGCAAAATATGATATACCTAGTCCTAAGCGCCCCCCCACCTACCATAAAAAATAACCTGCCCCTGACAAAGACACCTGATTTGAGGCAGTATCATCACATACATAGATCTTTCTGCTTAATCATCTCACATGAGTGTCAGTGTGAAAAAGTTGAAATAATAACAGGTCACAAACACCAACACAAACCCTGGATCACTGTGTCAGGTTTACTGCATCCCGAGTCTGCAATATATGCAGGCTGTCAGTTATATATAGCTACACATAGGGCCATGCATGCATTTGTGTATGCATGCATGCACATCTGCTTGTACTAGTTCGGACTGATGCCTGTTTGATAGTGCTAGCCAACTGAAATACCGTGCAGCAGTTGGACATGGACACCCTCCTCAGACGCAGTATATTACTCCCGAGCAAATCAGTTCTTGTTTCACCCCTTAATGCCAAGCATCAAGCAGGGTAACAACAAAACAACATCTTTGAATGTCTTTTGGTGAGGTGAAATTGGGTTTAACGTAATGTCCAAGATTACTGCACTTATATAGCGACGTGCATGCACGTGTGTGTGTGGCTACTTGTACTAGTCCGGACTGATGCCGATTTATAGTGCTAGCTCACTGAGATAGCATGCCGCAGTTTAACATGAATACCCCACTCAGACACAGTATACTGACTCTGAGCCGACCAGTCCTTGTTTTGGCCCCTTAATGCCAAGCCCCAGACAGGGTAACAACAAGTACCATCTTTTAACGTTTTTTGGTATGACACGGCCGGGGATCGAACCCGGGACCTTCCGCTCTCCGGGCGGACGCTCTACCACAAGTCCACGGAGGCTTTTGGAATGACAGGGCCAGGAATTGACCCACAGTCCTTCTTCCCTTATGGCAGCTGCTCTATCCACTGGACCACATCGTCCTGACAGTTTTGGACATATAGCTATTTCAGAGCTGTTGACAAGATTGAGCAAATCAGCTTCAATTATTCCATATATTACATGTATCGATGATCAGACTATTGTTTTCTTCTTAAAGTGGATACGGGGCGGGCAAGTAGCCTAGTGGTTAAAGCATTCTCCCGTCACGCCGAAGACCTGAGTTCGACTCCCGACATGGGTACAATGTGTGAAGCCCATTGCTGGTGTTCCCCACCGTGATATTGCTGGAATATTGCTAAAAGCAGTGTAAAACCGTTCTTACTCACTCACTCAAAGTTGATACAGTCTGAGCAATATTTCAATCACATCACCCAGGCTGCTTACTGTAGGACGCCAGCTGGAAGTAGCACATGAGGATGGTGCTCAGGTTCTGATAGCTCAAAGATCATAATCAGGGCAAACCTGGCTACAAATTACTGAGTCGAGTTTAATGCTATTTGAACAGTATTTCAGTAAAATCAAGGCAGGTTGATGAGTATCTCAGAAAATGCCACTGGAAAATGGTTGTCATGAATTGGTTACCATGGTTACCATGACAGTTCACCCTGAAGGGCTATTATAATTCCACACAATCCAAAGACTGTCTACCATGCTGTCTGCCATGTTCGACATACAGGATGTCATCAAGCTCCTTCTCAGCGTGTGAAACCTTCGTTACACTCTCGTTAACATCACTGCCGTCAGTGTGGAAGCGGCCATTTCAAGAATATTGAAGGTTGCCTCTCACCCTAAATGTCGTAACATATAACCTTTGAGAATGCCAACATAGCGATTTTTTAAAAAGTTTACGACTGACCAGATCATGCAGATTTCCCCTTAGCATTTAACTTTTGGTTTGTTTGATCAGATTGGTTAGAGATTGCAGACAAAAGGAAAATCACCCTACATCCCCCTTACATTCTTACTATACCAACTGCATCATAGTTAAAATTCAAATATAAAATGAAATAGAAATTCAAATTGACAAGCAAAATATTTTGGCTGGAGTAAGAGTATTTGGCATCACGACCGACATCACTTGTTTGTGAACATAACAGTCGGCATGGTTAGTCAGCTGCGAGCTCAGCTCCAAGCATGGTTGTAGCCACGTATCACAGTAGGGAGCTTTGACTGGTGGCAGCGATAGTATAGAGAGCTTTCATGAATGTGCTATGGCTGTGAGGGCCTTAGGTTGTCATGGTGGAAGGGAGATAACTCAACCATGCCGTGAAGATCATTGTTATCAACAGAATCAGAATTAAAAACTCATAGCACTGAGGGCTTACGTAAATCATTCAAAAGCTGTTTGAGTCACAACACTGATTTTGTTGACATTAAATAAACAAGTTCATCATGTTTATTATCATCATCATCATCATTATGTTTCTGACTCGTGAAGATCTGGAGTAGAATAGGTCTTCAGCAACCCATGCTTGCCGTAAAAGGTGACCATGCTTGTCGTAAGAGGCCACTAACGGATTTGGTTGATGCATGTCATCGTATCCCAATTGTGTGGATCAATGCTCATGTTGTCAATCACTGGGTTGTCTGATCCAGACTCGATTAATTACAGACCGCCGTCATATAGCTGTAATATTGCTATTACAAATATTATGTTTCTTTACTTACTTCCATATTCCAATTAAATCAAAATGTTGGGGATACATGGGAACACCTTTCTTTAGCCTTGTAATTTATAGAAATTGACATAAGTTTCAGATGGTTATAAGGACACAGACTGATTGATCTACAGATATTTACAAAACTGACCTGGTTTGTTTGTTGTTTAACTCCACAATCAGAAATATTTCAGCTATATCACAGCAGTCTGTAAATAATCACGTCTGGACCAGACAATCCAGTGATTGACATCATGAATATTGATCCATGGAACTTGGATATGATGACACGCATCAACTGAGTCAGCGAGCCTGACCATTCAACCCTGTCCGTCGCCTCTAACAAGCATGGGTTTTGCTTAGGACCAATTCTAACCTGGATCTTCTCAAAATTAACAATGACATGGAACAGAAAAGAAGAATGTGAAAAAAAATCACCACTTGTAATCAACATGACAACACTGACAACATTTTTTTTTACATGACTATGGATCATAATCATGATAATACCAATTTCATTTTCTTCACAAGAAATTTAGTATGCATGGTAAGATCTAATTGCTTCTTCACCTAACCCATATCATAGTATTTATTCAAACAAAGTCTACTCAAAACTCAAGTACCAGAGTGAATATAAACAAATCATAACCTGATAGCTGCAGTTTTTACATTCAGGAAGTTAATCATTTGGGACGCTACAGTATTGGGGGAGTTCAACAGTACATGAGTCATACAACTAGGGACTCGGATAACAGTCCGTATGATGTAGCAGCCCTTGCAACAAGGATAGGTTATACAGACTGCACACTTGGCCATTATGTACAGGCCCAATCCAGCAACACAGAGTCTGTGACACCGAATCCTTCATTTGCAATATAGCATGAAAGCCACAGGGGCCGTCTCAAAACACTAATGTTAAAAAATGAAGATTCAGGGTCGTGCCCTAATATGACATTGCACTGCTGAGTACCGAATACCATCAAACAATACCCTCCAATTCCGCTTACCAAAAGGGGGTTGGCAGCCTCACTGATTCCCTCTCATTACTGTGGTAAACTCTCTGACAAATGCCATATATTTCAGAGTCTGGAAAAAAATTAAACTGAACTAAGAAAATATTGATAACTTTATGTTCTACAGAGTTCCCGCTGGCTTTTGAAACTGCCAGTCCTTGTGGACTGGCAACTCTAAAATTTACCAGTACCCCAATTTTTGCCAGACCCAACTTTCAACAATTAAAAAAACGCATGAAAATTATTTGGTTTTAATTCTTTCAACATCATGTTCAGTGCAAGGATGTCATCTCTGAAGTAACTTAGTTAGATCTATACGTCATTTACACAAACTTCAGTCACAATTTTCTCTTAATATTTCGAGACGAAGTCACAACAAATGGATATTTAACCTAGAAATAGACAAGGGGAAACCCTGATGGTAAAAAACAAACTGACTTTGATATATGAATATCACCAATGTTTTGTTCAACAACAAAGATTTATATTTGATTTGTACTTTTGTCGGTCCACAGGGACTGGTAGTTGCATCAGTTACCAGTCCAAGCCTAATTTTACTGATAAGCAGGAAGGCTGTACCAGACCAAATACATCATACTATATGCATGCACTTTCTATTCAATTAGCCATAAACTTTTCAGAAACTGTTACAAATAGACATGATAGAAAAACGTTTTTCAGACTGTTATATCAACACAGACTCATTTACAAGTATAAAATACAAATACTCATTTAAATGGATTAAAATACTCATTTTTCACAGTGCATGTTTCACTATTGTGTTGCCTCCTACATGGTAACACCCCCCCCCCCCCACTGAATTCCTTAACTGGAACCCCATAGAATAAGCACGGTGGACTATTCAGGGACTGCCTTTCGTTATTGTGACAAATGTTCCACCACATTTCGTGATCACAACATATTTTCCAGATCAAACAATATCAGGTCATGCCATAATGAGACTTCTCATCATGCTCATGTGCTACATGAACGCTAGATTTTCTTAACCATTTGATTAATGATATTCATATTGGCCAAAATATTTATCTACGAACAAAAATCAAACTTTACAAATATAAAATGGCTAATGCATGTACCTCTAAACTACCAGCTTACACAAAGAGAACAATGCTCTTATCAGCTGGGCAATGAGATGATGTGTTGTGTGGATAATTAGTGTAAATTACAGGGAACAAGCTATCGCAAACATAAATACATTCATACAGGAAATGTCACATGATGCACCAATCTGGCATGTTGCCAGTAATATTCTCGACTGTCACTCAGACACAATCCATTTACTTTAGTATCATGTTGACTGACAGTGGTATATATAATTACATAACACGACAGGGAGTTATCTAGCTATAATCAGAGCACAGTATTTGGCCCTAAGACTGCAGCAAATATAAGGACAAATTACCAAACCAGAATAAAGATTTCCCAATTCAAATTGTTTTGTTTCAACTAAAGGTAACTAATGTAATGTTTTTGAAGAGGTAACTTGTATTTCACTGATAACAGGGCCAAAAAACATGGATATACCTGGGACTACCTATTTTTTTTATTAATTATTACTAAGAAAAAGTACAGCTTTCTGAATAACAACTTCTGGTTTATTGAATATAGCCATGTTTCGAGTAGATTCTTACACCGTTATCAAGCTGGAGTGACAACAACCAAGTGATGAGAGGTATATATACATGATATGTTGTGATAAGCAGCGGATTAACATTGTCAACAACGGTAATAGATAACAGGTATCTATCATGATATAACATTTATACTAAGTTTTCCTATAATAATTAGATCCACATCAAGTGCTTTTATGAGTTATCATGGTGTGATATTTATACATCATTTCATATGATTATAGTTTAGCAAGTAATACTTATCATCAGGTAAAATGCATATATAAAATATCAGTAGTTTCAGTTATAGCTTTTTAGACAGATGCTAGCCTTAGGTAATGGGAGCACATCTCCTAGACATACTATTCAATAAGACAAGAGTTATGTCTACATAGTTTAATAGATTTGAAGCTCTTAGATAAATGCTAGTCTAAGGTGTCAAGATCCCATCTCCCAGACAAAAGATATAATTGTTATACCATGATATATCACACAGATGATTGGCTGGAGCCAGATGTACAGTAAAAATAACAAACAGCAGGTAATGAAGCCAGATGTACAGGAAGGATATGGATTAAAAAAAATTTGACAAGCTGATTTTTTTAGAGGGAAGTTAGTTTTTCCCCTAGATTTATTTGGGCAATGCAGAAGAACACAATGATCACATCCAAACGTGGGAGAGATATGGCAAGTGGTACTGGGTGGGATTCCACTCTGTATTCTATTGTAAAAGATGACTAAATCATGTGAACTGGACGTATTCTATGTGCTCATGAAGGTGTCTTCACACTAAGATTATCATCGCGAAAAGTGAGTGAGTGAGTACGGTTTTACACCACTTTTAGCAATATTCCAGCAATATCACGGCGTAGGACACTGGTAATGGGCTTCACACATTGTACCCATGACCACTAGTCTACCAAACCACCCCATAGCGAAAAAGACCTCAATTAAGTCTATTCTCGAAGCTGTCACAACACTAAGTTATCTTAATTTAAACGACAAAATTGAAAATTGGATCAGACTTGTCTTAGGAGCTTACATATAGGAGAAACCATTTCTCCTCGGGATTACCAGCGATGGTAAACCCTGACATTCGGTGACTTACGTACGCCCCCGAGGTAAGTCACCGAATGTCAGGGTTTACAATCGCTGGTTATCCCGAGGAGAAATGGTTTGTCCAACTTATAAACCAACTCGTCGCATAGACAACGTTTTTAATTAAATAACTGTAATAAAAACTCTCAAATGTATAACCTGTATCAGAGATGAAATATCACCTGCAGTCGTGAACTCGGTTTAATAAAACCGGTGACCTCAGAACGTGGGTTTCGCAACGGTGCGAAATCTGCACGTGCGTCTCGCAATGGCACAAAATCTGCACGTGTGTCTCGTAGGCTGTTTGTAGTTTTTGTTCTATCAAGGGTTTACAATGATTGTAAGCCCTCCTGCGAGGTGTTACCACAATTTCAAAAAGTCCATATCGAGTTACACAAACAGCCAGTAGGTTTATAAAACAGGTAAGATGGCTGACAACAGACGGCATGTTGAAGAAAATGATTTGGCAGTATGTGTCTACTGTATTATTTCTGAATACAAAAGCAAGTGGTTTCCAGTTACACTCTCAACACACAAACGTGTCCTAGAAGACACGCCACAAACATTGTATTTACCAATTAAGACTTACGCCTAATAGCAATTCGATAATAGATAATAGCTTAACAATTATCCAATACAAAAGGTTTTGCAAGTTGATCATCATTATGACCGTGACCTTTTCTTGTCAAGGGCAGTTAATTCATACAGTGGTTTCCCTTTGAGTACAAGGTATAAAATATGGCATCTAATAGAGTGAGTGAGTTGGGTGTAACTCCACTTTTAACAGTATTCCAGTTATATCGCGGCGTGTCAGCTTAATGTGGGAGGAAAGCCCGAAGTGATGCAGGTCTCAGATGTTTACCACTCGGTGAAACCCACGAGCACGGGTATGGTGCTGACAAACCTAGAAACATAATCTGGGGGAACCGAGATTCGAACCCACAATCATAGGTTTCTGGCGTGCCCAAGGGATGCAACTCTGCACGGCTAATCATGATGCCTTATACGACTGGGCCACCCGTGCCCCCAGGTGGTGTAAATGCAATAAACCAGAAGTTGTTATCCATAAAGTGGTATGTTTTCTTCAAATTGCAAACTTTCTTCAAGATTTGGTTTGACTTTTTAAAAAAATTTATGCTCAGAAGATTGTGTTGCGAATATTTCATCAACTGGCATAGTGTTCAACTGATTTTCACTAGCCTTGAGATAGCATTGTTATCACACGCCAAAGTGTGGAATAATATGTTATACTATATCAGTTGAATGATCTCACTGTGCAACATTTGTATGAGATGTTGTTTGAGTTGAACATTGTTCTTTCTAAAGTTAAGCAGTGCATTCTTACCATCCTAGTTTTGCTTACAAATTATTTCAGACATATTATTATTCACAGGTGTTTTTTTTTAAAACCGAATGGAAAGAACGGTGCAAAATGTGGTAGTCTTCTTTAGAAGAAAGAAATATTTATCCGAAAATAATGACCAAAACAGACCCTTGTGAAGAAATATTTTTAAAAAACACCATAAACACCTTGTTCAAATACAACTTTAGAAAAGACATGCGGGCGGGGTCACAAGACCAGCTTATACGACAATATAAATCAAACAACACGATGATTCACTTTCAGTTGTGTCATCGCTTTTTATCTGTCTGTTATTTCCACTCCAAAATACAATTCTGAAACCTATTTGGGCTATATTTCCAAAAGCACATAACCTGCATATATCGCAAAATCCATAGTACATAGCGTAAGGATAAGCAGGAGAAGATCGAATTTGGGGAACATTGGTTTTTGTCAGTTTGCAGATGACAAATTGATAATAGCACTTCTTATTCATTTTGATGAATAAAAAAACTGAGTGTGATACTTGAGATATTAAAAAATGTAATTTGTATAACTTAAGCGGTGCGTGTGATCACGTGGCATATGCTGTTAAGACGATGACGATAACTGGTACAGGAAGTTGACGGAAAAGTTCAATTTCCACTGTTTTGATCGCCTATCGTAGCATTATATCAGAAATCAACTGAATCTTATTCCACAGACAGAAATAAGCACATTTGCTCATAGTTTCACAAAAAGTTATTGGTACATTCAACTTTGAACACGGAATGTGTCAGAAATAACATGAAAACAATGGCAATAACTGGTCGGTGACCAGTACAGGCTAAGGGCCCCAAATTTTACTGACTTATAACACCCATCATCAAGACCCTCTATATAGGAAAAACAGAGAAAAAAGCACTATTGTTGACCATGCACATATAACAATATGATTTTGCAGCTGTTTAACTTGCAAGTATACCAGATGAAGAGAGCATACGCTGACCTTTAGTCACAAAAACTGAACTGCATCAAATAACTGTTTCAATCTAACAGTATAATGGTCAAAGAACAATTTGTTCACAATGACAATTTTGAAATCAAAATCAGAAACTAAGCTAGTTCTTTATAGCGTTCAGACCAAAGGCTATATCTGAAAATTACTTCAAAAGCCATATTGAATCCATGGGTGTGAACAGAAATAAACGTCCTTTGGCGAAATATTTTGACAACATTTCTGTGGCCATCGTAATTATTCGTCATTATATCGTATAGTACCAGCTGAGTGCTGTACCATCAGATGTGCATTGGATTTCTGCAAACCATCATTGTTAATCCTCAACTAACTGGCTAAATCCCCTTGTGAACATTGTCAATCATCTACATTTCAACGAAGGAAGTCCTTGTCTGACCATCCATCGTCACAAAATCAGATCGCTGGCAACGTTGAATCGGAATTCAGAAGCTGACCTCGGGATGAGGGGGCACCTGTTGCTTATCGATCGAGGTTGTCATGCATCAACAGGGATAACAATCAAAATAAACCTATGTCACACAATAACTGTTCATAATAACCTTTCATCTAATTGTTACCTTCTTAAACACAAGACTTTTCATTGGGAATCATGAAGTTCCTGTCGACGACATATATTATCAGTACGGGACCGGTCGCGTCGGAAATCCCGGATTACTCACTTCTTGGTGTTAACAGTGAAATGTGGACTGGGTGTTATACGAAAACGGATCGTAAGCGACAAACGTCTTGGCAAAGGGGGGATCTCTCTCCCCCTCTCTCTCTTGAATGCACTGAAGTTTTAACATGTACCCTCCTGACCCGTGGATGTGCAAATGGTACATTTTCTTCATCAGGGTGTTCTATATTTGACCAAAGACGTAATTTAATCTATATACGTCTTTGAATTGACATATATTACCCATGAGGGTAAAAAGAGTGAAATATTTCTCTTGTAATATTGCTTCACTTAAATAAATCACACCACTAATGTCATTTTATTGTCGCGTCAAATGAAGCAGACTTCAATGTGTTCAGTGTGTGCCCAGTTGTGTTTGTGTGTGTGTGTGTGTGTGTGGGGGGGGGGGGGGGGGGGGGGGGGGGGTCGTTTTGTGCAAGTGCGCCCATGTGTCCCCGCCCTGATGTTGCTGGAATATTGCTAAAAGCAGCGTAAAACCATACTCACTCACTCACTTGATACTAAGCACTGTCTTGAAGGTTCGGGTGAGGATTTTTTTCTCTTCTGTATTAGGAATATTTAACCTTTTCTGAAGTAAGTATTGTTGAAATCTAAATGGGTTAATCTTAATGTCCAAATCAAAACAAAAAGGGTGCCACTCTGCATTCTATTGCCCTAGACCCAAATTCATACTTTTGCAGAGGCATGAAAGCGTAAACAAATAGGGAAATCACTAACATGTGCAATTATGGCTATTTTTCTCAAATCCTAAGTACATTCCATTGATGATGTCGCGCAGAATTTGCATGTAAAATATGTGAGGTGGGTGTTGGAAAATCCAAAATGGCTGTTACTGACGGTATACGGTCTCATATTAGGTCAGTAACAATCTTGGATTTGTACTGACGGTGTACGGCCTCATATTAGGTCAGTAACAATCTTGGATTTGTACTGACGGTGTACGGTCTCATATGGGGTTAGTAGTTCTGCTCTCTGATCATCTTCCCGAGGCAACTGAAACTATAAAAGTCCAGTTTCCACCCTTGCCGAACTAGGCTGGTATTATTGAGTTCATTTTGGCTGGACTAACGAGTCTATGCATAGTCCAATCAAAATCGCGCACCGAAATCGAAATCCGGTTCGTTAACTGTCGTGCAGATTTCGGTCGATTGCAGGATTTGCAAAACATGTGCACCGCTAACTCGTTGTCAGCAGCTATTTTCCAAATCTTCATGTTTTTAATCAAGGTGAAACAAACGCAAGTGATACGAGAGGTGGAATCTCATTGGTCCATAGGAGAGGCTTAGAGGGGACATAATTGGTAATAGCCACTGGTGGCGCAACGATCGAGCCCAGTAATTCTAGCCCAGTCCAGATGCTCTCTGATTGGTCAATCTCACTTTGAGGCATACTAAGACGTCATACGACGAGGTTACAATGCAGTGGACTCGTGAAGATCCGTTGTAGAATACGTCTTCAGCAACCCACGCTTGCTGCAAAAGACGACTATGCTGGTCGTAAGAGGCGACTAATGGGATCGGGTGGTCAGGCTCGCTGACTTGGTTGATGCATGTCATTGTATCCCAAGTGCGTGGATCGATGATCATGATATCAATCAGTGGATTGTTTGATCTAGACTCGATTTTTTACAGACCGCTATCATATAGCTGAGTGCGGCGTTAAACAACAAACAATACAATACAATATACAATGCAGTGCCACTCTTGTGTTTTCCACACAGTAGGAATTCACTCACACACTCGATCACAGTGGCCTTTGCTGTAACAGCGCGCGAAATCAAATACATGTGCTTCGCGTGGCTTTAAATTGATTCAGACATTTTGAACGATATGGATATTGACATACGCATGGGTTATACTAGTCTGTCTCGCAGTCCCTGAACCATATTATTTCCCTTCCGCCCAGCCCTTACTGTGATGCGGTAGCCCTAAATAAAGCAAGTCTAGATTTTCCACAGGCTGAATCTCCAACTTCACTGAGGCTCCTTTTCAATTAAATGGAGTTGTTTGTTTCTATCAAAATGTATATGGTCATAGACTAATCGTTAGTCTAGGGTTATATCAAAGTCGGCGGGAAATGTATATCCCAAAGACAGTTAATCATAATTATTTTTGTTTAGAAAGACTCTGTCAAGTATCCAACAACGATGCAATGATAAATTTTCCAAAATTTCTAATGTACGTGTTCTCAACACCCACACACAAAAAAAGTATCAATTAGGTAACTCTTAGATAAATAAAATGTAAATGTATTTTGTACAATGGGTCAAATGGCCTTATACAAATAAATCTGTCTGTCTGTCTGTCTGTTATATCAAATCCGGTGTTACATTCGGTTTCTTTCCTGTCTATAATGCAACAGATAAGAAGGGTTCTGATTTCTGGGAAAGAATTTGCTTTGAACATCTTCCTGTACAGAAATAGAGAGAGTGGTTTGTTTTGAACAGGAAGTGTGGGACAACTGACAAACTAGCATTGCTAGATTGAATTGCATCGTAAAACCAGTCAGCAAAAGAGTAACGTGTTGTATTACTGATCTGATTATAGCTACAAGGGCTGTGGACTGACGCTCAGTCTCTGAATATATAAAGTTTTGATAGAAACGAATAAGTCAATTCAAATTTTAAAGGAGCCCCTGTGATTGGGGAGATTACAGAACCTGTTGAAAATCTAGACTTGCTTCACTTAGAGCTTTTGCAGGAGGGGCTGGATTGAAGGGAAAATAATATGGTTCAGGGACTGAGATAGATAGACTAACACTTAGTCAATGAAATCATGTCTTTATTTTTTTTTGTACATCGAAAGAACCTTTCTTCTTCTGCTGCTTTTTATACATGCAAAGTAGACTTGGTTAGTTTGATCTCGACTTGCCTAGGCTTTTTGTAAAACAAAATACCTAAAAAATATAAATTCCACAGTCATGGCGCCGGACTATGAGGCAGACTTCAGGGACTGTTGTTTTTACAGTTGTAGCTCCATGACTCTAAATTGCGAATGTACTTTCACACCAACATTGTTATTATTTTCGCCTTGGTTGCGTATATTTTGTTTATAATATGAGTATTATCATTCTGTTATTAGTCATGGTAATTCCTCTCATGTATGATAATTGTTACTGTTAATCCTTTACCTTCCATATATAATTCTCTTCCATGATCATAGTCAGTCGACCCGTGAAGATCCGGGATAGAATGGGTCTTCAGTAACCCATGCTTTCCGTAATAGGTGACTATGCTTGTTGTAAAAAGCGACAAACGGGACAAACGGGATCGAGTGGTCAGGCTCGCTTAATGGTTGATGCATGTCATCGATCCCAATTGCGTGGATCAATGCTCATGATATTAATCACTGGATTGTCTGGTCCAGATTCGATTATTTACAGACCGTCGTCATATAGCTGGAATATTGCTGAGTGTGGCGTTAAACAACAAACCAACCAACCAAATCACAGTCAGTCATGACTGCCTGCGAGGTCTTATGGTAGAGTGTCCACCCGGAGAGAGGAAGGTCGGGGGGTTCAATCCACGGCCAGATCATCAAAACCACGTTAAAAGATGGTACTTGTTGTTACCCTGTCTGGCGCTCGTCATTTAAGGGGCTAAAACAAGGACTGGTCGGCGCGGAGTCAGTATACTGTGTCTGAATGGGATATTCATGTTGAACTGCGGCATGGTATCTCAGGAATCTAACACTATAAATCGGCATCAGACTGGACTAGTACAAGCAGCCACACACACACATGCATGTGCGTCGCTATATACGTGCAATAATCTTGGACGCGACGTTAAACCCAATGTCACCTTACTTCAAAGGGTATAATGATCTGTCGCGTTACAGTATTATAAAGAAGTTGATATCCATAATGGTTTTGTCTACTTTGTCCTCCGTCAACTTACTTCTGAGATAATATGCCTGTCAAACAACACATCAAACACTGCACGCCACGTCTCAAACATATATACTACTCAAAAGAATAGTTAATCTCTCATGCCATGACAGATTAACATTACCAATATGAAAGAATCGGGTGATCCTTAACTTCTTATGAGTAGTATAGTAACACACACACACGCACCCACACACCACCAGCAACAACAACAACTCCAACTCCAACTCCAACTCCAACTCCAACTCCACCACACAACACAACACAACACAAATCAACCACACACACACACACACACACACGCTGCACCACACAACACACATCCCATACCAAGTAACAAAACAGTAAATCAAGCATGGATACATCTACCATTCTGTCAATAAAATCATACAAAATAATGGGTTAAGTCGCTCAAAAGTATATTCGTACTTGCCTGAATGCCTGTATCTAGAGTACAGTTAGGGAACGGACGCTTCACAGAGGCGAATATGCGCCCGGATCATCTCAAACAGTGCTGCTAAACATTCCCGATGTTCCGTCTACAAATTTATCGGAAATAAGTTTGGTTTATTTCCTTCCTCGTGCACAATGATTTTGCCATGTGATAGCTAATATCCAAAACAATATAATAATTGGTAGTACATTTTCAGTTTTTGTTACATTAGATATGTTTATTACGTTTTGTTTTGTATTTGTGTGGGGTTTTTTTTGGTGTTTGTTTGTTTTTGTTATTTGGAAATGCATTGCAACAATGGAGGTGCCGGGGTCACAGTTGGTCCAGTTTCAGGTGAGACATCGTCAACATTTTATATTAAACCAAAATCTAGCCGATAAATATTTTGTTACACTATTATCATGAGATAACCGTTATAGTGTCATGAATGGCTATTTTGAATCAAATCAAAGTTCGCGAAATATGCTAGTATCTTTCAGACTGACGTCGCTGTACTGTATCAGGTTTTGTAATATTTATCATTTATCATAAAACGACTAAAACTCCAGATACGGCTATTTATATAGAACAATACCTCATCACCGCCCCTCTTCTCTGTAAGGAGCTTACTCGCTTGAGTAAACAACGTGGGACTGGCTGATACACAAGGATTTTCCTACTGACGAAATATTTACACAGCGGATTTGACTCACAGATAAAAGTTAGGGGGCCCAAGTTAATTATTGTTTCCCTTCTGAACACAAAGGTGAACTCAAGTGAATGCTTGTAACACGAGTGGGTTACGCGAAAGTTAAACTTTGGCCAACGTTCACTGATGACATTAAAAGAAGCGCCCTTCCAATCACTACGCTGTATCGCATGGCGATAAACATTATCTCGAGCATGATGTCATTTATGACCAGAATCTTCCCTTATTATTTTGCTTTGTATATATAACAAACATATTTCACATTTCATTCAAGTGAAATTTAGATATTATCATTGGCTAGACAGGACTGTAGCACACCCATAGTAAAAACTGACCATTTTCCCTTCTAACTTTCCTGTTTTTAATATAGAGCAATTATACCAAAATGGTATGCTTGATTTGAACAGAACAGCTGTCAAATTTCTCATGCCATAAAACAATATAATTAAAATCAAATCTTTTATTTCTATCTGAGTGAATCTCATTAAAATCAAATCTTTTATTCTCGCTGAAGTTCGTTCGACCAATCAAAATGAAGGATCCATATGTTTCTTAAGAAGTCATTTCTCTTCCTGCTCGGTTCTGAAAATTTGATTTTAATGAAAACCCACACACAGAACACAGAAAGACGGGTATCTTAAATATCCATAACAATATAATAGAGTGGCCTTTTTTATTTAAATGCGGAACTGGCCCTTATTGTTCGTTTTTGGATGAAGAAATCAGTTATGCTGCTCTGAACTGGAGGGGTTGTTAAGTTTCATGCAGAGAGATACTGTATTGGGGTTAGAGATCTGTTTCTAATGAGACTGACCAAAAGATAGGTTTGAGCTTAATTAAATATTTACTGAAATTAAATATGATCTTTGGTAATGTTTAAAAAATGCTGATTGTTACATAAATCATCCTGATGGCCTCATCACTGATCTACTAACTAATCTAACTCATCAGTGGGATGATTTGATTTACCCTGCATGTTCCAGCTGGTACAAGAATGGAGACTGCGGACAGAAATAAGAATTATTTACAGAGTAACAAAAGTGGTAATTCTGTTCACAAACCAGGAACGGACCTGAGTGAAATTGTAACAATGTCCTGCCTCGATGACCGCTGTGATGTGCTAGAGGCTAGACTCCAGGTGAGCTTCAACCTCAGTACACCCATGTTTGGCGTTACATACACTGTATGAGTGAGTGACTGAGTGAGTTGGGTTTGACACCGCTTTGAAGAGTATTTCACTTATATCACACGGCTTGTCTGCTTGATGTGGGAGGAAAGCCTGAAGTGATGCTGTGCCCTCTTTGAAACCCACAAACTTAGGTTTGGTGCTGACGAACCAAGAAATAAAACCATAGCAAACCAGGATTCAAACTCATGATCATATGTTTCTGGCACGAGTAAGGGACGCAAACTCTGCTCAGCAAATTGTGGTGCCTTAGATGACTTGTTGTGTACACGGGAACCTTAGTGAAAGGGACCTACTGTATTTTGTTGTTTACTTTTCTTTTCTTTTGTGTGTGTGTGATTGTAAGAGAGAGAGAGGAGAACTGGTGAGATGGGAATCGGGAGGGTAAAAAAAATCAAATATTGGGGAGGGTCATGTGGAAATGGACATTTTATAATAAAATATAAAGTGCTTTTGCATTGTGATTTTTTGGGGGGTGAAGGGGTAAAAAAAAGTTCCTCATTTTCAGTACATTTGAAGTTAGTGGCTAGCTGCATGTGGAAATATTCTGTAACCAACTGACTCATGTTTCAGGGTATATCCAAGAGTGACATTAACCTTCAGGATACTGCAGGGATGACTGCTCTGCATTTTGCTGTTGCACATAAGAAGGTGAGCCGTTAGTGTGAAAAATAAATCTTTAACAAGATTGTCATGTGACTCAACCAGAAAAGGATCCTTTCTTTTCAAGGGCCAAGTGAATATCAAGGTAAGAATTGGTTTTTGTGAAGGATCAGTAGTGTGTTGAGGTTTGGTTGGTTCCACAGACTTAAGCAAACCATGCTTGTCATAAAAGGCGAATATGCTTGTCGTAAGAGGCGACTAATGGGATCGGATGGTCAGGCTCGCTTACTTGGTTGAAGCATGTCATCGATCCCAATGGTGTGGATTGATGCTCATGATATCAATCACTGGATTGTCTGGTCCAGACTCCATTATTTACAGACCGCCGTCATATAGCTGGAATATTGCTGAGTGTGGTGTAAAACAACAAACCAACAACCAACATCCACAGACTTAGTAGTGTCCATGCTCGTAAGTCCAGCCAAAATATGACTCCATAATTCTAGCCTAGTTCAGCAATGGTGGAAACTGAACTAGTTAGTTAATTCCCTTGCCTTAAGAAGATGGAGCTGTATGGTCACACTGCTGATGTACCTGGTCCAGAAGATACTACTTACAGATATAGCCCGAATATTGCTGACTGTGCTCTAACGGGTAGCCCAGTCGTCTAGGATGCCATGATTCGCTGTGCAGAGTTGCCTCCCTTTGGCACGCCAGAAACCTATGATTGTGGGTTCGAATCCCGGTTCGCCCAGGTTATGTTTCTAGGTTTGTCAACACCATACCCGTGATCGTGGGTTTCACCAAAGTAAACGTCTGAGACCTGCATCACTTTGAGCTTTCCTCCCACATTAAGTTGACACGCCGTGATATAACTGTAATACTGTTAAAAGCAGCGTTAAACCCAACTCACTCACTCCTGAAACAACAAACAAACAACTGGTATCAAAATGAAATTTGTATTACTATTACCAATGCTTTGCCAGTGCTGTTGGCCCCTTTAGATGACACATCTTCCCGAAGCAAGGGCGTTAACTGACTTTAAAAGTCCAGTTTCCACCCTTGCCGAACTGGGCTGGATTTCCCTTGGCTCGATCGTAGAGCCACCAGTGGCTGTTATGAGTTATGTCCCTTCCATGCCTCTCTAATGGACCAATCAGATTCCACCTCTCGTATCACTTGCATTTGCTTCAAACAAAATGGCGGCGCCCAGTCAAGATGATTTGATCAACAATCAAGATCTATATTATGAGAAAACGGTTCTTACATCGCAAAGTGCATCAAATCCCGTGAGCACCTTGATTAAAAACATGAAAAGATTTGGAAAATATCTGTTGACAACGATTTGGCGGTGCACATGCTGTGCAAATCCTGCAATCGACCGAAATCTGCATGACAGTTTACGAACCGGATTTCTATTTCGGTGCACGATTTTGATTGGACAATGCATAGACTCCTTAGTCCAGCCAAAATGTAACTCCATAATACCAGCCTAGTTCGGCAAGGGTGGAAACTGGACTTTTATAGTCAGTTAACTCCCTTGCCTCGGGAAGATGTAGATGACAAGGCTTTGAATACTCTACAAGAACAGTGTCTTGTATTTACCATAGTTGTAAGTAAGAACAGGAAGATGCTCACTGGTTTTCATCTCAGCCAACTCGTCATGTTCAATTGATGTTGCTGTGTGACGCAGGGCTTGATTTCAGAAATTTGATTTAACTTGCACCGGGTGTATGTTGACATGAAAACTAGTTGCACCAAACAAAACCAGGTTGTGCCCTGTCCCCATTAATTTATCAAATTAAAAATGCATAAACTAGTCTAGATAATATCATCTCTAACGACTGTGCCATATGTCATGAATCATACATAACACAGAGTTTAGTGATGCCTCATGGCATATAGGAAGCTTAGAGATGATGGTTTGTGGACAGGTAAGAGTCAGTCAAACAAAGATTTGGGGTTTTTTTACATGTAGACATAAATATTAGGTTGCAGTTTTCAATAGTACGTTGCATTGGTGCATGTTTCATCAGCTCCCCTGGTCAAGCTATATGCTGGTGTGGCACCAATATTCGAGACACACCAGTATAAGGTACTGTGGACCTACTACGACCTGGATCACCACAGGTTCATAAGTAGGACCAATATTGTTGAACATGTTGAATACTCACTCACTCACTCACTCACTCACTCACTCACTCACTCACTCACTCACTCACACACTCACTCACTCACTCACTCACTCACTCAGGTGGAGGCGGTCAACCTTCTGCTGGACCATGGAGCGGACATCAATGCAGCCGATGACCACGGATTTACTCCTCTCTTCATGGCTACTGGTGAGTGAAGTACTTGCCACTCAACTAAACTTCAATGAATATATCCTCTCCTAAAAAGAAACTCATTGGTGAATATTCTGCGATGACGAATAGATCTGTATGGTAGACATGTATGGCTTTGCGATATATAGAGATTAATAGCCGAGTGATTTTTTGTATCGTACGTAGCTTGTTAGGAATAAAACTTGTATTATAAGAGCGTTTGGCGAACATAATATATATTTCATATTTCTAACATGGTACCCCAGGTTAATGATCTCTTTATCATAACATATCATTTGAAAAATACTCAATGTTTAAGATGTAACTTCACTCAAAAATGTAACTTTGGAAACTGTGTATGAATACAATGTTTGAGTGAACTGCCCCATTCATCATATATATAGTGCCAAGCAACTTGTAGCCATGTTTGTCTACAGAAACGCCCATTCATTAGGAAACCCTATCTATACTTAATGGGAAGTTTTTCAATAATTTATTATTCATAAAGTAGACATTGAATCAAAAAGTAGTTCCTGCTCAGTGACCTCATTTGCATATATTTTTCCTATCATGATACCAAGTTTATCGGATTGGTTTATCTCATTGATAACACAAGCCACTGTGTGATAAGTATTGAGATTAGATAGTCAAGCCTACAGGTTCTTCTTCACTGACAGTTGTCACTAATACGACTGCAGTGTCTTTTGTAGGGTTAATATTGGTGTATGTTGACAACTGCATGATTATTGTCATGCGAAGTGAGAAACATTTTGCTTGTGCACGTGATGGAATTTGTCAATGAGGACTTGTGTAATAACTCATTTGGTTTGCACAAATTGTTTCTTCACATGCCGGGGCGGTCGGGTAGCCTAGTGGTTAAAGTGTTCGCTCGTCCGTCGGAGACCCGGGTTCGATTCCCGACATGGGTACAATGTGTAAAGCCCATTTCTGGTGTCCCCCGTCATGATATTGCTGGAATTTTGATAAAAGCGGCATAAAACCATCCTCACTCAGTCATAATGCGATAAAGGGATGCAAATGTACAAATTTGGATTTTTTTGACATTATATGTAGGTTAAACAGAAAAGAGCAGAATCACTCCTCAATTAACCAGATTAAGTATCTCCAGTCTATTAATAGAACTAAGAGTGGGTGAGTATCGTTTTACATATTGTACCCATATGGGAACAAACCTGGATCTTGAACTCTTTAACCACTAGACTAACCCACCGCCCCTGGTAACTAAGGACAGTTTGTAATGTTTAATGCAGGTCGATATGCTGACTATGATGTGGCACTAACTCTACTCCAGAAATCAGGCATCATTGTCAACTGCATCAACTACAGCGGTGCAACACCTCTACACGGGGCTGCCCATGCACAGAATCCAGGTATGAATCTAATGTCAAGGTCAAAGGGGAGCTGACAATGCTCAACAGTCTCAGGCCTCGTGTCGATCCCACTTATTCCACTATCTACATTATACCATGGGTATCAATGGAGTATAGAGACTTTTGTACAGTAAACTATGTTTATAACAAACACGCTTATAACGAACTGACGGATATAACAAACTTTTTTTATTTTGTCAAAGCCATTTGGTGTTTATATGCTTTATGTATGCTTATAGGGAATTATGGTTATAACGAACTTAAATTTGTGGTCCCTTTGAGTTTCTTAGAACCGTAGTTTGCTCTATGCCAGGTATTCCGACCAAAATCTGCAGCAAATGTCAGTGCGAATTCCGAAATTGGAATTCAAACTTTCGCAATTCATGTTGTTATGGTTATACAGATGTTTTACATTATTGCATTGAACACAATGTTAAAATGTAATGTTCAAGATTTTTGGCCAAGGGCACTTAGTTTGAATCACAGATAAATCCCTGGGAGTAGTGATATTACATGACTATGATGGAGGCATTTGAAGCCAAGTTATTTAAGAATTGACTTTCACTTTGTGTGAGTTCATTGAAGTATGAACCTTCATAGAGTCAGGGCCAAACTGTATGAACGTCATGCAATAGTCAAACTACAACAAATATGACTTTTAACAACCCAAAGTATGGCATTATGATATATATATCCATTCTCTGTCCACCAAAGTTCGTTTCAAGGTGTCAATAGCAGTAATCTGACCGTTGTTGCTGTAAAAAACATAGAGTTGTGCATTCTACCAATCACTTCACACACGATTTAGCTAGAATGAATGTAAACAATATTAAATAAATTTTTGAATAAGATTAATAAAATAGGTTACAAACATTAGACCATATTTACAATGAACACTTTTTATAACCAGACAGTGTAATTACAAGATCAGTTTCCATGCTTCAGAAGGATTTGTTGACATGGTATTTCATGGTTAAAAAAGCTCGGGGGGGGGGCACGGGTGGCCCAGTCAACTTAGGCGCCGCGATTCGCTGTGCAGAGTTGCGTCCATTGAGCACGCCAGAAACCTATGATTGTGGGTTCGAATCCCGGTTCGGCCCGATTATGTTTCTAGGTTTGTCAGCACCATACCCGTGCTCATTGGTTTCACCGAAGTGGTAAACGTCTGAGACCTGCATCACTTCGGGCTTTCCTCCCACATTAAGCTGACATGCTGGATATAACTGGAATATTGTTAAAAGCGGCGTAAAACCAAACTCACTCACTCACTCACTCGCTCACTCACTCACTCACTCACTCACTCACTCACTCACTCACTCACTCACTCACTCACTCACTCACTCACTCACTCACTCAAAAATCTGCTCGCCGATATAGGGTATCTGCCAGCTCTATTGTACCCTGGCTGATAGCTAGCTGAAATAATGTTGTGTCATAAAACAACATTCATGTATTCCTGGCAAACAGATGGTGTGGGTCTGCTGATTCGACACGGCGCCTGTACCAGTGCCAAGTCTAAGGATGGCACCACTCCTCTAGATCTGGCCGGGGACCACATGAAAACCATCACTGCTCTCAAGAGTAAGGTTCCTGTAACTGTTTCGTTTCTCTTTTTTCATAATATTACATTTGTTTCTATATGAATATAAGTCTGAGTTTGAATGCAGTATTCAAAGTATACATTTCAATCTACACAGGGTGATATATGTAAGTAACAGAGAATGCACATATTCAAAAAATACTAAGAATTCAGCCCATGAAGATCTGGGTTGGAATAGGTCTTCAACAACCCATGCTTGCCGTAAAAGGTGACTAGGCGACTAACGGGATCTCGCTGACTTGGTTCATGCATGTCATCGTGTCCCAGTTGTGATGCTCATGATATCATTCACTGGATTGTTTGGTCCAGCATCAATTATTTGAAGACCATCGTCATATAGCTGGAATATTGTTGAGAGCAGCGTTAAACAACAAACAAACAAACAAATGATGTTTGAGAGTTTGCGGCCAATCATGTTGCTTGCTCCAGCCACCCGGTGTGTGGAGTGTGGTGATCAACCACTCACAGGCCTGAAGACCTGCGGGCAGTGCCAGGGGCCACTCTACTGCAGCAAGGAGTGTCAGCGGAAACACTGGAAGGAGGGTGGCCACAAGAAGGAGTGTGGCGGTGGGTAGAAGCTGGAACACTGTTTAAAGTGGCGTTAAATCCCACTCTCTCACTCTTTAAAAGAATTATGGACAAAATTTGGACTCTACTCTTTAGTTCATTTCAAGTTTCCAAGTGAAAATAATTTCTTGTTCTAATTTGTAAATTTACTCTTTATTCTACCATGAATTTGCTAAATACTTAATTTTGATTGGCCAGTCAGAGGTATCAAATCACAATAAACCCCCTCTGATTACAACAGCCGACTTGACTGCTGCAACACTGCCGTAGCTAATATGTTAATAGTACTTCTTTTGCAGTCATTGTCAGTGGGCATATTTAAATTATTATATGTACAATTATATGCTAAAAAAATTAAAAGTTGCTACAATATTCAAAGGATGTGTGGCAATATTTTCATGCAGAAAACACAATAGAAATCTGCAAAGAGAATTACTTGAAGCTTTGAGGACAACAGAGAGCTTGCTCTTTGGCGCTTTCCTTTGTACGACTGTGATGTCAAATCATCACAGTGAGCGATATGACATCATAATAGAGACATGCTGTGTAGAACGAAATCTTTGCAAGGCTTGCTTATTGTTCTTTTGGTGGTGTCCACCTCATGTTAGCTTACGAAGTTGCCACACTAAATGTTTTCAGTGCCTGTCATAAGTTTGTGTGAAGTATTACGGCTAGGTTACCTATGGATTTAACCATGTTAAATTTAACATTTGAAACCTCATGCAGCATAATTAAATCCATTCTTTCAGTTCTCTAATAAGGCACATTTCACTGTGCAGAGTTGCGTCCCTTAGGCATGCCAGGAACCTGGGTCGGGTGGGTACTGAGTAGGACCCGGGTAACCACAGGACTACCCAGACCCGTGGTTAGTCACATGGTATATTGTTTAATGACAAAAATGATCTAGAACTCTATGGTTACACTACAAGTCACTAATGTTCGCATTTCTTTCTGAGTATGCACAAATTCCTTCTGATTTTTCATATGGTTGAATAAACTAAAGTCAACTTCAGTGTATGATTGACCAGATTGTTTAATACATGTATCTAAATACGTTTTGCCAAGGCTATGCTAAAAATGTTCCCAATCGGACATTTTGAGACATCTCCTGAGACCTAGAGTGAGTACCCGGGTAGGATCGGGTATTAGGGGTAGGGTACTCGGGTAGTGAATTTGGACTCATCCCAGCCCTAGTTTCTAGGTTTGTCAGCACCATACCAGTGTTCATGGGTTTCATCAAAGTGGTTTGAAGACCTGCATGCTTTTTGAACTCATTCATTCTTTACCTCTCCGGGTTAAAAAGGGGTATGATTATCAGCAATCTTTCTGTGTCTGTTTCGAAATCATTTTGTTTTCTATTAGTAATTTGTTCAATATTTCTTAAGTCAATTTTTAGGCACATTTGCCAAGTTATTAAGTAGTGCCTTTTGCTACATTATAAAAATTAGTTTACTTTAAAAGAATTTATTCAGAGTTATGCCACATGGGTATGCCACATGTGATTGTGATTCATCCCGATTGTTTCTAGGTTTGTCAGCACCATACCCGTGCTTGTGGGTTTCACCAAAGTGGTAAACGTCTGAGACCTACATCACTTCGGGCTTTCCTCCCATCAAGCTGACACACTGTGACATTACTGGAATACTGTTTAAAGTGGCATTAAATCCCACTCACTCACTCACTCACTAAAAGAATTATTGACTAAATTTGGACTCAACTTTTGAGTTCATTCAAGTTTTCATGTGAAAATAATTTCTTGCAATTTGTTCAATTTGTAAATTTATGCATGAGATGAGATGAAACACAGAGATATGTGATGTGTGTTTCAGGGTTTGTGTGGGCCGAGCCCTACGCGGAATGGGTGTCCACCATCTCCCATCACAACATGTCCGTGTCTACAACTTCTACAACACACATGAAGCTCTCCAATAAGAACATCACCAAGGAACGCTTCGTTGTCAAGGTGCAGCTTCCTATAGGTATGGCTCATGTGACATAAAAGTATTAAAATATATACCCCCGTGAACATCCGGGTTAGAATTCGTCTTCAGCAATCCATGCTTGTGGTTAGAGGCGACTAACAGATTTGGTGGTCAAGCTCAGTGACTTGGATAAATTGTTGTTGTAGTGAGTGAGTGAGTGAGTATGGTTTTACGCCGCTTTTAGCAATATTCCAGCAATATCACGGCGGGGGACACCAGAAATGGGCTTCACACATTGTACCCATGTCGGGAATCGAACCCGGGTCTTCGGCGTGACGAGCGAACGCTTTAACCACTAGGCTACCCGACCACCCCACATGTTATTGTATCCCAATTGAGTAGATTGATGCTCATGATGTCAATCATTAGATTGTCTTGTCCAGACCTGATTTTTTACAGAGTATCATATAGCTGTAATATTGCTGAGCGACATACTTATGTGGAATTACAGAAATGTAATTTGTAAATCAATTATGTAAGGACATTTTGTGTAGGTGTTCCATGCAACAGTTTTTCGACGACACTTTCATCTGCTTCTTTACCGGACTAGTACAAGCCATGGCTCTCTCACACACCTCACCAAACGCTCTGCCTCACATCATTTTAGTGTACCTACGTACAAAGAAGACCCGGGGTAGAACAGGTCTTCAGTAACCCATGCTTGCCGTAAAAGTTGACTATGCTTGTCGTAAGAGGCGACTAACGGGATCGGGTGGTCAGGCTCGCTGACTTGGTTGATGCATGTCATCATGTCCCAATTGCGTGGATCGATGCTCATGATGTCAATCACTGGATTGTTTACTCGATTAATTTTGAGACCGCTGCCATATAGCTGGAATATTGCTGATTAAGGCGTTAAACAACAAACAAAGGTACAAAGAAAATCATTATGTGTGTTCCCTTCTTCTTTCTTTGATGAAATACACCATATTCTACCAACATTCGTGCTTCATGTATGCTACTCAAAAGAAGCAAATGAAACCCAAACTCTATAGTAAATCTGTGATTAGGTGAACTGTAGTAATATAAAAGGATTGGGTGTTCTTTAAAATTTTTTGAGTAGTATACATCATCACATCCACAGATAGTTATTGTAGACACCTTGAACAGTTTTGTAAAACACAATACATATGATGTAAAGCCTCCTTTCTCACCATTTTTTAAAAATCTGGATTAAAATCTTATTAATGGTCAGGCCTTTTGCAGAGACAAAAGTAGGTGGTGATGTGTTGAAGGGTTCTGGCATTGGGACTGACATGACGTCCATGATGGTGTACAACAAGAACCGCTCCCTCATCCTGCACATCAAACCAGACCATCAACAGCAGGGTACGTCTTCATCAATTCTGGTTTATACGCACTACGTTCCTCCATCAACAGAAGGGTAGGTATTCATCAATACTTGCTTGTGTACACACTATGTTCCTCCATTAACAGAAGGGTAGGTCTTCATCAATACTTGCTTGTGTAAACACTACGTTCCTCCATTAACAGAAGGGTAGGTCTTCATCAATACTTGCTTGTGTAAACACTACGTTCCTCCATTAACAGAAGGGAAGGTCTTCATCAATACTGGTTTGTAGACACTACATTCCTCTATCAATAGAAGTGTAACTCTTCATCAGTTCTGGTTTGTAGACACTACATTCCTCTATCAATAGAAGTGTAGGTCTTCATCAATTCTGGTTTTCACGCACTACGTTCCTCCATCAACAGAAGGGTGCGTCTTCATCAATTCTGGTTTGTACACACTACGTTCCTCCATCAACAGAAGGGTGCGTCTTCATCAATTCTGGTTTATACACACTACGTTCCTCCATCAACAGAAGGGTAGGTCTTCATCAATTCTGGTTTGTACACACTACATTCCTCCATAAACAGAAGGGTAGGTCTTCATCAATTCTGGTTTGTATGCACTATGTTCCCCCATCAACAGAAGGGTAGGTCTTCATCAATTCTGGTTTTTACGCACTATGTTCCTCCATCAACAGAAGGGTAGGTCTTCATCAATTCTGGTTTGTACACACCACATTCCTCCATCAACAGAAGGGTAGGTCTTCATCAATTCTGGTTTGTACACACTACGTTCCTCCATCAACAGAAGGGTAGGTCTTCATCGATTCTGGTTTGTACACACTACGTTCCTCCATCAACAGAAGGGTAGGTCTTCATCAATTCTGGTTTGTACACACCACATTCCTCCATCAACAGATGGGTAGGTCTTCATCAATACTTGTTTGTGTACACACTACGTTCCTCCATTAACAGAAGGGAAGGTCTTCATCAATACTGGTTTGTAGACACTACATTCCTCTATCAATAGAAGTGTAGGTCTTCATCAATTCTGGTTTGTAGACACTACATTCCTCTATCAATAGAAGTGTAGGTCTTCATCAATTCTGGTTTGTACACACTATATTCCTCCATCAGCAGAAGGGTAGGTCTTCATCAATTCTGGTTTGTAGACACTACGTTCCTCCATCAACAGAAGGGTAGGTCTTCATCAATTCTGGTTTATACACACTACGTTCCTCCATCAACAGAAGGGTAGGTCTTCATCAATTCTGGTTTGTACACACTAAATTCCTCCATAAACAGAAGGGTAGGTCTTCATCAATTCTGGTTTGTATGCACTATGTTCCTCCATCAACAGAAGGGTAGGTCTTCATCAATTCTGGTTTGTACACACTACATTCCTCCATCAACAGAAGGGTGCGTCTTCATCAATTCTGGTTTATACACACTACGTTCCTCAATCAACAGAAGGGTAGGTCTTCATCAATTCTGGTTTGTACACACTACGTTCCTCCATCAACAGAAGGGTGCGTCTTCATCAATTCTGGTTTATACACACTACGTTCCTCCATCAACAGAAGGGTAGGTCTTCATCAATTCTGGTTTGTATGCACTATGTTCCTCCATCAACAGAAGGGTAGGTCTTCATCAATTCTGGTTTGTACACACTACATTCCTCCATCAACAGAAGGGTAGGTCTTCATCAATTCTGGTTTGTACACACTACGTTCCTCCATCAACAGAAGGGTAGGTCTTCATCAATTCTGGTTTGTACACACTACGTTCCTCCATCAACAGAAGGGTAGGTCTTCATCAATTCTGGTTTGTACACACTACGTTCCTCCATCAACAGAAGGGTAGGTCTTCATCAATACTAGATTGTAGACACTAAGTACGGCGAAACCGCATTATCGGTGGTTCGAGAAGGGAGCTAACTCCGTTTGCCTAATCGAAAGTTCGAGGTGGGCCCACATTCGAAACTAAACGCACTTGTTGTTGAGAATATATACTACGTAAACAAACCCGCATAACGAACTCATAATTTGTCTATTTAAAATAAGTATTATGACTTATAATTGGATTAAAATGTACAAATAAGATGGCAATACAGCAGAACTCACTTCTACGAACATCGCCAAACTAGGTCGTGGGGTTATTAATATTCATGAGTTAGGCCTATTCCTTTTATGGAACAAATTCTCGGAAACGTCTGAGGCTTGTATCATGTCCGAGATCAATTCAAGTGTAGACATATGTTCAGGCTTATATCGCCACCAACACTTATGATTAGATTGGTGTGTTATACTGGAAAAGGTAGAATGAGTGGTATTGCCTCTGTAATTTTAATTTGAAGTAGATTTAAGTTTCTTGCTTGGTAGCTATTTTCGTAAAACTAGTGTGGTCAGCTATGACGCAGTTATTCAAACTTCAAAGACTTTTGTGCCTTTTATGGAATTAATGTCACACGAAATGATTTATAAAGATATTTCCCATCAATATTACAAAATATGAATAATATAAAATGTCACATAATGACAAACGTGAGCCCAATAGCCTAAATGACTTCGTCAACCTCATGAAACCCAGCGATTTAAAAATGTGGGCCCACCTGTTTCGATCACTATAAGACGGGAACAATGTGGGCCCACATTTTAGAAAATGGTTATAAGTAAGCAAAGCTAATGAAGCTAGCGATTTTTTAATGTGGTCCCTCCTTTTGCAATCACTATGACGGAAGAACGTCTACCCACTAGGCGATATACAAATGTGGGCCCACTTGTTTCGATCACCATATATGACGGGAACATTGTGGGCCCACATTTGAGAAAATGATTATCAATATTTAAGTAGAATTTCGCGATTAATAAATGTGGTCCCTCCTGTTGCAATCAATATGACGGAAGAACGTCTGCCCACATTTAGGGATTGATTATCAGAACTAACGAAACAACCTAACGAAGCTAGGCGAAATACAAATGTGGGCCCACTTGTTTCGATCACCATAGATGACGGGAAAAATGTGGGCCCACATTTTAGAAAATGGTTATCACCACTAAACCAATCTTAGAAGATGTACTGATGGAAACATAAATATATAATGCATTCAAACATTTAATTACCTTACGTTTTACCTTAGGGATAAGCTGGGCATTTAATAGCTGGACCAACAACGTGCAGCGTGGGTGACGCCATTTCTCGCAAATACGAAAACAACGGAGATAGCTCCCGTTTGAAATTAGAGTGACCTCCCTTTCCCAATATGAACCACTGATAATGCGGTTTCGCCCTAAGTACCTACACTGACTGAAAGTCAGCTGCGTAGATGTTGTGGCACATGTTCTGTAAGTCTGTCTGTTCTTTTCCTTTACATTCAACATCTCTGAAACCACAAAGTCTTTGAGGGTGAAATTTGGCATGGTTGATCACAGCTGTTGTTTCTCTCAAAACACTCACAAAACTACAATCCTATTTTTATGATCGCCATGGCAGCAACGATAAAAATGCCCATTACTCAGACATTTCTACATTTGTCATTATGAAGTTTGATAAGCAGTACCGGTAAGAATGAGATACCTTGTAATTTGTTTTTTTACCTGGCTATGAGTGAGTGAGTGAGTTGGGTTTAACGCTGCTTATAACAGTATTCAAGTTATATCACGGCGTGTCAGCTTAATGTGGGAGGAAAGCCCGAAGTGATGCAGGTCTCAGATGTTTACCACTTCGGTGAAACCCACGAGCACGGGTATGGTGCTGACAAACCTAGAAACATAATCAGGGCGAACCGGGATTCGAACCCACAATCATAGGTTTCTGGCGTGCCCAAGGGACGCAACTCTGCACAGCGAATCGCGGCGCCTTAGACGACTGGGACACCTGTGCCCCCCCACCTGGCTATGAACTTTGACCTTCACTTACAACTGTTTATCTACTGCACTTTGACATCTTCGACTAAAATCTAAAGTTTCTGAAGATGATATTTTGTGCATATCATCCCTTAGTGTCTTTAAAGCCTTCTCACACTATTCCAAGTCGTTTGTTTGTGTATGAAGTTGATGCACCTGTGTATTTTCCAGCATTCAATTACACGGCTCGGAAAATCAAAAGTGAAGGATTCATGGGACTGAAGGCTTTCTTCTGGGCGGAGCTGAACGACGGTCCCGAATTCAAGGTCAAAGTTCACCATAAGAAGTGTGCACCTTTCCAGGCCTGGTGATCTACTGGTGGGAACCTACATCTACATGCCCTGGTTCCAATACTAGTTTAGTCATGTCCAGTTGGTAACAATTGTTTATTTTAAGCCCCATACCATTATTTTTGTTTTTTTTGGTCATATTTTCTTTGCCAAAATGTCAAGAGTCACAAATTTAATATTGAATTGTTGGCACAGTTGAGTTTTACGAACAAATGAAATAGGAATTCATACCCAAAACATACAAAATGCTGTTCACAATAACATATTTCATCTAACAAAGCTTTTTTGTTTGCATTTGTTATGGGCATTTTATATTTGTTTGTCCATACTTAAAGAACAAATATTGATGGGGACTTATGTAATACACAGTGCGAGACTGTCGGATTAACGGGTCTAAATAGCACTGATTTAATCGGTTCCCATCATTAGCGTCGGATAAAGCCGATTGTCGGATTAACGAGTGTCAGATTAACGAGACTTGACTGTATTTTAAAGAAATAAGTGTATCATCAGTAGTATGGTTAAATAAATAGTAACAAATGAATAGTGATCGGAACCACAGCATTATTTTTGTACAAATACTCACTTTGGCGGATTCAGGAGTTCCCTGATGATCAAATATGGATCCTACCTATATAATGTGACATTATTCCCCCTTTTAAAAAATCCTGAATCCACCTGAGTGGGTATGATAGTGAACCTCAGACTCTCAGGGAAAACTTTGTTCAGGTACTTTGATCCGTCCTACAAGTGTGTGAGCTTCTTTTGAGCCGAGTTTGTAAATTCGACTTGTGCATTGAGAAACAGGTGCCCCCTCACAAAGCCTTTGTACCCCCTGAAGATTGTTGTTCCCCAGATACTGTATATATATGAGTAGAATTTTTACTCAATATTCAATCCAGCTGCTGCATCTTCATCATTTTCCAAATGCTTTGTTGACTCGTATTCAAACAAGTGAATAGCTTCTGTGTGCCAAATCAACTCATATTTCTGGTAGTCAATAGTTTAGTGTGCAAAATAAACAAGTAGCACACACCTTTCTGTTTTTGAAAACAAGTTTTTCTCTTTGGTTGACCTGGTATTGATACTCAAGTTTCCCATGATTTATTGATGTGAGTTTGACACCCAGTTGTTGCCTATTTCATCTCTTTGTTTGTTCATCTTCATAATGACATATTTTATATATTGATTGGGGTCGACTTAGAGTCTCATCATTTCTACAACACATTCAGTCGTAAAAAAATCCATCCAAAGAAAAAAATGGTTGCTCCATGTTTTTCAATCTTGACTCTCTAGATGTGTAGACCTGTGTAACCAAGTGAAGATCTGGGTTAGAATTGGATTTCAGCCACCCTTGCTTGTTGTAAGGAGGCAACTAACAGGATTGGGTGGTCAGGCTTGCTGACTTGGTTGATGCATATCATCGTATCCAAATTTCGTAGATTTATGCTCATGAGGTCAATCACTGGACTTGGTTATTTATTTTTTTGTTATATAGCTGAATATTTCAGAGTGTGGCATTAAACAACAAATAAAACAAACAAAGTGATGTGCATAAAGCCGTTTCTAGGTGTCCTCTGGGATGATTTATTACTGCAAAACTGCAGCTTGAATCTAAACTCACTCACTAACTCACTCACTCATTCACTCACTCACTCACTCGGTGCTTTGTATCTATGATGAAAGTAGAACTTGAGATTTCTGAAAGGGATAATTAATAGTTTCCGATAATTTGATATGCAATTGATATGGTTATCTGTATTTTAGGGTGACAAATATGGCATTTTGTTTCAATTATATCATTTGAGATATTTTTTCATCATGAACAAAAGTGTTTGTTCAGAACAATTCAATGATGATATTTACTCTGTTATTTAAATATCACCTTTCATGGCCATGATGACAGTATTCTCAGAATCTCATTGATGCATGCAACTTATGTTTGATACATGAAAGTATGTATTGCAGCTGTGACTCAAATCTGTTTTGAATCTATTATTTTCCCATATATTTATTTACATAATTATGTGTTGTTATGACAGAATGAAAATAGTTGTTCAAATTTGTTGTTTTTCTCTTTCTTTCTGTTTCTAATATATACAACTCAGCATTTGCTAAGGACCACCTTTGACAAAAGATGACTATTTTGATCCTTAGCAAATGTTGAGTGGTATAATCCCTCTGTGGACGAAGTATTGACAATGTCATGCAAGGGGCGTTGTCTGGTCTGTTTGCAGAATAAAAGACCATTGGACTGTTGAATACAATGCCTTTTAGAAAGTGGTCAGATGTAACAAATGTCATATTTGGGATAACACTTTCTTTTAGGGGTGGGACGGGTAATTCAGGTACCCGGGTCGGGTGGGTACTGAGTAGGACCTGGGTACCCACAGGACGACCCAGACCCGTGGTTAGTCACGTGATGTATTGTTTAATGACAAAATTTATCTTGAATTCTAATGGTTACACTACAAGTCACTAATGTTCGCATTTCTTTCTGACTATGCACCCATTCATTCTGACTTTTCATATGGTTGAATAAAGATATAACTTCAGTGTATGCATGACCAGATTGTTTGAGACATGTATCTTAATACATTTTGCCAGGGCTATGGTAAAAAAGAAAATACCCAATCGGATATTGTGTACCTATCTCTCTAAGACCTACAGTGGGTACCCGGGTAGGGTCGGGTAATAGGGGGATGGGTACCCGGGTAGTAAATCTAGACTCGTCCCAACCCTACTTTCTTTGTAAAGTACACATTTTGGTACTTTTTAGGGTTGGAAGCCTTGAGGGCTGAGTGGGTTAGATCGATGACTTTGTGTGCTGGCCATGAAGTGACCAATCCTGGTTGGGACTCAACCCCCCCAAAAGTACTAGAATTTATACTTTACCAGCAAAGTGTTATTCAAAATATAACACTTTTAATCTTGGACATGTTGTACTGACATACCCCATGGTGATTCCGGGGTAGAATTTGTCCTAAGGAACCGATATGCTGGTCATAGACGAAATGGATGGAGTGGTCTGGCTCGGTGATGTGGTTCATTGTGTGTCATCATACTCCAGTGACGTGGGATGTCATTCATAATATCAATCACTGGTTTGATGCCCTGCAGCATCATACTAAAACATTGAAAGATGGTACTTGTAGTTTCCCTACCTGGCGCTCTGCATTAAGGGGATAGAACAAGGACTGGTCAGCTCGGAGTCAGTATAATGTGGGGTATCCATGTTAAACTGCGGGATGGTATCTGAGTGGGCTAGCACTGTAAAACTGGATGAGTACAAGCAAATATGCACATACACACACAGACCAGGGTAGAATAGGTCTTCAGCAACCCATGCTTGCAGTAAAAGGTGACTATGCTTGCCGTAAGAGGCAACTATGCTTGTCGTAAGAGGCAACTAACAGGATCGGGTGGTCAGGCTCGCTGACTTTGTCGATTCATGTGATCGTATCCCAATTGCGTGGATTGATGCTCATGATGTCAAATCACTGTATTGTCTGGTCCAGACTGCCATCATATAGCTCGAATATTAAGTGTGGCGTTAAAAAACAAAAAACAACACCACACCACAACTCACCAATAATCTTGAAAGCCCATTTCACATTCAACCCCATTTCACCTCAGCTCACTCACTCATGTAGAGAAGTGTTTGTTAGTTTGTTTGTTGTTTAACGCCGCACTCAGCAATATTCCAGCTATATGACGATGGTCTGTAAATAATCAAGTCTGGACCAGACAATCCAGTGATTGACATCATGAGCATCGATCCAGGCAATTGGGATACAATGACATGCATCAACCAAGTCAGCAAGTCTGACCACCCGATCCCATAAGGCGCCTTTTACGACAAGCATAGTCGTCTTTACAGCAAGCATCGGTTGCTGAAGACCTATTCTACCCCGGATCTTCACGGGTCTGTAGAGAAGTGAGTCACATCGGCAATCTCTCTGCCACATAGTGACTCAAGAACATGACAGGAAGCTTCAGGACAATCTGAAATATGAACTGTATGGAAATCAGCCAGCACAGTATCTATAGAAAACACAAACATTACTCAAAATGTGCAAAAATAGGAAATGATTTATTCTTGTTTATGTAAACGTCAAAAATAAAAATCAATCATTGTAAATCTCATGAATGAATAAAGCAGCAATTAACGTTCATTCCTAATTGTATCACACATTGGGGATTCTCCCAAACAAATAATTTCTCAACTCACTACAAACAATTTTCACATGATGAGTTCATCAAAAACAATTTTACAAATCTCATAACCTGAGATAACAAAGTTCAACTGCATGAACAACACATTGTTGTCCCTTATAAATGATTTAGTCAGTTCATCTCCCATTGATTAAACCATTGCATCCATAACAAATATGCTACTAAAAAAATGCAGGAACACCCACATTTTTCACTTTGACGATACCGTAGTTAACACAAATATGGCTTGACAGATAAAAGAGCAATATGAAAGGATTGGTATTTCTTAACTTCTTTTGGGTAGTATTTTACCCAGTGGTTCATTGCAAGTACTCCAAGAGTTAGTGTAGCCCCGTTCTATTATTTTTATACCCTGGACCCATTGCATCTCGCCCATGAGAGTAATTTGATTGGACGTCTATTTTTAGCACCATGCCATGTTAAACGGGCAGAAATCAAATCAAGTCTAATAAGTAAATATATTCTCTTGGTCCAAGAAACACTTCCCCACATGGTGGCGATGAGAAAGAGAACGAGTTGGCAGAGAGAGGCAAGTGGTCAAAGTGTGGAAGGTCACCAAGCTCGAGAGCATGTGATTGACCCATTTGTTGGTTGTGACCATAGAGATGCTGGGGTGTGAATGTTTTTATCTTAGAAGCTGGAAACATGGTTCAAGCATGTTTCTACATAGGATCGAAGAAGAAAGAAGATTTGCATTGTGTGAGAAAGGATAAATATTTAAATATACAATGTACACTAAAATTTCGAATTTGAGTGGACATTAGTTTTTATGCCATGTTTATCAGGCTGAAACTAAAGCTGTTGAGTTGATTTGGTTCGGGGTAGTTATAACTATTAGAATGAGTGAGTGAGTGAGTATGGTTTTACGCCGCTTTTAGCAATATTCCAGCAATATCACGGCGGGGGACACCAGAAATGAGCTTCACACATTGTACCCATGTCGGGAATCGAACCCGGGTCTTCGGCGTGACGAGCGAACGCTTTAACCACTAGGCTACCCGACCGCCCCTACTATTAGAATGAAGACATAACATCATGGATAATCAAGGATGGAGGACTTTGATGGATGCTGAGACAGGGTGGCCTCAGATACAAAATATTGTGTGCTACATGCAACGAAATGATAATGGACGCAAATAATATCAACTGCAAGTCCCATCCGACGCAAAAGAGTATAGTTGGAATGACAAAGTAAATAACTTGACACATCAGAATTTATCTGATATTTCTGGTCTGGAAGACACAATAAATGTACGGATATTGTTTGCGTTTATGCAGGGATATACATAATGTGCAAAACCGCTTTTCTCCATAAACACAAAAACTTTGAAGTCAATTCTCTAAAACAAAATATGTCAACAATAATAACTTCACAGACTGCTTATTAATCATTGACATGCATAAAAATGTAAACAACAGTACGAACTTAGTTACATTATTCCATGCAATAATGAAACACAAGCCCCGCCCATCCTATACTCACCACCAAAAGATAAACCAAACCATAGAAACACATGGAGAAGTATGTATGTTAAGAAGAGATGTGTCCAATGTGTACCACTTAATGACAAAATTAACAATCATGCAAGTGTTACCAAAGAGTGTCTTTATTCTTAGCACAATATGCTGCACGCGATTTCCAAACTTTACACGCTAATCCTGCACCAGACAAATGGTGCATCTCGAGTCACGGATCTATGACGTCACATGTGATGTGTTCATGAGCGTCAGTTCACACAACATACCAGTATTTTCGTTTGTGCATCAAACCAATCTAATATCTCTTGAACATGAGTAATTTTTCATATATAAACCAACAGGTATGGTATTCATTTTTCTTTAGAGTAAATTATCAACAAATCGGGAACAAGTAGTCCGTTAGCGGGAATGGCCTTATGTATATATCTAGTCCAGCCAATCAGATGCCACAGAATCACTTTCAATTTATCCATATAGAGGTAAAATCCCAGCTCTGATGAGGCCATGATTTTGACAACAAAAGTACGAAAATGTTCATTCGTTGGAGTCAGGTGTTTCACTCGTACACATGGTCGTTGAACAGATTTCATTTTAAGGAATATTTCTACAGTGTGTGTACACTCAGGCCTAAAGGAATAATCCCTTTCTTCATACACATATTTCATACAAAAATACTACATAAATGCAAGGGACAAATATATTTTCGTAATTTTGAGATATGAAATATCTTTTACATCATGTCATCACAATGGAGAAGAATGTCAGTTAATTTTAATTTCAAAATATTGCCTGATATTGACAGACAGAGGTATTGAATCGGAGTGATTTTAAAAGATCCAATTTCAATAACATTGACATCTATTATGCTATAAGTGGGGATCTTTTTTATTTCCCATCAAATGAATTATGATATAACCCCTCAATGTTTGGGCTTGTTGGGCTTCAGCCCCTTAATAAACTCTGTATAACTCCTTCCTGTATTGTCTGGGTCCTCCCACTGTGGGTAATGGCCGATGCTTTTGTCTAGAACAACCAGCTTGTGTTGAGGTGCAATTTTCCTGGAATAAATACAACAATCAATTGAGGAAATTGGTTCTGGTAGGTCATCAATGGTTTTATGCCACAGTGGTCAATATTACAACAATTTCATGTCGGCCTCTAAATAATTGAACTTGGGCCAGACATACCAGTGGTTGACAGCAGGGTCAACTCTTCGGTCAATAATTCGCCACATTCACAGAATATAATGGTCTATTTATTACCGAAGAAGATGTCTACATACATCAAGTGTGTACCAAAAAGGACAGCAAGTCTCAACAGCAGCAGAATCACAATTTGTCGAATAACGTCAACAATCTTCAGCTATGACGTCGTTTCTAGAGTGACGTCATTCCCACCTTACATCACAATAAGATTCGAATGACGTAAACAATGATGTCAATACACTGTTGTCTCATGACGTGATATGACCCTGAGGCAAATATGATTTTTATGAACCCCGAAATGTTTGCCCTTGGATGTAATATAATCGGCTTCTTCAATGGTAACAAAACTTTCTTCTAAACTGAAGTATGTCAGATCTTGAGTTCTGTGCACTGAATGAATTAATTTCTTTCTACTCTGACAAATTATTAGAGTAAAAGCATTTCTTTATCTGACCTGAAATGATCTGGAAATACCGGGGAGGGATTGATTGGGTCAGCAGGCCCATACACCATCAGCACTGAAACATCATAATATCTTTATGCACTATGTTACACCAAACAAAACTGCTAAATAAATGACTATATTTCTTGCCATCAAGTCTGTTTCAAATAATCTCCGCGAATAAATTCATCGTAAAGTGGGTCAGTATAGGAGTGGTAATCTTTTCACTTTGCAATAAAAATAACAACAAAAACTTTGCTTTTTTTCTCCTGTCATGTTTTTTCATTCGAATGAAACTTCTTTCTTGAGATCACTTGAAAATGTTTTTTTAACAAAAATTAAAAAAACAAGTAATCAAAAAAAGGCCTAAAGAATCAAATTTGAGACAAGAATCCTGCTTCACATTTGTTTGCTGACTGTACCTGGAATGGGTGCTGCTTTTAGACTGCCATACACCCATCTGTCTTCATTGTCAGATCGCTCCTTGATATATTGAAGGATCCTGAAACACCAACATGGAGTTATCTCCCTTGGCTCAGTGGGTTGTCTCCTCCACGTCACACTGCCTACTACATTCCTGCCCAGAATTGAACATGGTTGGAGGGAAGGGAGGCACTTTGAATTCTCCCCCTTAAGTGGCTGATTTATCCTCAGCATTGTTTTCATCTTTCAGGATCGAGTGATATTTTGGAAAGACCACTGCATGATTTTGCATAGCAAAAAGAACAGTGAGTTTATAGTGAGGCTGAAGGGGTCTCTGTCAGCACGGGTACTTCAGATATGTACCCCAGGTACGATTCTGTATACAGAATACTCTGGTATACTCTGAAGGGGGGTGGATTTTGGCAGCTTACATCGGGTCATATATCCCTCTCTTCCACAGTGTAATTAATCCACAACATGTGTTAACATTCATTTCCAAGATCAGAAATCATATATGAAAACACTGAAAGCTTTGCTCACTTGTACTGAGAATGTAGCCATGCTGCTTGGCTGATGGGAGGTTCTCCTGACTTAACAGAGATATGGAACTTGACACAGACTACAGATATCAACTGAGGATATCACCAATTATTATGCTTAAAGTGAGACTTACCAACCACAGAGCAGAACTACAGACCTAACATGAGCCTGTATACCATCAGTAGCAGCCATCTTGAATTTTGTAACACCCACCTCACACCTCGCCCAATATTTTTCTGCTGAACTAATATGATACCATATATGGCATCAAAAGACACCATAACTAATAACAGAGGATGTTATTCCAGCAGAATTCATAATATATTTTACTTATCGTATTGGAAGAATTTTGTTGACAATAAGTCAATGATTCAGCCAGCATTATAATATACTGCTCCACTTTTGACATGGATATTCTTATCTTCCAGTGATAAACAAAAGTGATTCTCACAATATGAGACAAGTGTTTAAATATCTGACACATCTGATTATCCTTATCAAACGTTGAGTAGTATATTACGGTCGACATCTCCAGGATTCCAAAGATCATACATACCCTGGCATAACAGTATTACCATCTCGGTATCTGATAGCAGCGTAGAAATCCTCAAACTCTTCATACGTCGGCTTGGTACCAAATATATCTCCAAATCTAAATATTAAAATGTATCTTGTGATAATTAACACTTAAAAATTCCGTATTTATTTGACTAAATTGGGTGTTATTAGTACAAATTGTTTTGTTTGAATGAAATGGATTCTCAGTAATTTTTATCCAAATCTTAAAAATCTTCAAACAATTATTTAATGCCACACTTAGCAATATGGATGGCAGCATGTAAATAGTAGAGTCTGAAGCAGACAATCCAGTCACTGATATTGTGAACAATCCACACCCTAAGGATATGATGACACTAAATCAAGTGACCGAGCCGACCACCTGATCCATAACATCTACTCTTACAAACAGCATAGGTTGATAGGGACCTATTCTAACCTGGAATCCCCATGGTACGACCAGCACAGGTTGATGGAGATGTATTCTAACCTGGAATCACCATGGTACAACCAGCATAGGTTGATGGGGATCTATTCTAACCTGGAATCCCCATGGTACAACCAGCATAGGTTGATGGAGACCTATTCTAACCTGGAATCCCCATGGTACAACCAGCATAGGTTGATGGGGATCTACTCTAACCTGGAATCCCCATGGAACAACCAGCATAGGTTGATAAGGACCTATTCTAACCTGGAATCCCCATGGTACAACCAGCATAGGTTGATGGGATCTATTCTAACCTGGAATCCCTATGGTACAACCAGCATAGGTTGATGGGATCTACTCTAACGAGGAATCCCCATGGTACGCCCAGCATAGGTTGATGGGGCCTATTCTAACCTGGAATCACCATGGTACAACCAGCATAGGTTAATGGGATCTATTCTAACCTGGAATCCCCATGGTACAACCAGCATAGGTTGATGGGACCTATTCTAACCTGGAATCACCATGGTACAACCAGCATAGGTTAATGGGATCTATTCTAACCTGGAATCCCCATGGTACAACCAGCATAGGTTGATTGGACCTATTCTAACCTGGAATCACCATGGTACAACCAGCATAGGTTGATGGAGACCTATTCTAACCTGGAATCCCCATGGTACAACAAGCATAGGTTGATGGGACCTATTCTAACCTGGAATCACCATGGTACAACCAGCATAGGTTAATGGGGACCTATTCTAACCTGGAATCACCATGGTCCAACCAGCATAGGTTGATGGGATCTATTCTAACCTGGAATCCCCATGGTACAACCAGCATAGGTTGATTGGACCTATTCTAACCTGGAATCCCCATGGTACAACCAGCATATGTTGCTGGGGTCCTATTCTAACCTGGAATCCCCATGGTACAACCAGCATAGGTTGATGGGGACCTATTCTAACCTGGAATACCCATGGTACACCCAGCATAGGTTGATGGAGACCTATTCTAACCTGGAATCCCCATGGTACACCCAGCATAGGTTGATGGGGACCTATTCTAACCTGGAATCCCCATGGTACAACCAGCATAGGTTGATGGAGACCTATTTAACCTTGAATCCCCATGGTACAACCAGCATAGGTTGATGGGGACCTATTCTAACCTGGAATCCCCATGGTACACCCAGCATAGGTTGATGGGGACCTATTCTAACCTGGAATCCCCATGGTACAACCAGCATAGGTTGATGGAGACCTATTTAACCTGGAATCCCCATGGTACAACCAGCATAGGTTGATGGGGACCTATTCTAACCTGGAATCCCCATGGTACAACCAGCATAGGTTGATGGAGACCTATTTAACCTGGAATCCCCATGGTACAACCAGCATAGGTTGATGGAGACCTATTCTAACCTGGAATCCCCATGGTACACCCAGCATAGGTTGATGGGGACCTATTCTAACCTGGAATCCCCATGGTACAACCAGCATAGGTTGATGGAGACCTATTCTAACCTGGAATCCCCATGGTACACCCAGCATAGGTTGATGGGGACCTATTCTAACCTGGAATCCCCATGGTACAACCAGCATAGGTTGATGGAGACCTATTTAACCTGGAATCCCCATGGTAAGACCAGCATAGGTTGATGGGGACCTATTCTAACCTGGAATCACCATGGTACAACCAGCATAGGTTGATGGAGACCTATTCTAACCTGGAATCCCCATGGTACAACCAGCATAGGTTGATGGAGACCTATTCTAACCTGGAATCACCATTGTAAGACCAGCATAGGTTGCTGGGGTCCTATTCTAACCTGGAATCACCATGGTACACCCAGCATAGGTTGATGGGGACCTATTCTAACCTGGAATCACCATGGTACAACCAGCATAGATTGATGGTGACCTATTCTAACCTGGAATTCCTAAAGGTACAACCAGCATAGGTTGATGGGGACCTATTCTAACCTGGACTCCCCATGGTACAACCAGCATAGGTTGATAGGGGCCTATTCTAACCTGGAATCCCAAAGGTACAACCAGCATAGGGTGATGGGGACCTATTCTAACCTGGAATCCCCATGGTACAACCAGCATAGGTTGATGGGGACCTATTCTAACCTGGAATCCCAAAGGTACAACCAGCATAGGTTGATGGAGACCTATGTTAATTACCTTTATGGCCCTTTCCACTGTTGGCCCTGGTTAGCCCTTCTCTCATTCTACACACCACTGACAGTTCATATCAAATCCCCGCCATGCGTAAACACGCTGCTTCCTCTCACGCATGCGCACACGTAGTCAAGTTCAGAGGTCACTTCCAGTACACTCGAATGTAAACATACCACACAATGTGGTTAGGACTGACATGTTATCAATCTCCTACTTCTTTAAAGTTTGTCTTCAAATGTGATAAGGCTGGAGTGACAAACTTTGCTGGCTGTGTCAAAATTTCATTTGTTAATATGTAAAGCCTTCCCTCAGGCTCTCGGTAAAAGTAAAAATAAATTTCTTAAAACCAGTCTCTGTACAGTATATCCCAAGAACAGTTTCCAGTCTCTGAACAGTCTCTGTACAGTATATGTCAAGAACAGTTTCTTCACATATAACCTCAAATATTTTTGATTTGTATAAAATAGTTTTATGTAAAAGAAGGATGCAGACTGTTCCAACAAACATATTTTGTTTTGTTTTCTTCTTTAAGATCTTCATAAAAACAGGTTAAAAGATGATGCAGTTTATAATAATATCTTCACAGAGTTCCTTCTTCAAGGACCCGTAGTAACTTCATAGGTGAAGCGCCCTCTTTGGTCAGACAGTCTGCCAACTGGTTATTTGTGTCCACCCATGTCACATCTCCTATCTGTCCAGATTCCACTAACTCCTTGATCCCACTTATTTCCATTCTCAGTCTTTTTTCTTTAACAGGTTTAGTGGATTTTAGAGCATCATACAGTGATTTAGAGTCTGTGATACAGGTCAATGTCATTCTGTTGTGTTTCTCACCAGTCAGTTCTCCAAACAACATTGATAGGTACACTCCTGTATCAATACCATCGGCCATCGCCAAAGTTTCACCAGCCAGTGTGCTTCGCACCACCCTACGAATCTTCTTCGAGTTCCAACATAAAGGTGTCACCTTTCCTGTACTGCCTGTGAGGAAAATCATGTGTCCACCCTGTGTGCCTCCATCTGGCAGGTTTCCTAACGAAGCATCACTGAAAACTACAAGTGAAAGTTCCTTTCCTACATTTTGAAATTTCAGGTTGACATGTTCTGACTTAATCTTCCTAATGATCTTGTTTGCTGTCAAAAGATGTTCAACTTTGGCATCCTTCGTACATGCTGCTAGTCGACAAGCATCAAATATAACATCAGGCCGACTCTGTTTAGCTATCCACAGTATTTGTCCTATCTTGGATCTGAGTTCATGCTTCTCAATATCGTTCAGGAGTAAAGATTTCTGAGCGGATCTAGATTTATCAATCTGGACAAAGTTGAGGCTTTCTGCATATTTCTGTTGATGTAAGAAAATGTGTCCGTCCTGGCAAGATAAGTTCATTCCCAAGTATTGAAAAGCTTGATTTTCTTCTTTTCCAACCTTTAAGTGTGATCTCACAGATTCCATTACATTTGATCTGAATTCTGCAGATCCACCCCAAATAAAGTCATCAACATGACATGCCAATATTCCAACAGTTTCTTGATCTTGTCCTTCCCATAAAAATACTGCTGGGTCAACTCTCGATACCTTAGCTCCTAGTTCCAACATGACTGACTTGACTTTCTGATACCAGTGTAGTGATGCATCACTTAGTCCATAGACACACTTCTGAAGATGCCAGAGTTTTCCAGGTACGTTTGCTTCTTTCGGAGGTCTAATGTAAACGTCTCTCTTCATCTCTTCACCTTGAAGAAATGCAGTTTTAATATCCATTGAATGAGGTTTCCATTTTTTCTGACAAAATACTGCCAAGATAAGTTTCAGCGATTCTTTAGCACATGTTGGGGAATCTTTTTGAAAGTCCGTATTCTCACCTTCTTCGAATCCTCGGGCAACTAACCTTGCCTTAGGTATTATCTTCTCTGGTGTTTCTTTAAGTGTACATACCCACCTGGTTGACACACATCTTTGCCCATCATCGACAACTTCTTTGTAAACTCCATTTTCCTTCCAACTATCAAGTTCAGTTAGCTTGGGTTTAGTCCATGCAACATCTTCTGTAATCATGACGTTTTCCTCCATGATTTCACAGGGGATTATCCGCAATTCTTCTACCTTGGACAAATCAACTGACTGACTTATACCTTGCATTTCAGAATTCATGAATTCTAAGTTGTACCAGCTCCTGTTTTTGCCTGTTGCTTTTCCTGCTCTGCTAAGAACTTTTGCACAGACTTGATCTCCAGTGTCATGATGTGCATATGAAATTGTCTGCCCAGACTTTATTTGTGATAATCGTTCCTGTAGATTGTTCAATTCAGAAACTTCTCCTATCTGTGGTTCTTGTGTTTGTATCTCTAGGTCACTGTCTTCCTCGACACTATCATGTCTTTGCACAGTTTCCTCTTGTTCTACTTGCCTCTCATTATGTTCATTGTTATTTTCAGGAATTTCCTTTTCTACACAACGCCTCATTCTACTTCTATGAACCCTCACCACAATTCCTCCATTTCTCACGAAAACCACAGTACCGTCTTGTCCTATCACAGTTCCTGGACCCTTCCATTTAGGATCATCTGACCTCTTGAAGTAGACCTTGTCACCGGTCTCAAAATTTCCAGCAACTGGACGAATCTGCTTTCTGAGGGCTCTTCTCAATCTTTCAGAACTTTCAGCTTCTATGAAAGCCTGTCTTGATGCAAACATTGTATTAATATGTTTTCCCACAGTTGCACTTGTTGTGGTGCCCTCGAGCGATGGTGCCTTGTCAGTCAGAACTGATGGTAAATTTGGGTTTCGTCCAAAAACCAACTGGTATGCGCTGTATCCAGAAATGTTACTGAGGCTGTTCTTGGCAATTAATGCCCAACTAAGTGCCGTTTCCCAGTCACAGTTCTTCTCAGATTTCACCTTTCTCATGATATTTGTCAAAGTCTGATTGTGGCGTTCAAGCAATCCATTGCTCCATGGACTCTCTGCTGCTGTGGTCTTTACTTCAATGTTAAAATTCTCACACATGTCTCTCACTTCAGCATTGTTGAATTCTCCTCCATTGTCACTTAAGAGTTTTTGTGGTGCTCCATGAATACTTATCCAATGCTGAATAAAGTTCTGAACAAACACTGATGATTGCTTACTTCTAATAATAGCTCCAGCACTAAATCTTGTAAATTCATCAATAATGTGCAAATACCACATGCCCTTTCCAAGTTCGTGTAAGTCAACAGCCACTGTCTCATTAAAATCTGTAGCCTTAGGAAATCCAACTGCTGGCTTAGTTGGTTGTTTCCTATACCTTTCACATGTTTCACATTTCTCAACTATTTCTGTTAGTGTCTTCAAGATGTCGGGATCTTTATTCCCTGCATTTTGAATAAGCCTCTGTAATCTTTCCGCTGTGGCGTGTCCAAACTGCTTGTGAAGCTTCTCCAGCGCTTTCTTTTGATCCTTTTCACCAATATTTTCTTTTATGAAGAGTGCTTCTGAATCTAACTGTTCAACTGTACACTGCTCCAGGCCACGATCTGAAGTTTGTTCAGCAGGAAAATCTCTTTGTCCAACTAGATCAATGCAATAATGTCCAGTTGATGTCGGTTCTAAGTTCACTGGTTTCTGAAACATGATAGCTGTGTCATTTGGTAAATCAAGAATTAATCCAGCTTTCTTCAGTGATGGTTTTCCAAGCAAAAGAGGAATGTCCGATTCTACAACTTCTGTGTTTATAGTGCACCGAGTGTCACCAATTACTGCTGGTATCATAACATTGGATGATGAGAAAACTTTCACTCCATCTCCAAATCTAAAGCTCTTATTGCTAGGATTTGAAATAATTTCATCCCTTTCCTGACTACTGAGTGTCTCTATGTATTGGTCCAACCATTGCTGTCCACACACTGTACTTGTACAGGCAGTGTCTAATACTGCACATCCCAATGCTTCTGTTAGTAGAATTTTGTTCTCCGTACTTTGCTCCTTTGTAAACAGTGTCAAGTTACATTGCTCTGTCTGTTCTTCTGTTTCTATCATTTTCACTTCCTCATTGTTTCTTGGTTTCTCTTGGTGTGGGCAATCTTTAGCCCAATGGAAAGTTGACTGACAAATTACACATCGGCTGCGCTTTCCAAACCTGTTAATTGGATTCGTTCCCCTTTCAGGTGTATCATTTCTATTACCACTGTAAGCTGAACTGTATCTGTCACGTGGCTCATTCCTGTACCTTGGACCCGAGTATCTCTGTCCTTGTTGACGTCCTCTATAACCACTCTGGCTATTTCTTGTGTAATATGCTGATTCCTGTTTCACACATATGGCACTGTCAGAATCCTGACTTTTAACATTACCAAATATTCTCTTCAATGCTGATTTCATAGATTCAAAGTTTCTATCGTTAGCTGCTGTCAAAACTAACTGTCTTTCTTTCTGAGTCAATCCTGATGAATCAAGCAACTTGAATGAGAGTACTGAATCTGGCAAAACCATCTGATATTTCTTACACTGGGTATATCGCCGTTCATATTCAATGATAAATTCTGACATTGTCATTTCTTCAGCCTTTGTGAAACTATCAAAATCCCTGTATGCCGTGTATGCTAAGTCAACAGTGTCCCTCTTATAAAGTTCATCAAGTGCTTGGACAAGAATTTTCAAACCCCGTTTGGAATTCAAATCTTTCACATCAATTGCCATTGCTTTTGCCCTAGCTTGTCCCGTAAGTGATCCCAGTGAGACTGCGAGTGCCTGTTTTTCCTCTACAACCTCGGTCATGTGACACCATATTTCAAGTTCGTTTTTCCACGTCTCATATTCCATCTCATTTGTCAAAGTCGGGGGATTCTTGTAACCATGTGCCATATTGCTAGTCCCGTTTTCCCTCAACCACGCTCTGCTACCAATGTTAATTACCTTTATGGCCCTTTCCACTGTTGGCCCTGGTTAGCCCTTCTTTCATTCTACACACCACTGACAGTTCATATCAAATCCCCGCCATGCGTAAACACGCTGCTTCCTCTCACGCATGCGCACACGTAGTCAAGTTCAGAGGTCACTTCCAGTACACTCGAATGTAAACATACCACACAATGTGGTTAGGACTGACATGTTATCACCTATTCTAACCTGGAATTGCCATGGTACAAACAGCATAGGTTGATGGGGACCTATTCTAACCTGGAATCCCAAAGGTACAACCAGCATAGGTTGATGGGGACCTATTCTAACCTGGAATCCCCATGGTACAACCAGCATAGGTTGATGGGGACCTATTCTAACCTGGAATCCCAAAGGTACAACCAGCATAGGTTGATGGGGACCTATTCTAACCTGGAATCCCAAAGGTACAACCAGCATAGGTTGATGGGGACCTATTCTAACCTGGAATCCCCATGGTACAACCAGCATAGGTTGATGGGGACCTATTCTAACCTGGAATCCCCATGGTACACCCAGCACAGGTTGATGGGGACCTATTCTAACCTGGACTCCCCACAGGGATCAGGCAATGAGCAGTACATGCTACATATATAAATAGCATCAGGATAAAGCGGAGTTTGATATACAAAACGTTAGGCTTTCGTGTATCGGACAGATTTTCAAGTTTCTGGGACGAATATATGTAGCAGGCTGCAGGAAAGTTGCTGCGATATTGTTGTGGTATTGCTTTAATGTTGCAGACACAAAATACGATTCATTCAATCACTTACCCTCTTCTGAAGAGGTGGAAAAAGGACAACCTTGATGCAATATCACCTATAACCGGAATCAGCAAAATCTACAAACAACAAACAACACCTAAAGACATTTGAATTACTTGATAACACACCCGTGTCTCTCATTCTGTAAACACACAGGACTGTTTTACATTTCAAAACTTTGTTTTACATTTCTCAACTTTGTTTTACATTTCTCAACTTTGTGCGTGTCTGTGTGTGTGCATGAGTGTCTGCTTGTACTAGTCTGCCCTATTGTATATACCGTATTCGACGTAATAAGCGCCCAGGGCGCTCTCAAAATTAGAAATAGGGGACTCTTATAGAATATCATTTTGGTGAATAAAATAAAGTTGAAAGATAAATTTCGTGGTTTATGCTGATAGCCTGAAATATTTATGTACGACAGATATATTTTTCCAGGATTTAATTGCCAATAATAAAGAGTGCCTATAACACACGAGTGGGTATTATATGTGAAAAGGGGTCGGAAGAGGTGTTAACTAGCCAATATATATCTCGACCTGGGCGCTTATAAGAGCAGGGCGCTTATTACGTCGAATACGGTATATGATTGCAGCCTCACTTCGGATAGTGTCATGCTGGTCCCAAGACAATCTGTACATACACACCTTTTGGAGTACTCTTGGATAGTATTTCCCTTGGAAGAGTCCTAAAACATAACATGTTGATAATCAGCTAATTTTAGGCTAAAAAAAATATAGGAATTTGTTCTCAGGCAATGACTTTTGAAAATATAGTGCAGGCAGGCGGTGATTTTGGTTTTTTTTGCTTGTTCAAACTGGTATATAACCAAATAAACAGTTGTGTACCATCAAATCAACCTGGACTCTCACATAATAGTCAGTTGGCCACCAGCGGAAAAGAGGCTTAGTTTACATTTTCGTTCCCAAATTTTCCTGTATACCTTAAACCTTTTCTATTGCATAAAGGAGGTATCTGTACACAATGTTCATTGGGTAGTAAGCTTGCAAGTGTGTGCAGGAATTTTCAGGGGGTCAAAATTGCATAAATTGAAGGAAAAATGCAATATTTGACAACATTGGCTGTAACATTTTTATTAAGTCATTAAACTATCCCAATTATGTCTTTGATTACAGCTAATATGTTCGGTTATCTGAGTTTGGCAAACATTTTGTTTCATTTAATTGTTATTTTAATTCTCATTGGAAACATTGGTAAAATTCAGGTTTTTTTACTTCATTTTCAAATCTTGTGAGTAGGTAAAACACTAATTCCATTGAATTGTGACAATAAAACCACTATAACTGGGTATTAAAATCTGCCTTAACCATTGTACTGTCCTATACAAAAAACAAAATGAAAATATATTACATAGGGGTTGAGATATTGTATACAGTGTTACCCCACCCCCCAAAAAACAATTTTGACGAAAATTGCTTATTGAGATATGGTGGTAAATGATGTTGCTGTAGTGGATTATTAGGATAATTGCAACAATGCTTAAAAACACCGAAATAGTAAACTCATAAAGAAAAATGATGTTTCAAGTTTTTCTGTGAAGATTTATGGTGGCCATCTTGAATTTCAAGATGGCCGCCATTTTGACCTGTTTTCGAAATCAAGATCTTATATAGTTCTTCAACATGGTCATGTAATATATCATATGAAAGCTTATTACGTTGTCTTTTCAATGATGTACATAATTCACTGACTCCTGTGGTTAATTGATCCCCAACAATGAAAAAAGGAAATATTGAAATCTAATTTCTCTCGCAACTTCAACCCAAACCCAAATTTAGATTTAGATTAAAATGGACATATTTTCACTCAAAATTGTAGATATACTGCACTTTTCTTCAACATGGTCATGTAATATATCATATGAAAGCTTTGTTACCTTGTCTTTTCAATGATGTACCTTATTCAATGACTTCTGTGGTAATCTTATCCCCTAATAATAAAACACATGATATATCGAAATCTAATTTCTCTAGCAACACCAACCAACCTCCAAAGTTGTATTTCAATAAGATGGACATCGTTTCACTCATAATTGTAGATATACTGCACTTTTGTCTGAGCATTTCACTAGTTTATCGTTTGAGTGAAAAAAACAATGAGAATACTTATAATATTATGAAGTATTAAAGATTCTATCACAGAGTCATGGGCTGTGAAATAGTGCCACCTCTAGTCACCGTCAGAGTCCATCTCTTCTGGAAAGGTAGGTACATTGTTTCTGTTTAGGCATGACATAGCACAACTGCATCCAAGGGAACATCCCATGATGTTCTTGGCGCAGCTACACCTGGGTGAGGAGCATCTGCCTGTTGTGCATTTACAGGTGAGCAATTCTAGACACAGTGCTGGCATTCGTTTCTGGGTCATTGGGGTGGGTTCTCAGTGGACGACCATCTATACCCTTCTGGTGGTGAATGTCAGCCTTTCCTTTGTGTGCAGAACACCATGTAATGCACTGGTGCTGACATCTGAGTAGAGGTTGTGTGGTGGGAGTTCCTCTAGGTCTCCAACTCTGGGGAACATGTCAGCTTTAAGTGTATTAATGCTAGTTGCAGTTGATGCTGGATTGTACACTTTGACAACAACTGTTTCTGTCTTTTTCATGTTGAAGGCACCAGTTTCTTCTGTTGGTTGCAACAAATCTGGTTGTGCGTTAAATATGTTCCAGGTCGACGTCTTGCCATAACCACTGAACTGGCTTGTTGTGTCACAACCATGACCGCATGGAATGCTGGTAGAGCTGCTACAATATCTGGAGTGAGAGATTGATTTACATCATCAACTTGTATGAATAGAGGGTCCTTTGCAGTACCTGCACCCATCAATATCTGAGCAGAAAACCGATGTTTATGATGTATCAACGGTACTAATACATCAGTGCCTCGATTGTGAATGACAATGTGGTCGTATACATTGCAGGAGGCATCCATGACATGCATCATCATTCGTGTATCTGCCTCTTCATGTGTTTATAGTAGATTTGATATTGCTGCAGATTGATCTAAGGAAGATATTACATCATCATGGTATGATTCGAGGTGACAAGCTTTTGTAAGAGTTCATTGAAAATCGATTGGCGGATAATGCTGAGAGTATTCATGACAAAATATAAGAAAATATGTCCAACAGTACATACACTGTACACCATGCAGGTATCAAAGAAGTCAACTCAAACCAATACCTTTAAGCAAGGAAGAAAACTTTTCAGAAGGTTGCTGAGTTCCACCCACAGTGGAAGAGACGTAAACGTACCACATCTTCTAACACATGAGCTGTCCCATACCCCACCTTCCCTGGCAACAGCAGATGGTCTACTTTGTACAACAAAGCTGCATTATCACATTTGCTTGCAGATTCTCATGCTACCACCAACTGATGACACAACATGCATTGTTATTTCGGACATGGCTCTTGTACAGGCTATAGGCAAACCAAGATTTGGCTGATGTTTTCAAGTGGAATGTGCTGAAGAACTTCAGTGAAACTTATACTTAAGTCGATGATGTCTTTGACCAATATGTTGCAAAGTCAGTAAAATCTATACAAAAAGAGGTGATCGATCAAAGAAAATTTCGAAGAATAATAGATAAATGAGACATCCTTCTGCTGACTTCATCGTCCAATTTTATTGAAACAACAACAGGCACAACATCTCCATCATAATCATCAAATCATCATCATTGCAGGTGGATTGAGCAGCCCAGATACAGCAGTATCTTCCATAGATCAATCTGAAGCAATGCCAAATCTGCTGTCAACACATAAAGAGGCAGATACACGAATGGTGATCAATGTCATGGATGCCTCCTGCAATGGATACGACCACAGTGTCATTCACATCCGATACACTGATGTGTTGGTACAGTTGAATCATCATAAACATCGGTTTTCTGCTCAGATATGAATGGGTGGATATCAGTTGATGATGTACATCAGTCTCTCATTCTCTCAGATGCTGTATAAGCTCTACCAGCATTCCATGCGGTCACAGGTTGTGGACCTGGAACATATTCATATTTATCGCACAACCATATTTGTTGCAACCAACAGAAGAAACTGGTGCCTTCACTCACTTGTCATCAAAGTGTACAATCCAGCATCGACTGCAACTAGCATTAATACGCTTACAGCTGACATGTTCCACGGAGTTGGAAACCTAGAGGAACTCCCACCACACAACCACAAAACCTCTACTCAGAAATCAGTACCAGTGCATCACATGGTGTTCTGCACATAAAGGAAAGGCTGACATTCCACCACCAGAAGGGAAAAAGGTAGACGTCTACAGACGATGTCATAGAACCCATCCCAATGACCCAGGAATAAATGCCAGCACTGTATCTAGAATTACTTACCTGTAAATGCACAACAGGTAGATGTTCCTCATTCAGGTGTAGCTGCACCAAGAACATCATGGGATGTTCCCTTGGATGCAGTTGTGCTATGTCATGCCTAAACAGAAACAACTTACCTACCTTTCAAGATGAGACGGACTTTGACGGTGACTAGAGATGACATTATTTCACATTTTATTTTTAATACTTCATAATACTAGAAGTATTCTCATGTTTGTTTCTTCACTAAAATTATAAACTAGTGAAATGCTCAGACAAAAGTGCAGTATATCTACAATTTTGAGTGAAACGATGTCCATTTTAATTTAAATCTAAATTTGGGTAAAGTCGCGAGAAATTAGCTTTCAATATTTCCTTTTTTTCATTGTTGGGGATCAATTTACCACAGGAGTCAGTGAATAATGTACATCATTGAAAAGACAACGTAAAAAGCTTTCATATGATATATTACATGACCATGTTGAAGAACTATATAAGATCTTGATTTCGAAAACAGGTCAAAATGGCGGCCATCTTGAAATTCAAGATGGCCACCATAAATCTTCACAGAAAAACTTGAAACATCATTTTTCATTATGAGTTTACTATTTTGGTGTTTTTAAGCATTGATGCAATTATCCCACTCATCCACTACAGCAGCATCATCTACCACCATATCTCAATAAGCAATTTTCGTCAAAATTGTTTTTTGGGGGGTGGGGTAACACTGTATACAATATCTCAACCCCTATGTAATATATTTTCATTTTGTTTTTTGTATAGGACAGTACAATGGTTAAGGCAGATTGTAATACCCAGTTATAGTGGTTTTATTGTCACAATTCAATGGAATTAGTGTTTTACCTACTCACAAGATTTGAAAATGAAGTAAAAAACCCTGAATTTTACCAATGTTTCCAATGAGAATTAAAATAACAATTAAATGAAACAAAATGTTTGCCAAATTCAGATAACCGAACATATTAGCTGTAATCAAAGACATAATTGGGATAGTTTAATGACTTAATAAAAATGTTACAGCCAATTTTGTCAAATTATGCATTTTTCCTTCAATTTATGCAATTTTGACCCCCTGAATATTCCTGCACACACTTGCAAGCTTACTACCCAATGAACATTGTGTACAGATACCTCCTTCATGCAATAGAAAAGGTTTAAGGTATACAGGAAAATGTGGGAACGAAAATCTTGTTTTTCACCCCTGGCCAACTGACTATAAACAAGCATACTATACTCCTATTGCCACCATGACCATAGCACAGATACGTAGTAAAGCAGTGCTCATGTAAAGGGAAGTAACTGTGTGCTATATTGGACCACATTTTTTAAAGGATTTTTTTGGTTAAAAATGGAAATAAAAACAAAACGTGCGGCAGACTTTATGATGATGTGGGCGGTGCCTGAGAACCAAGACTATATTTTTTTTAGCCTTACATGACAATGTTACAGGTAGGGACATAAAGATCTACAGCCTAAATCACAATACATTGATCAAACTTTGCTTGCAGAGGTGTGTGCACCCCTTATTTTTTAAGCATATTAATCTTTTACACATTCAGGAATATTAGGTATGACTTAGTATTTGTTTCCAACACAATTAGATGATAACTGAAAGCAAATTGGCAAAGCGTATAACCCTTTTCCAAAAGCTGCATCCTCCCTTGAACACTAGCTGACACTTGATGAAATCAGTACCCATTCCTTGTTGGCCTTATGAACTGAGGCGGTCAGGTAGCCTAGTGGTTTAAGTGTTCGCTCGTCACGCCGAAGACCCGGGTTCGATTTCCGTCATGGGTACAACATGTGAAGCCCATTTCTCACTCACTCACTCACACCTTAAGAACTCTCCTCACCTCCATTGCTCAAACACAGGGATGTCAGGACCAGCCCTGTCTTCTCTGATCTCTCTTGTCTCTCCTTGTATCTGGAAACCAACAAGCAGACATTATTTGTTTGTTTGTTGTTTAACACCACACTCAGCAGTATTCCAAATAGCTAACATCGGTCTGTAAATAATCGAGTCTGGACCAGACAATCCAGTGATTGACATCATGAGCATCGATCCATGCAATTGGGATACGATGACATGCATCAACTAAGTCCGCGACACTGACCACCCGATCCCATTAGTCGTCTCTTAGTACAAGCATAGTCACCTTTTACAGCAAGCATGGGTTCCTGAAGACCTATTCTACCCCGGATCTTTATGGGTTTAAGCAGACATTAAACAAGTATTTGTCACAGAGTGACGAAATATCCCCCGCCTGTACACCATACTACCAAATATGAAGACAATCCAGCGATTAGTTCTTGAGATATTGTGGCAACACCGTTTTCCAACTCCAAAAACAGATTTGCCTGCTGTGACCTTGAAAATGGGGTCAAGGTCACCAAATCTGACAGGTGTATGCGGTGTCTGTATATACACTATAGTTCCAAATATGAAGACAATCCAGCGATTAGTTCTTGAGATATCGCGGCAACACCGTTTTCTAACTCCAAAAGCAGATTTGCCTGCTGTGACCTTGACAATGGGGTCAAGGTCACCAAAACCGACTGGTGTCTGCGGTGTCTGTATATACACCATAGTTCCAAATATGAAGACAATCCAGTGTTTAGTTCTTGAGATATCGCGGCAACACCGTTTTCCAACTCTAAAAGCAGATTTGCCTGCTGTGACCTTTAAAATGGGATCAAGGTCACCAAAACCGACTGGTGTCTGCGGAGTCTGTATATACACCATAGTTCCAAATATGAAGACAATCCAGTTTTTAGTTCTTGAGATATCGCGGCAACACCGTTTTCCAACTCTAAAAGCAGATTTGTCTGCTGTGACCTTGAAAATGGGATCAAGGTCACCAAAACCGACTGGTGTCTGCGGAGTCTGTATATACACTATAGTTTTTAATATGAAGACAATCCAGTGTTTAGTTCTTGAGATATCGCGGCAACACCGTTTTCCAACTCCAAAAGCAGATATGCCTGCTGTGACCTTGAAAATGGGGTCAAGGTCACCAAAACCGACTGGTGTCTGCGGAGTCTGTATATACACCATAGTTCCAAATATGAAGACAATCCAGTGTTTAGTTCTTGAGATATCGCGGCAACAAACAGGTGGGACGTACGGACGGACGTACGGACGGTCGTGAATACTATATCCCCCGCTTCGCGCTTTCGCGCGGCGGGGGATAAACATGTCAGACACATTCACCTAGGCCAAGAAGCTCAGACAGAGTATTCAGAGAACAATGTCCTGCATATAAACTGCACTGAAACTAAATGTTGTCTCTATCCTCTATTCCATTGTCACTCTTTAGCCACACTTCTTCTTTCTCTACTAAACGTCTTTTGGTATGATGCAGCCAGGAATTGAACCACCAACCTGATGATGAGGATGTGATATTCACCTTGCAACAAGCTCCAGTGCTACTGTGTCTCCCATGTCATGTGCCAGGATGTGATATTCACCTTGCAACAAGCTCCAGTGCTACTGTGTCTCCCATGTCATGTGCCAGGATGTGATACTCACCTTGCAACAAGCTCCAGTGCTACTGTGTCCCCCATGTCATGTGCCAGGATGTGATACTCACCTTGCAACAAGCTCCAGTGCTACTGTGTCTCCCATGTCATGCGCCAGGATGTGTGTGGAGGATATGGCCAGGGATTCTGCCAGTTTTTCTACCATGTCTGCTTGGTCAAATATGGAATAATTGTAGTCTTCCTGTGGATAAACACACAAGGAAGTCATAACATCAAAAAGATTAACTAAGTGTAGCTGCCATTTAATTTCGAACCACGGACATTCAGGTCCGAGGTCAGGCCCCTTCATACAGAACACATAGGAAGTCGTATCATCCACACGGTCATCAAGTCCTGTATATGAATGACACCTTGTTTCTATTTTTGATTACTTGGATATGTCTACCCAACAAAAAAGACTTTCACAATATGACTTTTAATAATAACAAGAAAACTGCTTTATCACTATCCCACGCCATGGGGCACATTTTGTTTGTTCATATAGTAGTGTGGGGCAGCCTAGCGGTTAAAGCATTGGCTCATCACGCTGAAGATCTGGGTTTGATTCCCCACATGGGCACAATGTGTGAAGCCAATTTCTGGTGTCCCCTGCAGCAATGTAGTGCACCAGCCTCCATACACTCGGTGCATGCTCAAAACGCTACATTATTACCACGGTCATTGGATCAGTGTGCACTCGATTTCCAATCTCAGCTCCCTGGAGAATATACAACCCAAGCTGCCTTGCCATCGGTAGAAGGTTTACAGTCACATTTCCATCTCATCCCACCGGGTACCCATTTTACTGCTCGGTGAACAGAGGCACATTTCGAACAAAAATCAATTGTCCAAGGAGACCCCACATGTGCTTCAGTGTGGGGCAGGACCGAAACTAGAAACTCTCGAGTCACACTGCCAAATGCAGTCACCCATCCAACAACACTCAGAGCCCGACATTGTTTAACTTCACCTGATTTATGACAAGTGCGCTGTGCACAGGACCACTTGCCACCACCGACTTTCCATTAATGAAACACTCTTTTCTCTATTTGATCTGACTACCGCTTCTTTAAAGAAAACACTTAATAACAAGTTTAATAATTTTTTATTTCTACAAATATTTTTACCACTCTTTGCTTGTTAAACGCCACATTACTAGCAGTACAAATCTGAAAGTTGAAAATTATTTATCTGTTTCTTTTTTCACCACCTACATTGAATTTTAAGCCAAATATTTTGTAAACCAACTAACAAAAACTAAAACGCCTCAACTCACCGGTTTCTCACTGAAGCCCATGCCTAGAAAATCCACAAGGACAACACGAGCAAACTGATCCTTCAGGGACGGCATAATCTGAAATGTATATTCATCGACATTTGAATATTTCATATACTATATGGGGCAGTCGGGTAGCCTAGTGGTTAAAGCGTTCGCTCGTCACGATGAAGATCGGGTTCGAATCCCGACATGGGTTCAATGTGTGAAGCCCATTTCTGGTGTCCCCCGCCGTGATATTGCTGGAATATTGCTAAAAGCAGCGTAAAACCAAACTCACTCATTCACTCATATACTATATACTTATCCTGATAAGAGAGTATGCAATTATCTTATCTTGCAAATTTAAAACAGAGTGAAAACTGTCTGCATGAACACAAACTGGACCATAGTCACCAGTTACTTTCCCTTGTTCCTGATCTTACTTCTTCAGGATGAGGAAGGAGGTACAATGTACATGTATTGGTGTCTGTAAGGAAAGTTAAGATTTAATGTCGCATCAGCATTATTTCAGCCAGGTGTTGATGGACAGCATTACAAGTTACATTTGGCAACTTGGGATCAATCCCAAATTATAAATTATATAGGATAGGGTTGTCCACTTCACAGAAGGAACCAATTTATCCATTCTGATTACAGCAGATGGCTTAGTATCCGCTTTACAGCGGATGGTCAGCTTGGCAACAATAGTTGCCCTCGCTCATTATTTGGGAATGGTACTTGCCTGGCAGCCTGCATAGCAACATGGGATGCTTGGCAACGGTAGTTGCATGGCAGTGGTCGCTGCATTGGTAAGCAACATGGGATGCTTGGCAACGGTAGTTGCAGGGCAGTGGTCGCTGCATTGGTTGCTTGGCAACCGTAGTTGCAGGGAAGTGGTCGCTGCATTGGTAAGCAGCATGGGTTGCTTGGCAACAGTAGTTGCAGGGCAGTGGTTGCTGCATTGGTAAGCAACAAGGGTTGCTTGGTAACGGTAGTTGCAGGGAAGTGGTTGCTGCATTGGTAAGCAACATGGGATGCTTGGCAACGGTAGTTGCAGGGCAGTGGTCGCTGCATTGGTAAGCAACATGGGTTGCTTGGCAATGGTAGTCGCAGGGCAGTGGTCGCTGCATTGGTAAGCAACATGGGTTGCTTGGCAACGGTAGCTGCATTGGGGTTCACTTAACAGGAGTTAAGCTCATTTTCTGCAGTCCACCAGAACCTCCACATCCAAGACCATTTCATCCAAATTATATCTCTTGTCTTAATTTCAAGTTCTGAATTTCTGGCCTAATGGGGTCATGTCCTTATATAATTCAACCATATAGCAAGGAGAACAAGTATCTTGAACCCCTATGAGGAACGAAAGTCCATGCAAGAACTTCTGCTGAAGGACTGACCATGATCTGTAATCTACTGGAACAGGTGAGGTGATTTTACCATAATTTCAGAAAAATTGCTGATCTGACCCAACCCCTCCTACTCATTGATAATAATAATAGGCCAGTCATTTTGCTCATATTTCCACAGCACTCAGGGGCATGCTCAAAGTGCTATTATTACCCCGGTCACTGGATCAGTGTGCACTCAAGAATTATTCTCAGCTCCCTGGGGAGAATACAACCTTAGCTGCCTGATAGGTGCTAGAAGGTTAACAACCACATTGCCATCTCATCCTACCGGGTACCCATTCACTGCTGGGTGAACTGAGGCACATTTTGAACAAAGTCACATGCCCAAGGAGACGCCACACATGTTACATGTGCTCCCGTGTGAGCCAGGACCGAAGCCCTAGAAACTCTCAGGAGCCAAGCTGCCAAAAACGCGTTCACCCATCCAAGGACTCTCCAACCGACATTGGTTAACTTCACCTGATTAGCGACTTGTGCGCTGTGCACAGGACCATGTGTCACCACATTACCTTGACTGTTCAGACAGAGGAGTATGTCTTTAACACTGTCATGGTAGATTTGAGATAATACTAATGCATCCAGTTCTAATGCAAATTCTGAGCTCTTCAAGCAATGATACACACTTCATATTTAAAAACAGTAGTTACGTTTCTCAAATTGTGTTTTTTACTACCAAAGCTATCATTAAAAATCAGATATATTTCCTCCACGTGTTATTTCAGAATAATCTTACCTTGATCCAGTCATAGCTAGAAGTTGGGAAACCATGTAGACAGAAAACGGTTCCTTTCCCACTGCCTGCCTCATCTGGGGAGGGAAACAGAATTTCTACATTGTATACACTGGGATCTATACAAGAGATGCACAGAGTGCCTCATCTAGGGAGGGAAACAGAATGTCTACATTGTATACACTGGGATCTATACAGGAGATGCACTGACTGCCTCATCTTGGGAGGGAAACAGAATGTCTACATTGTATATACTGGGATCTATACAGGAGATGCACTGACTGCCTCATCTGGGGAGGGAAACAGAATGTCTACATTGTATACACTGGGATCTATACAGGAGATGCACTGACTGCCTCATCTGGGGAGGGAAACAGAATGTCTACATTGTATACACTGGGATCTATACAGGAGATGGACTGACTGTCTGATCTCGGGAGGGAAACAGAATGTCTACATTGTAAACACTGGGATCTATACAGGAGATGAACTGACTGCCTCATCTGGGAGGGAAACAGAATGTCCACATTGTATACACTGGGATCTATACAGGTGATGGACTGACTGCATCATCTGGGATGGAAACAGAATGTCTTCATTGTATACACTTGGATTTATACTGGAGATGGACTGCCTGCCTCATCTGGGGAGGGAAACAGAATATTTACTATGTCTACATATCTGACCCATCAAATATCTAATGCTAGAGATGAGATTTGATTAAAGTTTGATCTTGTTATCCGTTGTTGTATAATAGTATAATTACCAATATAAAATACCTCCAGGTCATTATATAGGTATCGTTTGCCTCTCTGTTTCCATGACAACAGCCTTTGAGACAAGGGAGGGGGAGGGTAGAGGAAGAACACTGCAATGACAACACCCAACACCCCCACAGCAACTTGCGACACCGACACCATCGTTCACAGCTCCTGTTACAATAGATACAGTGGATAAATCTTGTTGCGACACCAAACACAAACAACTAGTCTCTGAAATGAACATATTTTACAGAAAAAAAACAGTTGTTAAATTATCTTTATAAAATATAATAAAAAGGAGCTCAGAGACTCTCTTCATTTTCAGATACTGCAGTAGTCTAGACTGGCTAACTACCGCTTGCATGGGCTGTTTTGTATAGGCCTATATTAAAATTTTGTTTCAGGGTCTGTATGACAGACAGACTAGCAACACCGTAAAACTAACAGTAAGTCGATCAAGCCTCGGTAATGCCATGGACATATTTTGTGTTAGTCATTCATGCGTCCAAAAACATTTACAAAGATATAATTATAAGATGCATTCTTATTATGAATCAAATAACACACAAATTTGTTAAAACTAATAAAGCATCAACAGTGATTAAATATATCGAAATTGCAAAGTTTTTTAAATACGTCATTCTAAGCTGAGTCATGTTTACAATAAATGACGCTGCACAATGGCAATAGACCAGTCATGCAATAAATTGACACTCTCACACAACCCAGCTCGTCCGCTGACGATGTTTACAGACCTTTGATCTCGACCCCCCGCGGTCGCCGCCACACTTCCGGCTCCTTAAGGCGGGTGTGTTCAAATTGAAACCCGTGGCAACGGAATCGACGAATGTCATTTAAATGGGTTGGAAATGACGAATCAGCATTGTTTGCTTGTCAAACTAGGTATTTGGTTTCATGATATAATATTCAACAAAATAAAAACAAATAGCTGTATATCTATATATTTAAATATCATTCTTTGTGTATGTTTTGTTTTAAAGATTTCACCATGCAGCCCGTTGCCTGTGCGTAAATGTACTATTTAGTTTTTTGTACATGGGACAGAAGCGGGTAACACATTCCCTCGCCCGTTCACTGTGTGTAACTCACAACTTATTAAAAAGAGAAAATCCTGCTCGGAAGGACGGAGTATTTGTAAATTAATGTTGTACTTCTCAAGCTTATATTACCCAGAGTCCTTTTTTCTGAGTAAATGTAGAAAAAATTATTGTTGTTTTTATGTCAAGTTGAGACATTGGCTCCAGAAGTCTATTTTTGGCAATACGTCACAATAAATCGTTTGAGACGTCATGAACAATGGATGACGTGATCTTCAATTATCTAAGAAAATGCTTTCAAATGACGTCATGTTCCTTTTGGCATCTTCGAACACAATGGAACAATGTAACACATATTGCTACAAACAAGCCAATGACTATATAGAAAACATTTTCAGTGGGAATTATTGAAAAATAGTCACCTATATCTCTATTATAATGATTTGTTAGTTTGATGTTTAACGCCACACTCAGCAATATTCCAGCTATATGACGGTGGTCTGTAAATAATCGAGTCTGGACCAGACAATCCAGTCATTAGTATCATGAGCATCGATCCACGCAATTGTGATATGATGACATGCATCAACCAAGTCAGCGAGCCTGACCACCCGATCCCGTTAGTCGCCTCTTACAACAAGCATAATCGCCTTTTTCGGCAAGCATGGGTTGCTGAAGACCTATTCCACCCCCGCTCTTCACGGGTCCGACTGAATCGTTTAAAACAAATTCAGATATATTGTCCTTTTATTTGTATTATGTCAGTTGACTGAGTTCTGAAATAAAGGAGACACAATTTATGGATAACAACTTCTTTATTTTACTGTAATGGCGACGTATCGATAAAGATCTTTATAACGCTGTCAAGCAATTCAAGGTTGAATAATGAACATGTAGTACAGAATATATGTAGTAGGTGGGGGATTTCAAGGTATTCTGCCATGTGTTGGAGCATTTAAGATCTATATTGCAGATATGTTGTTGTTTCTTGTTTAACGCCGCACTCAGCAATATTCCAGCTATACGACGGCGGTCTGTAAATAATCGAGTATGGACCAGACAATCTGCTAGTGATTGACATCATGAGCATCGATCCACGCAATTGGGATACGATGACATGCATCAACCAAGTCAGCAAGCCTGACCACCCGATCCCGTTATAGTCGCCTCTTAGGCTGCGTTCACACAGTGCCCATTATGGCTCCCGTTTGAGATCAGACAGCGCTACGAGACGAAAAGTGAAAAAGTTTGATAACTATCCTCAATGTTATGGAATGTCCTATCATTGTCTGAACGCAGTCGTATACGTTCGTAACAGAGTCCTACGGGTCGGGAATGGTCCAGAGAGGTCGGCCTAGCACTCCCGACAGTATGGTGCGTCCCGTAACAGTCGGGAAACTCAGCCGATTTTGTCTAGTCGGACTACAATCGTGACTATGTCGACAGATTCTGCTGTATCGGGTCAAAATCGTAACAATGTCCTGTGTTGTCTGGACGGTGCCCCGTGGATCGGGGCGCTGTCGTGATGAACGGGTATGATTTGGAGAAATTGTTCATTGCCGTTTCTTGTCGATTGAGTCCAGATATTGCCGAATGCGAACTGTCTTTGTCGGTTCACTGTCTGATCTCTGTCGGATAGCATTCGGGAGAATCGGGACTCTGTCTCGTTTTTTACGATGCGGAAGATACAAATCGGATCAGATTCGGATTGAGAACAGGAGAATCGGGACGAATTCGACTGGAAACGGCTAAATCGGGACGCTTCCTGAACAATATCTGATTGTTGTCGTGATTAGATAAATGTTTTTACAAATTTGTTAATTTCCCGAAACGAATCAAAGGATCTTGATCAGACTTTTGACAAATTTTAATCGGGAATGGTCCTATCAAGGACGGCAGTAAAAATCCTGAATGTGTGACTGAGCCCTTACGACAAGCATGGGTTGCTGAAGACCTATTCCACCCCCCGGATAGGGGTGATAGCAGTGTCACTATTTACCTATGTAACAATGCATCCCGAAATTACATCTGAATATACGATATGCCTAACCATGTACCGGTTCTTATTTTAATAAAATGCTAAGTCTAATTGCGTTTTCTTGCATGAGTATGCTTATATGAACCTAACCACAAACTAAATTAGTTGATAGCAACAACATCTTGTCAGCCAGGGACAAAGGTGGCTGTCGTCTAAGCCGCACGCTGTTAACTGTGCAGAGTTGCTGAGTCATACCAAAAGACTGTAGGTGGTACTTGTTGTTACCCTGCCTGGTGCTCAGCATTAACGCGATAAAACAAGGAGTGGTTGGCTCAGAATCAGTATACTGTGTCTGAGGGAAGTACCCATGTTAAAACTTGCATTATTCCGGACTAGTATCAGCAGACAGAGACACGAAGACACACGCACATCACTGTGTGAGTGCAATAACCTTGAATGCAATGATAAACCCTATTTCCGCTCAGCCACCTTTTGTAGGATGTCTTAATTGTAGCAGTTAACCTTCCTCCTATATTAAACTGACTCGCAGTGAGTGATAGAGATGGATTATAGCCGAGTGCGTTTTTCTGCCATAGATATCACTGGGAATAAAAATTGTATTATGCGAGGCATATTTGTTATTCCTTATATTTGATATTTATCATATGGAAACACACGAGGACAATAATCTCTTTATCATATAAAGTCATTCTCACAATAATTCGCTCAGTGAAGTAAACACAGTGTTTGAGTGAACCATCCCATATATTATATAGCGCCTAATGATTTGTAGCCAAGTTTGTCTACATAATAACTCACTTTGAGGGAAACCCCTATTCAAACTTAATCGGAACGTTTGTTGAATGAACAGGCAGACATTGAATCAATGTATGGAGATTAAAAGTAGGTGACCTCAGTTGCATATTTATAAGATTCTGAAACGTGGTTTATTGGATTGGCATATTACATGAGAACACTGCCCACTGTATCGTAAAACTATATTATTTACTGTTCGAGGTTAAATCAAGCTCGTTGACTCACACACTTTCATGAAGAGAAGCTACAGACAGATATAAGGATTTACTTTTTTGCTTGGGTTTACAGATGCATCAACACTAAAATTCAAAGATCCAGAAAAAAATAATTTCAGAATGACAAGGTTGTTTTTATAATACAGCCGAAGGCGAAGACAATAAAAATGCTTTGACAATAATAATAATCCAAGGGACGTTTATATGACAAAAACAAATATTTTCCAACAGTGTAAATCTTCATAACAAGTCAAATATAAATGTTAAAACCATCAGACCAATCAATCCATAAAACCGAAAGGCACTGTATAGTAAGATTTTAGATCCAAACCAGGCCAAGAATTTATTTTCACCTAACCATCCAAATCCAACTTAACAATGATAAAAAAAAAACCATGTACGCTGCCTTTAAAAAAAATGTTTTTAGACCTACCGACCAATTTTTCACTGTCAAAATTCGTAAGTAAGTCATGTGTAGCCTAAGATATGAACTGTACGGATATAAGCACGGTATCTGTAGAAAACCAAAAACATAACGCCAAAATGTGCTAAAATATTGAATGATTTATTCTTGTTTATGTAAACATAAAAAATATAAAACAATCATTGTAAATCTGATGAATTAATAAGGGAGCAATTAAGGCTCATTTATAAATGTATATCACATGTCTGCAATTACAATAAAACGAAATACTTTGCAACTCATTACAAACAACAAAATAAGCAGGTTGAGTTCATCAAAAACAATCACACAAATCTACCTATTTGAGATAACGAAGTTCAACTGGAAAACTCATTGTTATCCTCTTTCAATGATGTAGTTGTCATATGTAACCATGACAACTGAACGATTCACAAACTGTTGGTATCGAAGAGAAGCACAAATCAATTGTAATCAAGGGAGATAACCCTTCATTTGAGTAAACAAAGCACTGCGCAACAAGACACCTGGGAAACGAAGAAGCACTATTTACCATATATTCCCCTTTCAGAAGCTGAAATACATTTGCCTTTGTATCCTGAGTGGCATACTCATGCTGAAATATAGAAACCAAAATAGATTATCTAAGTCCAGTTTCGACCCTTGCCGAACAAGGCTGGAATTTAGTGCTCGATCGTAGCGCCACCAGTGGCTATTATAAGTTATGTCCCTCTTATTGACCAATCCGATTCCACCTCTCATATCACTTGCATTTGCTCCAAACAAAATGGTGGCACCAAGTCAAGACGATCTAAACGATAATCAAGATCTTAATTGTAATAAAATAGTTCTCACCTTGCGATGTGCATCAAATCACTTGAGCACCTTGATTACAAAACATGGAGAGATTTTGAACATGCCTTGACGCCAAGCTATGTGTAAAAATGCTCTGAAAATCCTGCAATCGACTAAAAACTGCACGGCAGACGCCGTTTGATTTGACTACACATAGACTCGTAATTCCGGCCAAAATTTAACGTCATAACTCCAGCCCAGTTCAGCAAGGGTGACCTTTACAGCCAGCTAAACCCCTTGCATGGGAGAAGTCCCTGGAGGCTTTAGATACATATTATATGCAACAAAATCGTAAATGGACGCACATAATACCCACTGCAAGTGCAATCTGATGTAAAAGCGTATGGTTGAAATGATTGAAACTAAATAACTTGACACATGTCTGAATTTAGCTGATATTTCTTTTCTGGAAGACACAATCAATGTTTGGACATTCCATGTAAGATTAACTGCACTCAATCACTGTTTCAACACCAATAACATGCATGTTATTTTACTTGTTGTTTGTTCCATGGCCACACCAGGACACCCGTTTTATTGCCAAACACCCCTCAAGTGTATACCTCTCGGGTCTTGACAGACAGGGTTTTGAATCAGAGTGATCATAAAACATCTGATATCAATAACTTTGACATATATTTGGCAAGAAAAGGGGAATCTTTTTATTGTTTGTCAAATGAATTATGATATAACCCCTCAATGTTTGGGCTTGTTGGACCTCAGCCCCTTAATAAACTCTATATAACTCCTTCCTGTATTGTCCGGGTCCTCCCACATTGGGAAATGGCCGATGCTTTTGTCTAGGACAACCAGCTTGTGTTGAGGTACGATTTTCCTGGAATAAATACAACAATCAATTGAGGAAATTAGTAGGTCATCTTCTTGGACATAAATTGCCACATGCATGTTTACATAGAGACTGGGTGTAAACATTTTTTATGCCACAGTGGTCAATATTACAGCTATTTCATGCAGGCCTCTAAATAATTGAGCTTGGGCCAGACACACAAGTGGTTGATAGTTATTTGCAATCCAGTTATCATTCTCAACTCCCTGGGAAGTATACAACCCCTGCTGGCTAGAAGGGGCGCTAGAAGGTTTTACACAGCTGTGATTGCGGACAATGTGACAGCTATTTCATGTAGGCCTCTAAATAATTGAGCTTGGGCCAGACATACCACTGGTTGACGAGCAACTTTTCGGTCAATAATCGTCCACTTTTTACAGAAGAATATTATCATTTTCTTCAATTGTAACAAAACTTTCTTCAAAATTGAGTACCAGATCTTGATTTCTGTGCACCGTAAGAATAAACGTCTTTCTACTCTGAAAAATTACTGGAGTAAAAGCATTTCTTTATCTGACCTGAACTGATCTGGAAACACCGAGGAAGGATTGACTGGGTCAGCAGGGCCATACACCATCAGCACTGAAACATCATTATGTCAAGATGCACTGCGTCACACCAAACAAAACTGCTGAATAAATGACTTATTGTCTTGCCATCATGTCTGTTTCAACTAATGTCAAAGATTGAATTCATTATGAAGTGGGTCCGTATAGTTGAGATAACCTTTTCACTTTGCAATAACAATTTTAAAAACTTTTGCTTTTTGGTCTTCTTACATGTTTTTTCATTCGATTGAAACTTTTTACTTGAAATCACTTTAAAATAAAGGTTTTTTTAAACAAAATATCGTAAACCAAGTGATAAAATGAATCAAGTTTATTTGAAAGAATCCGGCTTCACATTTGCTGGCTGACTATACCTGGAATGGGTGATGCTTTTAGACTGCCATGAACCCATCTGTCTTCATTTTCATATCTCTCCTTGATAAAGTGAAGAACACTGAAACAACAACATGGAGTTATCTCCCTTGGCCCAGTAGGATGCCTCCTCAACTTCAGGCTGACAAAGTGGAAATAAGTATTTGTTGAGACAAACAGACAACGAGACTAAGTTATGACTCATTTCAGTGGGAGGAGCTACACATTAAGATGGTAGTATTTTGTTAGTTGTCCGAGAATGGAGCTGGATTTCGAGTCTCCCCGCTGACCAGAAAGGTTCTCTCTCTGTATTTTGAAAGTTGATCTACTGAAAGTTACAAGTCACAGTTACAAGTCACAGTTGACATCAGTGTTTCATCTATAAATGTGTTGTGAAGACATCAGTCCACACATCTTCCTGAGGAAAGTGAGGTAACTGACTTCAAAAGTCCAGTATCCACCCTTGCCAAACTAGGCTGGTATTATGGAGTTATATTTTGGCTGGACTAATGCGTCTATGCATAGATTAATCAAAATCGCGTAACGAAATCGAAATCCGGTTCGTAAACAGTCCTGCAGATTTCGGTCGACTTCCAAAGCATGTGCACCGCCAACTCGGCGTCAAAATATATTTTTCAAATCTTTTCATGTTTTTAATCAAGGTGCTCGTGTGATTTGATGCACTTTGTGATATAAGACCCTTTTTTTTATCACAATATAGATCTTGATTATTGATCAGATCGTCCTAACTGGGCACCGCCATTTTGTTTGAAGCAAATGCAAGTGACACTAGAGGCGGCATCTGATTGGTCAATAGGAGAGACAGCGAAGGGACACAACTCGTAATAACTACTGGTGGCGCTACGATCAAGCCGAGAAATTCCAGTGAGAACCATGTCAGAGTGAAAACTGGACTTTTATGGTTAGTTGACTCCCTTACCTCAGGAAGATGATATCAATCAGGCAACAGAAAATCATCTGAGGACCTATTGTGTTTAATGCTGATCCTGCATTCTACAATAATTGGAATTGAACAACAAACCTGACGAGCTACATCATCCCCCAGAACTAAAGAGTGGTAAGAGTCAGTTGCCTAGGTAGAAGGGTATCACAAACCCCGATATCTAAGGTAACAGGTATCAATACAGACCTATTTCTATATGGAAAACGACACAGATGACAGGTATCAGCTGAGGCAGAGCTACCAGATATTTTACATGAGACATTGATTTCACCGACGCTTCAATATCTGTCAATATGATGTCACATCCTGTAATGCCGTTTGCTTATTAAGGTGAGTGCGTCAATGAACACGTGATGAAGATGTTTTCAACATCAAAGTGATAACGAAAGACCAAGAAAGCTGGTCTTTCATGACATAAGACACCAACTGAATGTCTTCCCAGCACCCATGACTAGAACTTTAAAAGTGTGTCCTGATTTCTACTGAACAGTATAAATGCCAAGCTTCATGATACTACACCCATATCAGGATAGTCTGTCACAGGGGTCCGGAAACCGTCATATGCGCCGGACATGTCCGATTGGGAATCTCAAATGTCCGTTTTAAAATATTGCCTACCGGACATTTTAAAAAGTATTGTCCGGACATTCTTAAATTTTGACCGGACATGATCAACAGTTAGGACTGATCAGTTTCTGTCTGCAGTTGCAACACAATGAAGATTTACTACACTGACAAGCTTTGTTTGTTTGATTGCTGTAAATACATCGTACCTACATGATAGTCCAAATCACTGTAATAGGCAATAAACTGAGTTGACACTGATTAATCGAGGATTAATTACTGAGAACATCTTGTTAATTTGAGTGAAAGGTGTTTACAACTGTACATTAATACCTTGCATCATCGATGTACCTCATTAACCTCACAATGCTACGGTACGTAACCTCAGACAAGAAGCGAAAGCGTGACGACAGCCAGTCGACCGATGGAGATCAGTCTAGCGGATCTGCCAAACCCTCAAAGTCTGGACGATCATTTTGTAAGTCGTGGCTAACGACTTTCACTTGGTTGACATACAATGAGGATTTGCAGATTTTATCGTTTTCAGTAGCTAGTCGTATATTGAATCTTGATTGACCGCCATTTTGCTTTCTCGGACGATCGATATCCAATTTTTTTATGGTCAATAAATAAGTACAGATGAAAAAAGTATTCAAATAACTATTGCTATCAACGATATTTTTTTATTTGTGATTAAATTATGTCTTGTTTTTAAAAAAATCTTTAGTTTAAAAAAAAAAATTCCCGTGAGGTCACGTGATAACCAAATATGGGATAATAGTCTCGATCCAAATGTTACAACGCGTACACTTGAGCAGACTCATGAATATAACTCATGAATATTAATAAGACCGTTCACTACGTTAACAGATCGTTATTATAAAAGAAACAAACGTATGTTTTCCATGTAAATCTAAAAATGATATTATTTGTTATTAATTGTCCGGTGAATTAAACAATTTAAATTGAAACAATTCATAATTCATCATATTATGAATACGTAAACTTGTAATGTGTGTGAAAAGTCGTACTAACATACGCTATTTGAAGGGGGCGTGGCCTAAATGCAAACGTCCGATTGGGATTTTAAATTTTCCGGACCCCTGGTCTGTCATACAGATTCTGAAACAAATATATCCAATACAGCCCTTGCAAGTCAATAATATTTGGCAAGTCTAGCTAACTGCAGTATCTTAAAATGAAGAAAGGCGCCTTTTTATTATATTTTATAACTATTATTTAACAACTGTTTGTTTCTGTAAAATATGTTCAGTTCAGAGTGAGTTTGGTTTTACGCCGCATTTAGCAATATTCCACCAATATCACGGCGGGAGACAGCAGAAATGGGCTTCACACATTGTAGCCATGTCGGGAATCGAACCCGGGTCTTCGGCGTGATGAGGGAACGCTTTAACCACTAGGCTACCCGACCGCCCCTCATTTCAGAGACTAGATGTTAGTTTTATATCAGGGCAGCAAGTGACGCAATCATGAATTCTTCTAAGATATGATCCCATTCAGAAAGAGACAAGGTACATTGTTGAGGTAATGGTAACCCCTAACTGAGGAAATATATCTCAGAAATATTAGTAGTTAAAACAATTAGTAATCATTTTTAGCAGGTTTGACAGGTGGGTTTTGATGAAAATATATCATCATTTACATTGCATTTCTCATGCAAACTCAATAAACTCTAGACCTTCCTATTGTTCATTATTAAGTGGTTGTATGTGTGACAATGCCAGTAGCGGGTATAAATACAAGTCTATTTTACAGAGGATATTTTTCTCACTGAATTCAGAATTCACTGAATGATACGTATTTGCAGAATTTGGTTCTCATTCCAGCAAGGATTCTAAGTTGAAATGAATTGTTAGACAGGCTTTTTCTTAGAAGTTGACAGATGACAAAATATACACAATGTGTGGATAACAACTTCTTTATTATACTGTAACAGCAATGTTTCGGTGTAGATTTTTATACTGTTTTCACGCAAGACAGAGTATTGTAAGGAAGTATGTAGTATCCATAAATTGTGTGTACGCTAAAATTGAAACAGTTGGCATCTCTGGGTTTCCAAGGATCATAGGGGCGGTCGAGTAGCCTAGTGGTTAAAGCGTTCGCTCGTCAAGCCAAAGACCAGGGTTCGATTCCCGACATGGGTACAATGTGTGAAGCCCATTTCTGGTGTCCCCCGCCGTGATATTGCTGGAATATTGCTAAAAGCGGCGTAAAACCATACCCACTCACTCACTCCAAGGATCATACATACCCTGGCAGAGCATTATTACCATCTCGGTATCTGATAGCAGCGTAGAAATCCTCAAAGTCTTCATACGTCGGCTTGGTTCCAAATACTTCTCCGAATCTAAATATCAAAATGTATCTTGTGATAATTAACACTTAAACATTCAGTTTTTATTTGACTAAATTGGGGTTATAAGTACAAATTGTTAATGAATGATTAACGCAAAATCTCAGTATACATTCAAGTCGTTTTTATCCAAATCTTTAAGTCATCAAATTGATATATTTCAGTTGGTTTGTTTAACGCTGCACTCAGCAATATTCCAGCTTTTGACAATTGCCTGTAAATAAAAGAGTCTTCAGCAGACAATGATCCATGCCCTTGGGGTGCTATGACATGCTGTGAATCAAGTGACCAAGCCTTACTAGCTGATCCATTTGGTTGCCTCCTACGACCTGGATTCTTACCTGGAATCCTACGGTACGACCAGCATAGGTTGAAGGGGACCTATTCTAACCTGGATTCCCTATGGTACGACCGGCATAGGTTGATGGAGACCTATTCTAACCTGGATCCTACGGTACGACATGCATAGGTTGAAGGGGACCTATTCTAACCTGGAATCCTACGGTACGACCTGCATAGGTTGATGGAGACCTATTCTAACCTGGAATCCCCATGGTACGACCAGCATAGGTTGAAGGGGACCTATTCTTACCTGGAATCCCCATGGTACGACCAGCATAGGTTGAAGGGGACCTATTCTAACCTGAAATCCCCATGGTACGACCAGCATAGGTTGATGGAGACCTATTCTAACCTGGAATCCCCATGGTACACCCAGCATAGGTTGATGGAGACCTATTCTAACCTGGAATCCCCATGGTACGACCAGCATAGGTTGATGGGGACCTATTCTAACCTGGAATCCCCATGGAACAACCACACAGGGTATTCCGAACGACAGTTATGGGCTTTATGTCTGTATCCATACAATCTGGACCATCTATTAGCCATTCCAGAATATTCTTTTGTTCAGTTTATATTTTTTTAATCGAGTATATGTCAAATTATGTTTCGAAGCGTAGGCGCCAGTTTGAAACTCGTGCCATAAAACTCGACTAAGCTGCCTTTTGAATGGCTATTGTCGACTTCTTGTTAGTCATTCCATTGGTCGGTCAAAGTTCGCGAAAGGTCGGCCGGACGTGACCCGTAATGGGATGTCCTCAGATATTTGTTTAGCGGTAGCGAGAACCACGATCTGATTTTAATTGGATTGGTTTTGGGCCGATTTTATGTAGCAAGCTGCTGTAATATTGCTGTAATGTTGCTGCCAACAGTATCACTTTACATTCACTCAATCACTTACCCTCCGTTTCTGAAGAGCCAGAAAAACGAAAATCTTGCTGCGATTCTGCCAATAACCGGAATCAGAAAAACCTACAACAAAAGAGTCCTACACAGCTACTAACAAGAAGAGATTGAATTACTTGATTTTACGTGTGCTACTGACAGAGCATAAACACCACTCTGTGTCCTTCAACATACAGAACAGTTTCGGGGCGGTCGGGTAGCCTAGTGGTTAAAGCGTTCGCTCGTCACGCCGAAGACCCGGGTTCGATTCCAGACATGGGTACAATGTGTGAAGCCCATTTCTGGTGTCCCCCGCCGTGATATTGCTGGAATATTGCTAAAAGCAGCGTAAAACAATACTTACTCACTCAGAACAGTTTCACACTTCTCAAGTTGGATATGTGACAATAAGGAGGATTAACGTCTCTGTTGCAAATGTAGCCATGTTTCAAGTGTAAATTCAATTGTAAGCAAATGATGCACTACGTGGGCAGATGAGCATATACATGCACGGAGCACATTGATTACAGATAAACCTATAGCGTTGTCAATTCAGAGGTTTCTCAAAGTAGATTTGATACCTGTAAACTGCATTTGAAAATGAAATGTGTCAGCATGAGGTTTTGAATTTGGAAATGTAGTGACATAGAGATATGGATCACGTCTTTTGAGATATGTATCGTGTCATGACTTTACAATTGAGACATGTATTATACCACAACCGTACTATTGAGACATGTATTATACCACAACCGTACTATTGAGACATGTATTGTATGGTTACTTCACCATGAAGTTATATCTATTATGGTGACCTTCTTTCGAGATATGGACCAGACAATCCAGCGACTGACATCATGATCATCGATCTACGCAATTGGGATCGATGAAATGCATTAACCAAGTCAGCGAGCCTGACCACCCGATCCCATTAGTCGCCTCTTACGACAAGCACAGGCGCTTTTTATTGCAAGCATGGGTTGCTGAAGACCTATTCTAACCTTGAACTTCACTGGTATCTTACTATTGAGATGTGGAGTGTATCACAATTAACTATTGAGATATGCATCATACTGCAAAATTGCTATTGAGATATGTATTGTATCGCAACCTCATCACTGAGATATGCATTGTATCACAGCCTTACTATAGAGATATGTATTGGATTGCAACATAACTATTAAGATATGCATTGAATTAGAACCTTACTATTGATATATGTATCGTATTACAACCTTACTATTGAGATATGTTTTGTATTACAACCTTACTATTCAGATATGCATAGTATTACAACCTTACTATTGAGATGTATTTTGTATTACAACCTTACTATTGAGATATGTATTGTATTCCAACCTTACTACTGAGATATGTATTGTATTACAACCTTACTACTGAGATATGTATTGTATTACATCCTAACTATTGAGATATGTACATGTATTGTATGACAACCTTACTATTGAGATATGTATTGTATTACAACCTTACTGTTGAGATATGCATTGTATTACATCCTTACTATTGAGATATGTATTGTATTACAACCTTACTATTGAGATATGTACATGTATTGTATGACAACCTTACTTTTGAGATATGCATCGCATTACAACCTTACAACTGAGATATGTACTGTATTACAACTTAACAATTGAGATATGAACTGCATTACAACCTCAGCAGATACAGACCCTCTGAACTAGTCGTGGATAGAATTTCCCTGGGAAGAGTCCTGGAACACAACATGTTGACATACATCTAAACAACTCTCCTACATATCAGACAATGTTCAAGGTCTGGACACAAAGATCAACAGATGAAGTCCAAATAAACTTATCAAACTGTAACGAAGGCATTGATACCAGCAAATGTTGCAAGCTAGCTGTAATACTTTACATTTAAGTAATTAACGTCATGTCAAAGTACAACAACTCTTCATTTCCATATCTTTAAGTGTATCGCATACAAATAAAAAACATATGTACAAATGCACAAAAAACAGTATTAGTATCCTAAATGTTAAACTGATCTCTATAAGGCATAAAAAATGTTCCAATTAATTGTTGATGGTATTTTATAGTTATCTTCGTGAGTGAGTGAGTTAAAATTTAACGTCACATCGGCATTATTTCAGCCATATCGTGGTGATATAGTTATCTTAAAACAATGTCATTAAATTACTTCCAATGCACGACCGTCAGCACCAAATCACTGACAATCAACCAATCCCATAAATGATAAATATGTCGGGGTGCAGGGATGTGCGTAACCCCTTTTTCAACATATTAAACATTAATACTTTCATAAATATTATGGAAACATTCACATAAACCCTTCTCACCAGCATTGGTCAAACATAATGATGTCAGGACCAGCCCTGTCTCCGATCTCTCCAGTCTTTCCTTGTATCTGGAGACCAACAAGGACACATTAAAACATGTCAGACAAATTTACCTAGGCCTAGGAGCACAGACAGTCTTCAGAGAACAATGTCCTGCATATAAACTGCACTGAAAATAAATGTTGACTCTATCCCCTCTCACCCTTATTGTACACACACACACACACACTCTCTCTCTCTCTCTCTCTCTCTCTCTCTCTCTCTCTCTCTCTCTCTCTCTCTTCAACTTCTCTCATTATTTCTCTCTCTTTCTTCCACTTCTCTCATTCTGTCTCTCTCTCTTTCTTCCACATGTCTGGTGTCCCCCGCCGTGATATTGCTGGAATATTGCTAAAAGCAGCGTAAAACCATACTCACTCACTCACTCTACCAAAGAATGGCAACATACAAATCAGCAACACCAAAATTGGCAATACATTCTTACCGAACAACTTTTCCATACTTGGGCTCGATGTCGTCAAACTATGGGTACCTTACGATTATGTGCACATGTTGCTATGACGTTTTACAGCAGTGCGTCAAAGCTGGCAGAAGTCAAGCCTATGTTTAAACTGTGATAAATTTATGGGACCAGGGTGTAACCTGGTTTTGTTTTGTGCAACTTGGTTTTCATATCAACATGCACCTTGTGAAAGTTAAATCAAGTTCTTCAGATCAAGCCCTGAGTACTACTCACCAGCTTCAGCAGCACAGAGATTGATGATGTCATTTGATGATTTGAACATCATTGTAACCGTGTGTGCTGCTGCTTGTATACTACTAATCCAGACTAATGCCGATTTTATAGTGCTAGCCCACTGAGATACCACGCCGCATGAATACATGAATGCCCCATTCAGATACAGTATACTGACAACGAGCAGACCAGTCTTTGTTTTAGCCCCTTGATGCAAAGTGGCAGGCAGGGTAACAACAAGTACCATCTTTACACGTCTTTTGGTTTGACGCAGCCGGGGATTGAACCCCCGACATTCTGCTCTCCGGGTCATTCACAGTGATGTGATATTCACCTTGCAACAAGCTCCAGTGCTATCGTGTCGCCAAGGTCATGTGCCAGGATGTGTGTTGAGGAAATTGCCAAGGATTGTGCCAGCCCTTCTACCACGTCTGCATGATCAAATACGGAATAGTTGTAGTCTCCCTGTGGATAAAAACACGAGAAGTGATAACATCAAGAAGACTGAACTGATCTTAGCATCATCGAGTCATGTTTATGGCATGTCTTTATGTACTTCAATTACTTGCATATGCCTTCCCAAAACTGAAATTTACAAAATATTGTCTTCTTTCCAGTCTGTAAACGGGGGCACGGGTGGCCCTGTCGTCTAAGGTGCCGCGATTCGCTGTGCAGAGTTGCATCCCTTTGGTACGTCCCTTGGGCAACCTATGATTGTGGGATCGAATCCCGGTTCGCTCCGATTATGTTTCTAGTTTGTCAGCACCATACCCGTGCCCATTGGTATCACCGAAGTGGTAAACGTCTAAGACCTGCACCACTTTCCGCCCACATTAAGCTGACACGCCGTGATATAACAGGAATACTGTCTGTTTAAAGCGACGTTAAACCAAACTCACTCACTCCAGTCCTTTAACTAATTATAGTAACCGAAAAAACCCATCACAACATGAAACGGTGAGACTATCACTTATCAACAGGTTTACATTTTTTTTTATTTCTACATCTATTTGGACTGCTGTTTGTTTGCATGTGATTTAATGCCAGTGCGTAAATAATCGACCAGACAATCCAGTGACTGACATCATGAGCATTGCTCCTTGCATCTGGTATACAGTGACTTGCAATCAACCAAGTCACGGAACCACCTGATCCAATCAGCTGTCCCTGATGACAACTACAGGCTGCTGTTTGACCACCAAAGGCTTTGAAAAAAATATGTTAGCGAAAAGAGGCCTTATAAAAATAAAGTCTAAAAATATCTTCAGCGACCAAGGCAATAAATTTGACAGAAAACATTATCAATTAAAATATCTGGTATACATAAATATAAACGGATTTGGAAATCGTATTAACAATTTGATCATATTCCGTAATATGTACTCTTGAGAGAGCTTGTAGAAGCCGGTGTAAAATTGGCATCGAACTCCATGTGAAAGTTACTGTTGGGTTGATGTATGTATTAGACAACAGTAGATTGACTTGTAACAGCGGAGCAGTTCTCAGCTACAATTTCACAGTCTAATTAGCAGCAGGATGAGGTGTCAACTCACCGGTTTCTCACTGAAGCCCATGCCTGGGAAGTCCACAAGGACAACACGAGCAAACTGATCCTTCAGGTATGGCATAATCTGAAATGTATATTTACAGAAACTTTAATATTTCATATATCATGTGATAAAATTTTTAAAATCCTGTTACAACAGTATGCAATTTCCTTCTTACCTTCGATATTCATAACAGAGTGAAAACTGCATAAACGCACCCTGGATCACTGTCACCAGTTCACAGTTCTTGCCCTACGTCTCCTTCCAGAAAGCACATGCCATTGTTTCAATGTTGAATTTGGTTGATCTGAAGTTGCTACGTTGAAAACATTGTATCAACATTGTTTCAACATTGATATTTGATGTTGATTCAATGTTGACATTTCAACATCAACACAACTTTCAAATCCAACCATTAACCAATAACCACTCTTATTTCAATGTTGAAGCACGAATCCAAGAGATGGACTGACTGCCTCATCTAGGGAGAGAAACAGAATGTCTACATTGTATACACTGGGATCTATCCAGGAGATGGACTGTCTGCCTCCCCTGGGGAAGGAAACAGAATGTCTACATTATATATACTTGGATCTATACAGGAGATGCCCACTGGGTTGCTTCTATAGGACACGTAAGGAGATTATGTGGTATCTGCTAGGAAACAGCAGTAGGGTGCAAGCCATTATGCCTACAATTGCTGCCGAAACCTGACAGGAAGCTACTCTTAGCCTTTACGAGGAACAAAAGTCTGTGTGAGAACTTCTGTCAAACCAGCGACCTACGCGAACAGGCTAAAGGTGATGTTAATGCTGTTTTCTAGGACTGGTGAGTTGCTACCAACAGATCCCCAAGGTGGAATCTGTCTGCCAACTGCAACATTTCAAGATGTCGTTGACGGAGTAGTTGATGTTTAGTCTTCTGTCAGCTGCAATCCATCAAGCCTGGTAGGCCTCCAACACTGTCATCAATAACTATAAGGATGAGGTATTTGGGATTCTTTTATCTTAATGAGACTCGAGAACGGCGGAAACAGTCCTTCGGGCATTCCTTCAACGCCGTTACTGGATATATGAGGATATGAGGACAAATCTTTCACATCCTTGTGCTCCAAGGTCACAGAAAAGGTAGACCATTTTGGTTCTTGGCAGGGAAATCCATTGCTATGGCTAGTATGGAACCATATTTTGTTTACAATACTTTCGGCGAAACCGCTGTGGTCGTGTCTTGGTTACGCGGAATATTTGAAGATTTATTTGTTTTTTTGTGTGGTTTTTTTTGTTGGAAATAAAAACGAAACGTGCGGCGGACTTTATGATGATGCGGGCGGTGCTTGAGAACCAAGACTATTATACGTTTCTTAAAATTGTGTTTTTGACTCTAATTTTAATGCTGTCAAAGCTATCATTAATAATCATACTTTTCTCCTCCCTCCCTCGTGTTATTTCAGAACAATCTTACCTTGATCCAGTCATAGCTGGATGTTGGGAAACCATGTAGACAGAAGACGGTTCCTTTCCCACTGCCTGCCTCATCTAGGGAGGGAAACAGAATGTCTACATTGTATACACTGGGATCTATACAGGAGATGGACTGACTGTCTGATGTGGGGAGGGAAACAGAATGTCTATATTGTATACACTAGGATCTATACGGGTTATGGACTGCCTGCCTCATCTAGGGAGGGAAACAGAATGTCTTCATTGTATACACTGGGATCTATACAGGAGATGCACTGACTGCCTCATCTAGGGAGGGAAACAGAATGTCTACATTATATACACAGGGATCTATACAGGTGATGGACTGCCTGCCTCATCTAGGGAGGGAAACAGAATGTCTTCATTGTATACACTGGGATCTATACTGGAGATGCACTGACTGCCTCATCTGGGGAGGGAAACAGAATGTCTACATTGTACACACTGGGATCTATACAGGAGATGCACTGACTGCCTCATCTGAGGAGGGAAACAGAATGTCTACACTGTTTACACTGGGATCTATACAGGAGATGCACAGAGTGCCTCATCTTGGGAGGGAAACAGAATGTCTACACTGTATACACAGCTATCTATACAGGAGATGCACTGACTGCCTCATCTTGGGAGGGAAACAGAATGTCTACACTGTATACACAGGGATCTATACAGGAGATGCACTGACTGCCTCATCTGGGGAGGGAAACAAAATGTCTACATTGTACACACTGGGATCTATACAGGAGATGCACTGATTGCCTCATCTTGGGAGGGAAACAGAATGTCTACACTGTATACACAGGGATCTATACAGGAGATGCACAGAGTGCCTCATCTTGAGAGGGAAACAGAATGTCTACACTGTATACACAGGGATCTATACAGGAGATGCACTGACTGCCTCATCTTGGGAGGGAAACAGAATGTCTACACTGTATACACAGGGATCTATTCAGGAGATGCACTGACTGCCTCATCTGGGGAGGGAAACAGAATGTCTACATTATACACACTGGGATCTATACAGGAGATGCACTGACTGCCTCATCTGGGGAGGGAAACAGAATGTCTACACTGTATACACAGGGATCTATACAGGAGATGCACAGAGTGCTTCATCTTAGGAGGGAAACAGAATGTCTAGATTGTATACACTGGGATCTATACAGGAGATGGACTGACTGCCTCATCTGGGGAGGGAAACAGAATGTCTACATTGTACACACTGGGATCTATACAGGAGATGCACTGACTTCCTCATCTAGGGGGGGAAACAAAATGTCTACATTGTATACACAGGGATCTATACAGAAGATAGACTGATCGCCTCCCCTGGGGAGGGAAGCAGAATGTCTACATTATATATACTTGGATCTATACAGGAGATGGACTGACTGCCTCACTGTATACATTTGGATCTATACATGAGATGGAAGGGAAGGGAGGGAAACAGAATGTCTATATTGTCTACATATCTTACCAATCAAATTTCTAATGCTAAAGGTGAGATCTGATTAAAGTTTGATCTTTTTATCACTGGTAGCATAAAGGCATCATTACCAATATAGAATACCTCCAGGTCATTATGTTTGTATAGTTTGCCTCTCTGTTTCCATGACAACAGTCTTTGAGAAAACGGAGGTGGAGGGTAGAATAGGAACACTGCAATGGCAACACCCAACACCACCACAGCAACTTGCAACACCGACACCATCGTTCAGAACTCCTGTTGCAACAGACACCGTGGATTAGATTCGTGCATGGCGACACAGTACAGTAAAACTAACAGTAACTCACGTCTCGGTAATACCATGGACGCTACAGACTATTGTCAATGGTAATCACTGGTGACACGTCCACAAACATTTGCAAAGATATAATTATGCATACTGAGAATATATCAATCAGATAGGTAGTGTGTGTTTTTGTAGGCCAAGACTATAAATGCAGCTAACTTTTTGAGTGGGGGGTTTCCACGATATCTGTCTTTCGGAACTTTCTAGGCCTCGCTGATAACACGTCCGATCAAAGCCAGCTGTGCTAGCAGACGACACTACCCTGCAGTGAGCAGACGACATTACCCGTTTCTCTCCCTCAGGGGACATACGACTAATAGTTGGCATCTGTATAGCGATGGCATTCTTACTTTTATTTATTCTGTTACTCCAAACTGCGATTATCGTTTGAGCTTCATATGACATTGTTTGTTTGTTTGTTGTTTAACGCCGAACTCAGCAATATTCCAGCTATATGACGGTAAATGTATGTAAATGATCGTAAATAATGTTTGTAAATAATCGAATCTGGACTAGACAATCCAGTGTTTGACATCATGAGCATCGATCTACGTAATTGGGACACAATGACATGCATCAACCAAGTCAGCGAGCCTGACCACCCGATCCCGTTAGTCGCCTCTCACGACAAGCATAGTCGCCTTTTACGGCAAGCATGGGTTGCTGAAGACCTATTCATGGATCTTCACGGGTTCATATGAGATTGTGGACGACCTGTCACTCATATTCTAACCAGACACAAAGCCAAAAAATGTGTTTCTACTAGTTCCATTTGGAAACACCATCAAAAATATTTTACAAGCATAGTATGTCATACAGCTCTGTTTCTGAATTATTAATGGAAAAAATACACGATAGAACGTTATATTAAATGCGATATGCAATGAAATGAAAATCTCACAAGCACTGCCCCTGCACGTCCGCTGATGATGTTTACAGGGCTTTGTGTTCATATGCAGGTCCGCACAAGTGATGACTTAGCATTATTTGCAAACATGACTTTGCATTACGCACAGGAGTCCGTATCTAAAAATAGACGCCCTCATGCATATTCATGACCATCTCCACACGCGAGCCCGAAGGGTCATGAATATGCTTGAGGGCGTCTGTTTTTAGATATGGACTCCTGTTCATAACGCAACTGCTACCGGATAATTTTCATATCACATGACCAAAAGTCTTCCGTGTCTGTAAACGAACGCGTTGTAAACGAATGTGTTGACTGTGTAAGTTGTTGAATGGAGTGTAATCGTCATATGGCGCTGGCCTGTGGCAGAGGTACCGCTGGTAATCCAGCATAAGTTGAACCAACTCACAAAACGCGAGGGTAGAGAGGGTGTACGCATGTTGTTCACGTGCAGGTCATGACGATGAAATTGACTACAAAATGGACACACGTGTTGCTCATAAGACTATAATATATAATACCCGGGGTTTTTTTTATATTACCGGGGACATTTTTCTGAGTAAATGTAGAAAAAGGTGGGTTTCCTTGTGTCAACATTTCCTCCAGAATTCCATTGGGAAACATGTAACATAAAAATCGTTTGCGACGTCATGAACAATGGATGACGTCAGTTTCAGATGACGTCACGCTGCATTTGGCATCTTCGCACAATCAGAGCACGCTGGCATAACACCGAAGTTCTAATTGAAATAATAAAATTGTATATGCCTCTCAGACATCCCAATCCTTAGATATCATATTGGATAGTAAAAAGACACGAACCTTCATTTTCAAACATAACCTCGGATTCCCTTTCACGCGTAGAATACTAACGTTGAAATCGAAAGAACAAATTGCGAATCAGTTGTATTCATGCATGTTTATTTTCATGCGATGAAGGCGGAGAAATCTTTAAAAAAAAGTTGTCGATATGATATCAATGATTTTTGTCATGTTGATAAGGAAACGGTTAGAATATTTCAGCAACATAACATCTCTTCATTATAAGGGGCGGCGGGGTAGTCTGGTGGTTAAAGCGTTGACCACGCCGACAACCGGGTTCGATTCCCACACATGTATACCATGTGTGAAGCCGGTTCTTGGTGTCCGCAACCGTTTTATGTCTGGAATATTGTTAAAGTAACGTTAGACATCACTCATTCGTCAATCCTTCAACAATATGCTCATCATTTGTGATGGTGCAAACAACCTTTTGGTACCCTGGATGCCGGGTCCTAGTCTGCTATAAGGCCCAGAAACAAATATATCCAATAGAGCTCATGCAAGTCTATATGTTTGGCAAGTCTGGATTACCGCAGTTTCTGAAAATGAATAAAGTCTCTTAGCTCCTTTTTATTATAAACTGACGTCCAGAAGAAACTTTACCAACTGAAAATATAAATTTCAGACAAAGTATAATTTTTTTTCGATGAAGTCTATCTAAAACACATAACCTAAATACAACAATAGCGTATGCAGAAAATGTTAATCGTCTGTTACATGTTTGCGAGATAACACGCGAAAAAGTGAAAAACACGTGCACCACGGACAACTGCAGATGCACGTGCGGGTAAGGGTATAAAACGATTGCAACGGCAAGTCAGACATCCACAGTGATAAAAAAACACAAAAGAAATGCCACGACTCACAGTCGAAAAACGTGAACGAGCCTTGGGTATAGTAGGGATGGGAGCCACCCACGCCCATACTGCACGAACCTTTGGTTGCTCCCGTGTTGCCGTTACCAACTTGATGCAACGTTACAGACAGACAGGGCGGACCGCTGACAGGCCAAGAACAGGCAGACCCAGGGTGACCACGCCCCATGATGTCCGGTACTTGCGTACCTTGCACCTCCGAAATCGCTTCCAGACAGTGACGTCATCGGCGACAAATGCCTTAGGTCACAGGGTTAGCCGACAGACAGTGGCCAGGAGCCAGCAGCCACGTGGTGTCATTTATCAGCATGACAACGCTAGAGCCCATACAGCCAGAATTGTCACTAACTTCCTCGCAGCCAACAACGTCAACGTCTTGCCGTGGCCTGCACGCTCACCGACATGTCCCCCATAGAACACCTCTGGGACTTGATGGATCGTCGTGTCCGACAACGACCACACTCTCCAGCCAACCGGCAAGAACTGATCTTGGCCCTCCAAGAAGAATGGCGTCAAATCCCACGTGACATCATCAGACGACTGACTTTTTCTGTGCGTCGGAGAGTTTTTGCGTGTATTGAGGCATTTGGTGGTCACACACGCTACTAATGACTTGTTATTGAACGTGAGCGATTGTTTATGTACTCTGCCTATTGTCCATGATTCTGAAAGCTCGAGTTTTGTACCACACCCAACTTTGGGGGGCTCTGACGTCATTCTCGGTCGCGGTATGATTTGTCAGTGTTGATTATGTTGATATATTGATCTTCTCAATACACTTTACTTCATGCATGTATGTTTTGTTGTTTTTGTGCAAGAGTGATTTCAAACTCTGGTAAAGTTTCTTTTGGACGTCATTTTATTTTATTTAGATAATTTAACAACTGTTTTTGTGAGTAAAATATGTTTATTTCAGAGACTAGATGTTAGTGTAACCGGCCCTGTTCAGTAGCCATCCGGATGTCGCAGTACATTATAGGCTGGATGTATAATATTAATCTGGTTCGCAACTATTTAAATGATTGAATATGTTTTTTAATTTAATAGTCTAAGATAAAATATTTAGCCCTAAGCTTATGAGCGCGCATGGTCAAGCATTCTTTGTGAAAAACCCAGTCTAGTGTACCTCCTGTACACGAACATGACTCAGGAGTTCTTAATTGGTACGCTGGATGACTCAGTTGTTCTACACTCGACACTCTGTAGATAACAGGTGCAAATTGTAGTGTAATGCACCTGTACTGCTCAATGTGACACAGGGTCAAGCAAACACACCTTTCAGGGCCATTTTAGGGAGCATCCATTTGATTTGTAGGAGGGGGTAGGGGGCTTGGTTTGGGGGTGGGGGTAGGGGGATGGCTGGGGGTGGGGGGTCACAAAGATTATAAACTCAAAAGTGGTTGATGTTTTGTACGGTTCATCATCATCTTCACAAAGGCACGGTAGTCTTTTAAAAAAGTTAAAATTCTATTAAACTATTCACTGTTTTCGCCACTGCCAACAATCTATTCATTTTGGGCATAGTTTTGAAGAAATCATTCACTTAAAAAATCTCTGGACCAGATAATCCAGTGATTGATATGAGGAACGACCCATGAACGTCGTCGGGGTATACGAGGCGGACACCTAATCCACAAGTCACCGAGCCTGACCATACGATCCATTAAGTAGACCCTAGCGACCGGCTTAGGTTGCTGGGGACCTGTTTAAACCGGAATCGACGCTGGGACAACCTGCATCAGGCCCGCCTATTTATGTAAATAAAAAGAAGCATTGTCGGAATTAATGTAACCTTTACCGTGTGTTTGTAGCACGGGTTGCGAGCGGTACCTTTGATCTTACCCGTGCTGTATCATGGTAGTAAGAGCACGGTTTGTTAAAGATTATTAACCATTGGCTGATGCCAAGATCAGCAAGCCCCGCCTACTGGCTTGAGAAATTTCAAACTTACGACAATGTTTCTTTAGTGTTGTACAGTGTTCAAGAGTAATAACGTAAATAAACCAAAAAACAATAGAAATGTTTATAACTTAAAAAGGTCCTTTTGTCTGTCAATCAAATGCCATGCCAAACCGTGCTCTTACTGCCCAAACAACTCGTCTTGGTGTGTTGTAACTATAACATAGTTACCTAGCGCGAAGGAAAAGTTTTAAATGTGATATAAATGCAGTAACAATCGTTGTAACAGCGGTTCGCATTATAATCACCACGCAACCGTTACTTGAATCGTGATATTCCGCATTTAGCCAAACTACTCCAACACTGTGTGTAACTGTTATAGTGTTAACAATGCATAAACATCACTTGGTAACGACAGAACCTCAAATGTTTCTATTATTGTGTGTGAATAAGTGAGTTGGGTTAACGTCGATTTTAACAGTATTCCAGTTATATCACGGCGTGTCAGCTTAATGTGCTAGAAAATCCCGAATGATGCAGGTCTAAGACGTTTACCACTTCGGTGAAACCTACGAGCAATGATATGGTGCTGACAAATCTAGAAACATAATCGGGGCGAACCGGGATTCGAACTCACAACCATAGGTTTCTGGCGTGCCCAAGGGATGCAACTCTGCACAGCGAATCACGGCGCCTAAGACGACTGGACCACCCGTACCTCCTTTCTATTATTGACTTTTATGAGATAATGCAACCTTATGAAACATTCATCTTTAAAATGAAACTCTTTAAAAGAGTAGACCGGGTACTCGTGCACTAACCTATGCATAATGCACATGTTTGAACATTTTCCCGGGTATTAATATAGACTAAGGTTTCCAGCTTTGTTCTTTCAAACACTAATGCTGGGACAGGAACCTTTTCAAACAGCGTAGCATTGGATATGTGTTTCTATTAGTGAACGGCGTGAATCAATTTGTGACAAAGTCGGAATCCTCATGGGTTCCGCGTGTTAAAGTAAACAAAGATTCGTTACGTGAGTGGGGAGGGGGGTCCGGGTGGCATACACCCTTAGCTCCTCGCTCCCCCTTCGATGTAGTGTGTACGATGTCGATAAGGACGAGTTTTGTTTGTTGTTTAACGCCGCATTCTGCAATATTCCAGTTTTATCTCGGCGTTCTGTAAATAATCGCGTCAGGACTAGACAACCCAGTGATTGACATCGTGAGCATAGATCTGCACCATTGGGATACGATGACATTCATCAAACAAGTCTGACCGTCCTATTCCGTTAGTCGCCGCTTACGACAAGCATGGGTTGCTGAAGACACATTCACGGGGAATGATGATGATGATGATGATGATGATGATGATTAGAAGTATAGGAGTGATATCAAATGAACAAATGACTCATCCGTATTGCAAAAGTATAGCTAAAATACACAGTTTCTGTTCACAACACCAAATAAGTTCCCTCTTACTTGAATGCAAAACGCTTAAAACAACAAGCACATAGCGTCTAGTTTAAGATAATACTA